GCAGAATGTCTACATCTCTGCACTGCTTCCATAAACACAGCAGAAATCTCTTTCAGCAGAGTCACAGAAATAAACGACATTAAATCGACAGATTATTTCACAATTCATCAACGCAGAGGCTCAAATGTAACGATTTGCATTTGAATTGAAAATGTCAGTGACGAGTGTCTGCTGTTTGCAAGAACAAACTTTAAACCAGCTGCAGAAAAATATGATACCCAAAAGTTTCACTCAAAATCTGGTCTAATTTTTACTGCAAATATTTTAGTTCACTTGAAATAAAACCAAACTAATTTACCAGTAACTTCTGCAACACATAGGAGCTGGTTTAAGTAAGTAATTATTTTATATTTGTAAAATATGAAGGAAAAGTTGTAGTTCCACAGGAAGATTATTTCACTTACAACATGGGAAAAATGTTTTGTTATATTTGAAACAATCTGTAAGTATAACTAGAACGTTTTCAGAAATGTGAAGCTCCTATTTCTTGCTGAAAAGTTTCTTGTAAGTTAGTAAACTTGAATTAAGACAAAAATAAGACATCTGCAGTAGAAAATAAAACACAAAGTCTTTGGTAAGGAGTTAACACACTGAGCCTTCCTGGTTTCAGGTGTTTTTCTCTGAGCCCATAAAGGAATTTATAGCAATTAATTACTAAATGATTGAGTGACAGAGTAATTAATTGCTGCAGCTGTGCTTCTGGAGTTCGCAGCGCACACAGCAGGGGATCCTTTCTGAATCTGTGTTGTTATTATTTCTCCCCTTCACAATGCCGGCGCCAGATAGAACCGCACATTCCTGACTTCCTTACTTGGAGGTCAGCATATAACCTTGTCCCTCTCTCACACACCAGCTGCGGCGCCGCAGACGCAACACGCCGTCACTTCCTGTGGAAACCTGAGGAGAAATCTGGGACCCGAAAAGATTTTAAGCTAAACCTATGTATGGACAATAAATAAACAACTATATATATATATATATATATATATATCTCACAGCAGACACACAATCAGATAGAATATTCAATATTCAATGTGTAGAATAGTCCCGAACCGCACAGCATTCTGGGAGATGTAGGCAGAGAAAATGCTTTAGCTAGCTAAAGCTAAGCAGGAATCAACTAACTCGCTCACTCTTCGGTTACCTAGCAACAGCCTGCTGGGTAACTTGCGCAGCAGCAGTTTAAGGTTCTGGTTCATAACTGGTTACTGGAACTTCACAGCTTTACAGATGATCCACTGGTTTACAATCTATCCAAAAGTTCATGTCATTTTCATGGGATTCTGTCCAAAGTAATAAACACTAAAAATGGATGTTACTCAAAAGTTTAATTTATTAAAGTCTGTGACGCAGTAAAAAATAAAATTTTGTACTTTTCTGAGAACAAACCTTCTCACAAAGACTTTAGATGAATATTACAGAGAAACTGAGTCTTGAAGCCCTTTGAATCTTTTGCATTGTTGGAAATGGAGAGTGAGAACAATGAGATGAAAAATCAGGCCTGGTCTATACGTGTGATGCAGATCGGCCTCAACATCTGAAGCTCCTCAGCAGGGCCTCCGCTCCACAATGCACCGCGTATCCATGCTGGATTCCCTCAAAGCTGCTTAAATTGAGCTTGAATGGCAGAAAATTAGTGAAGTGATGCGTGAATGGGGAGGAAACTGTGCAGCCGAGACAGGAGGAACGCCACTGATTCATCACCAGACCAACCGGACCGCATCCTCCGGAGGGAAACGGCGAGCCGTGCAATTAAAGCTGCGGTCATTACACCCTTCTTAAACCCAACGCATCAATTTACCCCCACAGCGATCATCCCACAGCGTCACTGCCAGCTAACTCCCAGAACACCGGCGCCACAGGTGTTTCACATGTTATCATTTCTACAGAGGAGGCAGACCAGATCGGCAATCAGCCAGACGGCCGTCCTCAATCACTGCTGAGCTCACAGCAGCTCATCACCGCTGCACCAACGAATCACACCAGGAGATGGAAAATATTTAACTTGACCAATCATTCTCATTTGTTTTGGGGTCTAACAATTAATCAGCTTATGACTAATTGTTAATTAATGGCTTACTACTTTAAATTTTGTTCAAATTGATTAACTAGTAATGCATCCACATTTTACATTTCTGAAGACGCTCGAATGATCCTGAAATGCTCTGATGGTTAACTAACCTGAATAACAGAGTTTAAAAAATATGAATATCTTTGTTTTTAAGCTCATATGTCTATTAATTTAATAATTTATGAGCAAAAAGGGTTTAAATTGAATGTTTATTTTGTTGATATATGCTATCGGTCAACTAAATGGAATTCTTCAGACATAAAACATAAATGAATTGACGTTATTGCAAAGAAAGATGAGATCATATTCTCAGGCCGGGTTGAGAACGCTGATCTCACCTCCATAACTTCCTGTGAACAAAATGTTTTTTTGAGCGACTCCACCAGCAGCATTCCTCTCAAACAGGTTTCAGACCAAAACGCGTACAGTATTTTACTGCCAGTGAGTTTATGAACAAACCAACAGAACCCCCACCCTCTACGTAAGCCATGTTTAATAATCAGACAGATTTGCCAGGATCTATTTTCTTCCATGGTTGACAAAACTTCCTGTTTAAAAAGTGTGTAAACCGTCCAGCAACAATGATGAGGTTTTATCTGATGTGTTTTATTGTGTGAACTCTTGCTAGCGAGAGCAGAAAGTGATGAATGTATGTCTGTATAAACAGACATTGTAAGTGGAGATATTTATATGATAATGTAGGTGGATTTCATTATGTTCGCTCTGATTAACAGACTCTCAGTTACATCACAAGACGGTGCTGGAAAATAGAGGAACAGAGGTCAAGAATGTTTTTCTTCCAACACGACAGGCTGGAAATTTCTCAAACTCAGCAAATACGTTGCCTTTATAATGGTTTATGTTCAGAATTGTGAAATAAATCTATTTTGAAAGAGCTGACTGACGTTTTCCTGAGAACGAATGAGTCATTGCAACAAACTCTCAGGAAAACAATCACATCATCAGCGTAAGGTTTGACTCGAATGATTGTTTAGCTTAAGGCTGAACAAGCTAACTTTTAAGTTGCTCTAATTCTAAAGAATAAACAAAATTAATCTGAGAATAAATGGTTTCACTGTTGCCTTCCTGGTTCTGTTGGACCTCAGCAGAGTCTCTCCAGTCATTATTAGGTGATGTAGGGCAGAACTGGACTGGTTTCAGTCTGAACTAAAGACCTATTTGTGTCAACAAGTCACTTCTTATTTGTAGGGACAGAAATCACATGTGGGGTACCCCAAAGTTCAACCCTGGGCCCCCTTCCACTTAACATCTAAACAGCAACAATTAATCAGATTAATGACCATAACTACGCAGACGATGCACCGCTCTATATTCTGACGTCATCAGGTGACTCCGAACCCATCCAATCACAAGTTCATGTGTGTTGGTGCCATTAGCTTCTTCAGATGGACAGAAACAGAACTTATTTAAAAAAGAACGACAGACAGTCAACACACACAGTCAGTACAGCTGGAAACTAGAGATCAGGCTGAAATCTGAACTCAGACCTGAACATTCAGTTACACAAAGACAGTTACAAAGTCAGCCTTCTATCACCTGAAGAACAGTTTCAGCAATATCTAGAGAAACCCTTTGTTTATATTGGCTCCCTGTAGCTCAGAGAATAGTCTTTAAGATACTTCTGTTAGTTTATAAATCACCGAACAGTTAAAGATCTGCTGCTGTTGTACAAACCTTCCAGACCTCTCAGGTCTCCTGGTTCTGGTTCTGTTCTTTATCCCCAGAACCAAACAAGGAGAAGCAGCAAAACTTTCCAAAAAACGTTTCGAAAAATTTCCAAAAAACTGCAAAACAGTAGAAACACTGAGCTCCTTTCAATCAGCTGGTCAGAGCTGCCAGTAATGGTAAATATTGATGATGGAATTTGACTAAATGTAATTTGCATTGTTTATTATGTTTTTATCATGTAAAGCCCTTTGATCTGCCTTGACTAATCTATTATAGTCCACAGAGTTCATCAATGAGGTCAGCATCTTTCATAAACGGCTTCGACACGCAACGCTGGAAAAGATCAGAATGATGAAATACCCTGTGATCCGTCCAAACTTACAAACATCCAACATGATTCCTTTAAATCCTGCAACAAGGCGAGTTTGGATCGGTTCAGCTTTGAGTCATTAACGTTTTCACCACAGCAGGTTCTGGTTGGACTAACTCACCGCTCATGTCACAAGAATGTTGATTTATATAAAGATAAAGCAACATGTAACCAGAAAATGGGTGGCAGTAATGAAGTCACCTTCCTTCCTATTTTTATAGTTAAGTTTTAAAAGATTTGAAGAGATGAAAGGAAATCTTGGGTCATTAGTGTTGATCACTGATGATGACCAACAGTCCTGCACATTATGCAACTGTCATTTTTCTTTTTTGGCTTCTGCTGTCCAACAATGTGAAGCACTTCCTGCATCTGCTCCAAGCCAAACCCCCTGTCAAAAGTTTTATAATCGAGCTGAGCAGGATGATAAATCCTCAAACTGGTTGGATCTTCCTGTTAGTCATAATACCAGCAAAGCAGAGTCTAAACATGCTGCAGATGTTTCTCAATCAGCAGCTTGGAGTCTATTTTAGTCCAAACTCACAAGATGAGAACGAAAATTCACAGTTTATGTAACATTTATAGTGAAAGAAGCATCTGGATTGAACTCAATAAACACATTTTGACCCATTCTTGAGCTTTTTTCTGCTTCAATGATGATTTCAGCAGCTGAAGCCATTAGAGCTAATGATCAATCAATATTTCATCTTATTATAGGTCATAATCCAGAACATACAAACACGCTTAATAGCCTGAGCTCTTGAATATAAAGCTTTTACTCTTGTTAAATTCCCCTTCTCATCATTTAAAAGTAGTTTAAAGGATGAGAAAAACTTGTCTGACAGCAGCAAAGAGGAGAAGAGATGGACCTACCTCTGGATCCTTTTCCTCTCGATATTCCAGAAAATAAAGTCCCGGTGGTCCGGAAAACTTCCCAGATTCACATCCTGCTGGGAGGAAAGCGAAACGAATCCTGGGAAGAATCTCCTGAAGTTTCAGCTGGACGACATTCCCGCCACAAAAACGCTGATTTTTATGTCTTTCTCTCTCCTTGTCCGCCTCGGTTAAACTCGGTTAAATCAACGCGTCCGAGTCCGACAGAGTCCAGAAGGAGGGGAGCTCACATCCAGCCGGTTCTCCTTCCAGGAGCTTTGAAACAAGACGAGAGCGGAGCTTTTCTCCTTCCTCCTCCTCTCACTGAACTCCCCGGAGGCTGGAGAAGCTGCGTCACGTACGCAGGAGTTATCACCGGAAGTTCAGGCTGCGCACCTTCAAAGTAAAACGCTTCCGAACAAAAACTCTGAAAATGAAGATAAAACACACAAAAAACTGGATAAAGTAACAATACACAAGCACATTAGGACAAATTATAATCTAATTAGTATAGCAATTTATTTTAGAGAAGCTTAATCACAGACAGTGATATTTAAGGCAATTATTTATTTTGAGAACGAGCTTAAAGCTAATCAATTCCTGCAATTAAAATGATCAGAAATTGATACCACATCAGTCCAATAAATCAAAATAGAAATGTCATGCTAAGACCTCAGTCAGAGGTTGGTAACCTAAACTAATTAAAACGACGGAAAGTAAAGATAAAACTATTTTAAATTCGGCTTAGGTTTTAAAATAAAAGGATTTATTGTATTTTCACTAATGTAACATTTAATTTGATAGAAAACAACTCCACATGAAAGCATGTCTGACATCAAAGATTTAAAAATATATTTCAAAAAATATTCCCAACTCTATTAGTGCAAGAAGTAGTAAGGTTAGCATTTATTTTTGAAGTTTAGATTCTGAAATGCTGATCAATTCCTTATGTTTTTTGTTTGTTTTTGACAGTTATGACAAACTTGCAGTTCTAGTTTTAATGGTCGATCATGCAGTTATTGCCACCATCCGATAAAAGTTTTACCTAAGTAGCTGATTGATCAATACATATCAATTGAAACTTTAGTGGAAGGAAAAACAGTGATCAGGCAGCAAGAATTATCACAGCATTCAGAAATAAACAATCCTGAGCTCTTTAGTTTCCAAAAAGCCAAACTGAGTTTTATTTTGAAATTCCTTTCAGGAACACAACCTGTATCATAATAAGCTTACTCACAAATTAAATTCTGGTTTAAATTAAAGATATTTTTTTATAATATGAAGTGTAATTAAAATCTGAGATTGAGTCTGTTTGAATTTAAAAATAAAAACCAAAAACTAAATCCATGCTGGGTCAGACACAGCAGCCTAATTCACTTTCAGATGGACTCCTGCGTCTATGGACATTCAGAACAACTTGTTCAATATTCTCAAACATGTCAGTTGGGCTTATTTTTTATTTCCTGCTCACACTTCAAATAATGAGTAATTTCTTCGTCAGATCCGGGATGCTGGCGGAGCTGTCAGACCCAGTTCAGCCTCCCGCTGCTAATTTGAGGCTCTGCTGGGACACAATCGAGGCTTTGTTGCTGGAGAATTTGTGAGAGAAGTAATCCTTGACACGGAGCCTGGCCCTTTGTTTCATAAGTCTCCTGAGGTTTACAGTGAGCATCAGTCAAAAGGAGCAACTTGAACCAGAGGAGCTGAAAAGGAAAATATGCAGAAAGATGAAGATTCAAGAACAAATATGAGTTTATTTCACTGATTTTTGATGGTATTCTTCTATTTTGCTTACACTATGAGGAAAAATAAATAAAATATTGCAAATAGGCATACAAATAATCAATACACACAAAAAAGCAACATTACAAACATTTTTCTGCTACTGAAACGTTAATTTTCTCATCCATAACTGAGATAATTTTTATATTTTTATTAAATGCCTCCTGAGAAAAAAACAACAAAAACAGTGAAATGGAATAGTATGAAATACATTTTTATTCCCTTTGCAGTAAAAAACATGTGAACATGTAATTTAAACTAAACTGAACGATCAGGCTGCAGCGCCCTCTTGTGGCAGCTGCATGCAACAACCTCTGAACTTCAACTTTCAAAAGTAAACTTCAGATTTTTTCATGACAAAAAAATAAACCAAAACAAAACAAAAATGAATGTTTCAAAGATTCAAATTTTATATCTCAAAATAGAAATAAAAACATATTAGCCGACACTTTTTTAGTTGTTTGCACTGTAGCACAGCTTGCGGAGATGGGAAGTTAGGAAAGGAAAAAATTTTGACTTTACTGTTAAAAAGCTTGAAAATATATCAAAGTCACTGAAACTTAAAACATATGTCAAAATTATTCTCAATCAAGCAATAATAATAATAATAATAAAAATAATAATAATAATAATAATAATAATAAGTTAATAGTATCATTTATTGCATTTATTAAAACCACATAGCAACGTGGTGCTAAATGGGAATTAGGTGAATATGATTTTTACTATTTCTCTTTCATTGTTACGTGTTCTAATTGATTTGGTATACTTTTTGTGTTTATTTTGTCATTTATGTTGTTTCAGTTTATTTTTTTAAATGTAAAACACTAACATTGTTTTAAAAGGAAACTATATGAATAAATATCTTCTATAAAGGACATGTGTCATTCATATAAGAGCTAAACATAAAAAATATATGTATATATTTACAGCTGAACACAAGGCAAGCAGTCACAGATAACTTTCAGAAGAAAACCTTCTGGTCAGATTAAATCAAAAGTGGCAGAAAACTATCTCTTCGTGTTGGCTTTCCTACTCTTAAAGGGGCGGAATTATATATCTTCAGGCACATAGTTGTTATAAAAATGCTTTATATATCAAACATGAAATTCACTTCCTGGTCTAATTGGGCCTCTGTCTCTTTAAGAAGCTCCAGCTCTTTCTGAAGCTCCGCCTCCAGGAAGTCATCCCACATTGCTCCTCGTTAGCAATGTTTTTACCACCGTTGCTCTGAGCAGCAGTTCCTATAACGAGCTCAGTTCCACCAGGTGTTTGCTAATTGCTTCTGGCTAGTCTGGAGGATCTGAGTGGAGGAGGAGCTGCGCCTTGAAGGCGGAGCTAGATCTAACCCAGGCGTTTGGGTTGCCATGGAGATGCACTGATCAAAGCAACACTTCAGGTTTGTTTTTGATGACGGAAAAACATTTAAACATGAAGTCAGTTGATTTGACATTTTACCGGCCCTTTAATCGTAGTTGTGGCTCCATTTCATTGATGTTTCCATCCAATCTCACTGAGTTATTGAGCAGAAAATGAAAAAAGCTTTCAGCTTGTTGGAGAAATTGAGTGAATATTCATACAGGTTAATGAGAATGGTCAGAGCTGTTTTATTTAACTTTGGTCAAATTACAGTAATCCATAGGAATGTATCTGTTTTCGCTCAAGCAGCTCATTATGAAACAACCCACAGGTGTGTCTGTTTCCGCGAGGGAAGCTGGACGTGAATGATTTATGAGTATGTAAATCAGATTGTTGGACCACTGAAGGACAGTGAAGAGCAAAGCTGGATAATCATCTGCACAAACATCATGTGGGCTGTCAGAGCTGCCAGTCACATTACTCTCCAGTTTACACCTTAATAAACCTCCAGGAAGAGTTGATACAATCTAAATAAACTTCTTTTACCACAGAGGCTGAAATCTGAAAGAAAATGGAGGCATTTATCATTCTGAAGCTGAGTTGGTGACTAGAGTGAAATGCAAAGATTTTCTGTGAATGTTCTTCAAATGACCTTGAACACTTTTAAGCATAATGAGATGCTTAAATGTGTTAAAAAACAGAATACTGAATACTTTAGGCTCTCTCTAAAATACTTTCAACTGCCTCTTTTAATAGTTGAAACATCAAATATTACAGTCAACAGACATAAACAGAGAAACAAGCTGCAAACACAAGAATGATGCAAACTCAAACACACAAACAAAAATATGCAACAGAAAAAAAAAAGCAAAAATCAAAGATCAGACAAAATGCTACAACCACAGAAAATACAAGTAAAAGTGTCGGAACCATTAATTTGGAGATTTACCTAAAAAGTTTCTGGAAAGAAAATCTGAATTGCACCAGTCAAGATTTTTTCAAAATTATTTCTATAAAACTTCTTAGATTAATCTCAAAATTTCTGATTGTTTATGCTCACAAATTTTTGACTGCAAAAATTCAGAAATTTTGAAAAAAAGGTTGAATATCAGAGAAGAGAATTAAAGGGCCCAATTAGTCGTGTTTTGCCCTTGGGCCTTAAAATAAATAAATACTCCCCTGTTTGAACTTTAATCTTTCACTTATAGATTCGTCTTTCTTTGTTTTAATTTGTTTCATCATGTTCTGCTTCCAGGCTTTGCAGCTCATCAAACTAAAGCAATTCAATAAACATGTATGTTCATATTCACCTGGATCAGAAAGTCATTTTTAATCCTTATTTTTACTCGATAAACTTTAAACCCCAGCTAAATGAAAGAATCAACTCTGCGTATCTTTCTAGTTTTGATTGAAGCAGAAAATCAGAATTTAAGAATTTCGAAGAATAAAACACAAACATGTTTGTGTTATAGAAAGAAACATAAAAACTAAAAAAGGTCAGCAGGTAGGAATACTTTTAAAAGCTAACTGGATCTGTTAAGGGCAACATTTCATCAAAAATCACTCGATGAAGAAATTTTGACTCCTGCAATTATATTTTCCAAACATTTTCCTCCTCAGACCTGAAAAGATCTCATTACACAAGCAGAGATGGATAAGTAATCTCTCCCAGCTGTGCTGCTAACAAGTCCCGCGCTGCTGCTGCACAGATATTTGATTTGCTCCTTAATGGACTTTAAGAATCGCTCAATTTGTTGCTTCCATAATTGCACTGAAGATGAAGGCAGACCTGTTTGATCCGTTACCGATCGATGTTCCAATCACAGATCCTGTCAGAGAGAAGTATAAATCAGAGGAGTGACTGCAGCTGCTGCAGCTCTAAAAAACTAACTGTTGAACAGCAATCATCGTCTACTAACAGCTCGTCTTAAATATTCCTGCAATTTTCATTGAAATACACTTTTAATCGTCATTTTAAGTTCAGTTATGACTGAATGCAGAGGGAAATGTGGAGCTGCAGTAAAACAGCCTCATTACATCACAAACCAGTAAATAATGATCTGAATTTAATGGCTCCAGATTATTGTCCTGTTATTCAGCTTTATTTAATTTACATTCACAGCTTTTACTGACTCTGACTTTATTGCTCTGCTCACGTCTGAAAACCATATTTGGCTTTAAAAATAGACACGAATAGACAGGAAAGTGATTTCTAACAGATCCAGCAGCTTGGAACATGAAAACTCCCTCACTGCATAAACGCATAAAAACGATAGAGAGAAGATTTAATGACAACAACACAGAAATTATTTAAAAAATAAAAGATATTAAGGAATAACTGGAGTCAGAATAGTAATAGGACAAAAATGGAGCAAAATGGGTCATTAGAAAAAGGATCTGGCAGAAACTGTCAGTAAATACTGAGAGGTGATCAGTGGAGCCACAAACATGGAAAAACCAAAACTGCAACTAAACAAAAGAAAACAACTAAAACACAAAAACCAGAACTCAAATCAAAGTTTATTTCTGCAGCAACAGATCAAATCAAAGAGCTTTAAATCATAAAAGCAAAATAAAATAAAATAAACAGTCACCATTATGGCAGCTAATATTATTTCCTGCTGTAACCTGAGCGACTGGGAGGATTCGAATACGAGGGTCCAGGGGTTGAGCCTTGGGGTTCACCTTGTGACTTTCTGCTGTTGGTCGTCCAGTAGGAGTGAGGAAGTCAACGACTCGATGCTCTGCTGAGTTTCCTCAGACAGAAACGTTTTAATTACTTTGAATAATTAATCTAACTTCCTGTACCTTTTGATATCTGGATTAATTTAGTAAAGTGCCTCAATAACAATAGAGAATGGATTCACCAGAAGAAAATCAAAGTTGTTGAATCTGATTGGTAATCTTAGTGGAGCTGAAGAGATGTGTTGAATCCAGTAGCTGCGTTTCCATTACAAATGTGCACAAATCTTTATCTATATTCTGCTAATATAAAAACAAAAATACATTTTTTATTTATGGAAACAACTGCAATGTTTTCCATAAATAATTAAATGAAATTAAAATCACTCTTAAGTCATTAAAAATGACGGTGGAGACGGAGGAAACAGTGATGTGAGATTTATTCATGCAGCATTTTGATAAAATAATAGTCGGCCATTTTGCAGAAGGGTTATGGATTCAACATGTTGGACTGATGTACATCTGAACTGTGTGATGCTGTGAGAGCAGCTTCAATGTCCCAAAAAACAAAAACGAGCCATCATCTTCCTGTCGTCTTCTTCATCGTTTCTGCCAGTAGTTGTTGATCACATGACTGGAGTGAAGTGAAAAAACTGTTTCCAACGCAGTTTTTGGAATCACATCTCATCCTAGTGCAAAAAGCTAAATGAAAAACTTAAAAAATAAAATAAACTCAGCTGATCTCATAGTTTTTATTTTTCTCCCTTTTTTATTTTTGTCTTTAGCTAACTCTGAACTGTGCAGGAACAAGCATCCACCGTGTGAAACATTTCATCAGACAGCAGTGAAACAAGGAGCAGGTAGAGAAATGACTGATCGGCTGACGGAGATTCATTGGCAGCCGTCACTTTGATGAATTACTGCGCTGTGGAAAACCCACTGCTCTCTGATTACAGCCTGTTTTCAACATAGGATGAACTGCACTGTGTGCGGCTCGCTCCCTCAAATTGCCCTGCAGGGATTGCTTGCAGTGGATGTTGCCAGTTTAGTTTTGATGCTAATCCACCATCAGAGCCCCCCAAAAATCCTTGTTTAGTATTCATCCGTAGGAAGCGGCTTAAAGTCCTGTGCTGCTCGTAAAAACTGTGATTTGTTCATATTTAACATGCTGGGTGACAGGAGTGAAGCTTTTCTCTGTCCTGAGGCTCCATTTGTGACAAGATGCACTGAATAATTTAAGGCGATAAAGGCCACAATATGTTTTTTATGTAGTAAAAATGAGATTGTGGGTGTTTTATTTAATAAAACATAATGGAACAAGAGAGAAGGTTGGGCCGACTGGAAGAAAGGAGCTGTTTTATTGCAAAAGTCGTTTCAAAGGAGCAGATTTTATAGCTTTAACTTGTCACTGCGTGTAAAAGATTTTGTTTGACTTGTGATTAAACTAGACTGTGAGTGGAGCTTCATATTAAACAGCTCAAACGGTTTCAAATGCCTCACTTAAAACCTGGAACAACGTGTTAACAAAATACACTAATAGTCCAGGGCGGAAATCCCATCTGGTTATTGGGGGACCATAAACAGGAACATTTCTTTAGAGCAATTTTGGGGGGTCGGCAAAGTTACAGTGAAATGAAACATAAAATGTGGCTTAAAAAGATTTTAAACTAGATTCAAGCTGCAGGACCAAAAATGAATAATAATGCACATCAAACATGTTTTATTCAAGTCTAGACTTTTCCAAGATTTGGGGTGCGGACCCCTCTGCCCCCCCTGTGACTTACGCCTCTGCTATTGGTCTTATAAACTAAAGTTAGAATTACTGAACGTAGTTGTATTGAAAGCAAGGCTGTCGCAGTTAACAAAATCTAAGGAAATGACAAAAACTAAAATTTAGAAACAACTGTAAGAAATAAAAATACACTGGATGAAAAACAAATAACTATATATTTTGTTTATAAAACGAAATAAAACATGAAACAATTATAGGTTAATATCATTCATTTTCGAGTTTCGATCCAATGCGACACTGATTTTCCCCAGTGTTGTGAAAAAAACACCAAGTCCAGTTAAATGTTTAAAAAACTAAACTATTAATATATCTAATAAAAACTAAAGTAAAACTAAATATTTAGCTCATAGACACTAGCAAACACAAACTAAAACTAAAAAGTTTAAGGAACAGTTTAACATAAAAAAGTCACAACAAACTAAAATATAATGAAACCTCCAAAACTATTGTGACCCAATTTGAAGGTAAAACTTTATAAAGGTCAAGAGCAAAAGAAAGTCCATTTGGAGTCGGACTGGTTGCTTTAAGGAACAAATCCCCAACGTGCAAATTTTAACCGAGTCATAAATCAAAATGTGACACAAAGCAACTTCAACTCTGACAACATGTTTCTCCAGAAAACTAAAAATAGAAGAAATTGAGGTTCAGCCACAGAAGATGAATGTTTAAAAACCTCGCAGCATTTTCTTTCCCGGTTCTTTTAAGATCCAGAAAGTTTCCACATGTCTGTTTGGGAGGCAGAATGTCGACTGGAGCCATCCGTCATGATGAAAGTCCAAGCTGCATCATGTGGCCATGAACTGAAGGCAGAGACTGAAAGAACCAGATCAGGAGTGAAGAGGCAGAACGCTGAGGCAGTCAGTCATCTGTGATCGGTTCTGACTAAAGTTGCTGCTCCTCTGCACTGAAATGAACTAAACAATGAAGACGGAGCATCATGTCTGAACTCCTTTAAGATACGAGATGATGCTGCCCCCACATTTAGGTTTGGCTTGTTTAAAAATGTCTTTTTATAGATATCAGATGCTAAGAAAGTCAACAGAGTATTAAAAAAAAGTCTCAGGTGTCATTAAGATGCTTTTCAGCCCATGTGGGAATCCATTGTTCAGTCTTTGGTCTGATTATTGTGATATAATTAACTTTGACTTCTTTTTCTGGATTCTACCAAACTGTCATCTGCATTTATGTTGTAAATTTACCTTGAATTTAACTAATTTTGATTTCATAACCAACTGAATTATACAGAAAAACTGCAGCTTGACTCAAGTATCTCTTCACTCAGATAAAATTGTATTTAGTGCTTTAAGTGAGCAAAAATATGAGACACAGTCGCCCTCTTGTGGTCAAAGCAAAGAATGATAAAAAATCTGATGTAAACATTAAACTTCCGTTTTAATGTTTACGTCTGGATTTAATTGGACTGTTTAGCAAATGTTAAAGAGAAATACGATGAAACTGTAGGATTCGACCCAGTTTCAGCTCAATTTATCACTTCTCTGACTGTTTGTCTTTTTGATCAACTAATCAATAAAACATCAAAGATTAAATAGTTATTTCTTGGTTTTCACCTATTATTGCCTCTGAAACAGATTTTGCCACATTTCCTTTAAATTTTGAGCAACAAACAACTGAATTAATAAACTAAAGCAATTTCAGTGGAAATGTAATGGAATCACTGTCGGCAATTTTACGCAACAAACACATGAAATTAAACTCCAGCAAAAATAAAACAAATTGATGTTGAAAATGTTTTTTATTTTATTTTGCATCAATAATATACAGGAAATAGATTCCTGTAATTCCCAAAGTAAATGTCAAAATTCACCAGAAATCATTTCAAACATTGAAGACATAAATGTTAGATTATTTAGTTCACATGATTTCATAATAATGGAAGTGAGAATGTTTGTTTACAAATATCTCCTGGATGACTTCAGTAAAAAAAAAAAAAACATTTTAATTAATTATATGTAAATATAAACTTAGACAAAAAGTTGGAAAAAATAAACTACAGAGAAAAATGAAGAAAACCCATAACAGTTCATTAAATCTGTACATGAATCTCATTAATAGAGGATTATTGTGTTAATGATTCTTTATAAAGACTTACTTCCAGGCTATAAACCATCAGATCAGCCGTTTTACTGGTGGTGAAAACAAAGAAACGTGTTTCCATGATGACTTTGGCCCAAAGTTTTGTGTTTCCGATCCAAACCTTCTCAACAAAGCGAGCGCAGCTTGTCTACGGCTGCGATGTCTCGCCCGTGTGGGTTTTGGTGTGAGCTCTCAGTTCAGTGCCGCTGATGAATTTTTTCCCACACGTGTCGCAGTGGAACGGTTTCTCCGGTGTGCCTCCTCACGTGGTCCTTCATCTGGTGCAGGCGGATGAATCTCTTCCCGCAGTGCTCGCAGGCGTGAGGCTTGTCGCCCGTGTGCGTCATCGTGTGTCGGTTCAGCTTGGAGGCGTTGACGAACTTGCTGCCGCACAAGCGGCAGACGTACGGCCGCTCGCCCGAGTGCGCCCTCCGGTGGCAGCAGGGTGTTGCTGTGTTTGAACTTCTGACCGCAGATTTTGCAGGAGTGCGGTTTCTCGTCCGTGTGGATGGTCATGTGCCTCCTGAAAGCCGACGGGTCGGCGACGCTTCTTCCACAGACGTTGCAGAGGTACAGCTTCTTGTCGCCGTGGGTTCTCGCGTGGAGTTTAAGATGGTCGCTTCGTGTGAACCTTTTCCCGCAGGTCTTGCAAGCGTGCGCCTTCGTCCCGACGTGGGTTCTCATGTGGACTTGCAGCGACAGACGCAGCCGGAAGATTTGTCCGCAGCTTTTGCAGGAAAGCGGCTTCCTGCCCGTGTGAGTCCTCAGGTGGCGATCCAAAGCGAGCTTCGACAGATCCTGGCCACAAATGTCGCAGAAGCTCGCCTTCGCCCTGCAGAGGTTCTTCTTGCCGGAGGCGTCGGGTTTCAGAGAGTCTGGAGCAGATTGACTCTCCGCACTCTTCAGCTGTACCTGCTGTCCCCGTTTGCTGGTGCAGGGCTCTTCCTGGTCTTCCTCCTTAATGGGTGTAGCCTCTGGATAATCCTCCTCCTCTTTCTTAATCTTCTGGTCAGAAGTGGAACTCCTCTCCTCGTTAGAAAGCTGCTCATCAGGCACAAACTTCTCTTCTTCTTCTTCTTCTTTAACGTCACGTTGTTTCCGGAGGTCTAGAGAAAAAGGGACGAGAGAATTCAGGCGTTCAATAACTTCACTTTGATCAAACCAAACAGTTGAGCCTCAAACAGAGGGAAAGCATCTTCCATCGAGGGGAAAATGTTTGGGTCGCAGCAGAACCAGACTGACGGTTAGCTAAAAAGCGAAGCTAATCATGGAAGGAAAGCTAACCGACTGCATCCCGGTTTCGGTTCATCACCCGGGAACAGCTCTGACACATTTCCCCTACCTGCTCTGTGCGCATCAAACTCGGACTTCATCACATGGATCATCCTCTGCTGCAGGCGGCTCCGCTCCTCGCACCGAACCACCGTGTCCTCACACGCAGAAAGCACTTCCTCCCCGGCCGCCGCCAGCCGCTGCGTCAGAAACTCCCTGAAGCCGCGAAGAGCCGCCATTTGTGCTGCAGAAGACGCAAAACTAAACGCAAAGCTGAGCTAACTGTCTGCTAACAGCAGCTCCAACCCGTTGGTTCTGCTGCTTCCTCTTCTGCTGAACAGTGAACCTGATGGCGCTCTGCCGCCACCAAGCGGCGCGGAGGGGTACTGTCTGGCCAATTACAGCGCTGCAACAAGAAAGCCTGAAGAAACGGATTCATTTGGCAATTGAATTGGAAACAATAGAAAACAATCGATGTCACGCAGACTGATACAATTTAATGTTTATGTTTGATTATTTGACTATTCCGGCAAAATAGAGAAGAAGTAGGTATTAAAAATGAGATAACAAAGAACTTTTAAACATTCTAGTGAAAATCATATATTAAATTAAATTCCCTTCTCACCCACCGCGGGTGGTTCTTATCCTCTGAGCTCGGGTCCTCTACCAGAGGCCTGGGAGCTTGAGGTTCTGCAGTATCTTGGCTGTGCCAAGACACATTTCTGGACTGAGATGTCTGATGTTGTTCCTGGGATCTGTTGTAGCCACTGCTCCAGTTGGGGGTTACTGCCCCGAGGGCCCGATGACCACAGGCACCACTGTGGTCTTCACCTTCCAGGCCCTCTCCAGTTCTTCCCTGAGGCCCTGGTATTTCTCCAGTTTCTCGTGCTCCTTTTTCCTGATGTTGCAATCACTTGGTATTGCTACATCTACCACAACGGCTTTCCTCTGATTTTTATCCACTACGACAATGTCTGGTTGGTTCGCCATTACCATTCTGTCTGTCTGGATCTGGAAGTCCCACAGGATCTTAGCTCTGGCGTTCTCCACCACCTTTGGGGGTGTTTCCCACTTTGATCTCGGGGTTTGCAGTCCATATTCTGCACAGATGTTTCTGTACACAATGCCTGCCACTTGGTTATGTCGCTCCATGTACGCTTTCCCTGCCAGTATCTTGCACCCTGCTGTGTGTGATGTGCTGGACTGTCTCAGGGGCCTCCTTGCACAACCTACACCTTGGGTCTTGTCTGATATATATATATATTTATATATATATATATATATATATATATATATATATTATATATATATAATATATATATATATATATATATATATATATATTGATCCACAGAATGAACAGTTGTAAAGCAGACAGCCACAAAGGGCACATGGTAAAGATGACAAATGTGAAATTAAAAACGTTTATGAATCCCAAAGGAAGAGTAAATTTAGTTGTAAGTCATATGATTCAAACCTCTTACAGATTTATTTTGTAAACGTTGGTGGTTATGGGCAGGAAGGATCTCCTGTAGCAGGAACCGTATTTTCATCAAAGCAGTCACAGGACAGCAAAGTCGACTCAAGTAGATTTATTTGGTGCTCGAATTCAAAGATTTCAGAAAAATATCGGTTAATCTCACAGAGACCGATATGGTTCAATGTTTATTTCCGTTCATTTAGATTATTCTGACACACCCAAAATTTAGAAATGAAACATCAGAATAGCAAATATTGTTTTTGTGCTCTAGTAAAGTGACACGTTTCTCTTAAGCGTCACCTCCAGGCTCCGCAGTCGTCCCCAGAACAGAAAAGCCTCTTTTATGGACTTGTTGGTCGGTTTTAAGCTCCTGATGAACAGCAAATACTGGAAATGAAGTAGCAGCGACAGTGAAGCACGGTGGTGGCAGCATGATGCTGCGGTAGTGGCCGGAAGGTTTCTGGAGGTGAAGGGACGTGGATGCAGAACAACTTCAGCAAATCCTGCAAACAAAGTGCTGGAACGACAGAGGAGATTTCTCAAGACATGGAGTCCAAGAGCTGCAGGAACCAGTTGAGACAGAAACAGCTGGATGTTCTGGAGAGGCCAAAACAACAACAGAGGTCAAAGTTTGAGACGCATAAATGGTGCCGTCCACATTTACACTGAGAAAAGCAGCTAAACGGATGAAATGCAGCTGCATGTGACCGTAAAAGAAAAGTTACTAATGAAACGCGAGCTCAAAAACCCCCCATATAAGCAGAATAAAAGCAAAATGCACAAAGTTTCAGTTTTAAACAAATAAAGGGCAAAACAAGCATGATAAAATCCACGAATGTAAAAAGCTGTGTGCAACAGTAAGAAAAAAAAACCCCAAACTCTGGTAAAACAAATGAAAATTCTGACAGAAAAATGAAGACTTTCCAAAAGCTGTTGCAGAATCAGAGATGGAGGGTTCAGTCTGAGTGAGTGAAGGTGACGAATCAGATCACAGACAAAGAAAAGCGAGGCGCCCAGATGAGCCAGGTGTCTGGTTGGGTTTTTTGGAAGCGCAGAGGCCGATTTATGATCCCAGCGGATCAGAAAGCGGTTCGAGTCCGCAGTCCGTCCTCCACGTTGACCCACCGTGAGAAGGAAGAGAGGACCGCTCCGGAGAAATGAGCCCTGACCGGCTTATTCACCGGCAGCGTCCGTGTGTTTACTGCCGGCAGAAACCTCCCCCGTAGCGATCCAGCAAATGGCTCCAGCGCCACATTTTCACCTGCATCGCGCTCCAACATGCCTCCGCTAACGGAAACGAGGCATTTGTAGTTTCTGTGAGGCGGTTTTATGTATTTTGGGAGACGAAATGTGAAGAAAACCCGGCGCTCGCTGCTCCAAATCGCAGCGTGTGCGGCAGGTCTGAAGGGTCCTGGGAGGAAAAGAGGAAGTCCTGCGAAGCGAAGCAGAGGTTAGCGTCGAGACAGGAGGCTTTTCTTCCGCTTCTCTTCAGATTCACGCGCCGAGAGTTGAATTAGTTTGTGATTTTGAGCGTAAAACGAAGCGGAGAAAACACAAGTGCCATGTTTGAGGCAGCAGCGGCGCGCGGGCTGAGTTGTCTCTTCACGGTTCTCATGGATGTTATAAGTGCCGCCTCCTGCTCAGAGCCGGGCACGTTGAGAGGAAGGTTTAGCAGAAAGATGGCAGAAGAAGCTCCAGCAGCGGTGAAAGCCCCGGCGAAAGCCCCGAAGAAGAAGTCCGCTCCCCGGGCCAAGAAGGACGGACCCAGCCTGTCCAAGCTGATCGTGGCCGCCGTGGCCGACTCCAAGGAGCGCAAGGGAGTTTCTCTGGCGGCGCTGAAGAAGGTGCTGGCCGGGAAGGGCGTGGATGTGGCCAAGGCCAACAAGCGCATCAACACGGCCGTCACCAAGCTGGTGACCGGAGGAACCCTGAGCCAGACGAAAGGCACCGGGGCCTCGGGCTCGTTCAAGCTCGCCAAGAAGGAGCCCAAAGCGGCCAAGCCGGCCAAGAAGGTGGTGAAGAAGAAGGCTCCGGCCAAGGCCAAGAAGCCCGCCGCCAAGAAGGCCAGCACCCCCAAGAAACCCGCCGCCAAGAAAGCGGCGGCAGCGGCCAAGAAGTCCCGAAGAAGGCCTCGGCCAAGAAAGCCGCCGCGGCCGCCAAAAAGGTGCCCAAGAAGAGCCCCAAGAAGGCCGCCGCCAAGAAGCCGAAGGCCGCCAAGAAGCCCGCGGCCAAGAAGGCGCCAGCCAAGAAGCCCGCAGCCAAGAAGGCCAAGAAGTGAACATCTGGCCCCGACACCGCTTCACGCACCAAAGGCTCTTTTCAGAGCCACCACCTGCACACGTTAAGGCATCGACCCTCGTTGCTCTGCACCGGCGCAGTGGAGCAGGCGCGTTAGTTCATCATGTGTTTCGACGTTCGATAGACGAAACAATGTTGACTTTTCTAGAACATTGTTGCATGTTATTAGTAGCAAATGTGGAGTTTTTCTGACTGGGCTCAACCGGTTACAATGTTTCGTTTCTCTCTCTCTCTCTCTCTCTCTCTCTCTCTCTCTCCTCTCTCTCTCTCTCTCTCTCTGTGTGTGTGTGTGTGTGTCGCGGCTCAGTCCACTTCAAACTGGAGCGAGTTGAGCCGCTTGCTAAGATTTTTACCGACAAACTATTTGAATTTATTGCAAAATATTCATGTGCTTTCATCCAGCTGACAGCAACATGCACAATGACATGATGACGCTGCGCGCCCTGCGTCAGGAGCACAGGAAACATTTTCATTCCGGTGTCATATTAAGTTGTTTTGATTTTGTTTTTGTTTGTTTTTTTTTGACCTTATTTTAAAGAGAAGCATGTCAAGCAGTGAAAAGATGAGTTCACTGAGCGAGCGCGTGCGTCTTCATTTCTAGTTATTTCTTGAACCTTTTGAAATGAAAAGAAGTGATTTAATTTTCACAGCCATGAATCTGGACGCGTTTTCACTGAGATTGTGCACATCTATAACGTCGTGATTTTCATACCGAGCGTCGCAGTGAAAAAACGCAAAGCGTCGGCAGAAAATGCAACTTTCTTCCCCTGAAACTGTCAACGCCTCCTCTTTTGTTACTGAGATTTCTCTCGCGCTTTATTTTGAAATTTCAAATCCGCCCAATAGCCGAGTCCGCTGCGTTTCCCTACGTCAGCAACGTGAGCCAATCAGAAGCTCCTTCGCGCCCCCGGCCTCCTCATAAAGCCCCGCCGCCCGACTGGAGAATTCATCCGTTCACCAGAGTCCAACGAGACGCAGAGAAACGAGAAGAAGAAGGCGCGATGGCCCGAACCAAGCAGACCGCCCGCAAGTCCACCGGAGGGAAGGCCCCCAGGAAGCAGCTGGCCACCAAGGCCGCCCGCAAGAGCGCCCGGCGACCGGCGGGGTGAAGAAGCCTCACCGCTACAGGCCCGGTACCGTGGCTCTGCGGGAGATCCGCCGCTACCAGAAGTCCACCGAGCTGCTCATCCGCAAGCTGCCCTTCCAGCGCCTGGTGCGAGAGATCGCCCAGGACTTCAAGACCGACCTGCGCTTCCAGAGCTCCGCCGTCATGGCGCTGCAGGAGGCCAGCGAGGCCTACCTGGTCGGCCTCTTCGAGGACACCAACCTATGCGCCATCCACGCCAAGAGGGTCACCATCATGCCCAAAGACATCCAGCTGGCCCGCCGCATCCGCGGAGAGAGGGCTTAGACGCGCACGCGCAGCCTCCACACGGAACCAACGGCTCTTTTAAGAGCCACCGACAAGCCGCGAGGGACAAACTTCCTCATTTGCACTCAAAACACAAAATAACATCATTCACTTACCAACATGCAACACATTTATTTACACGCTTCACTGAAACCCTTGCACCGACAAAAACCTCAACGAGGAAACCAGCCTCGCTCCTCCGACAGCGGAGTGACGCACTCACTGCTCTTCAAATGCAACAATTATCCACTCACTCTGGAGATAAACCCTCATTCAGTCATTAGGAAAACGCACAATTTATTTCACTGCCTTGTGCAGCTGCTGGCCTCCGTCAGGCACCTTGTCCCTCTCTCTCACACACACGCACACACACTCCCGCTTTCAAAGTCTGCCTTTCATTTTTACAAACAAACTCGGTAAGCCAACAAAAACACTGCAGATATTAAACACACCAACTTGCAGCATTTCAGGACTAAACGATGCTAAACCCGGACTGAAACTCCGGCTTCAGTTGCCTGCATGTCAACATTCACGTGACAATAGGAACACTAGAAAAACACTCATTTCACAATCTGCTTAGGCCTTGATCCACTGCAGACATCAGCCTGTGCTGAACTGCATCAGTCTGGAGCTCTTTGTGTCAAGGTGCGTTTAAAACGCTCCGATATCTGAGAAATCACGAAATAAACGAGGACGGAGCTCAACGTCCCCGCAGTCAGTCAGAAAGCTGTGCAGGTTGGTGCGTCTGATGCACAACACTGGATCTGTTCGCCTCCGGAAAACCTGCCGGCCACATAAAGGAGAGCAAACGGTCATGGTTTAAACCTTTAATTTGACACATTTGATCTGAAACGAAGCCCGGACGAGTGACGGTTCTGATCAGACAGGCTTTTCTCTCAGGTCCATTTGTGTGGCCCTGAAAAGGGCCTTTGTTGTTGTTGGAGGAAAGCGGCAGCTTTACTTGGAGCTGGTGTACTTGGTGACCGCCTTGGTGCCCTCGGACACGGCGTGCTTGGCCAGCTCTCCGGGCAGCAGGAGGCGCACGGCCGTCTGGATCTCCCTGGAGGTGATGGTGGAGCGCTTGTTGTAGTGAGCCAGGCGGGACGCCTCGGAGGCGATGCGCTCAAAGATGTCGTTGACGAACGAGTTCATGATGCTCATGGCCTTGGAGGAGATCCCGGTGTCAGGGTGGACCTGCTTCAGCACCTTGTACACGTAGATGGCGTAGCTCTCCTTCCTGGTCCTACGCCTCTTCTTGCCTCCTTTGCCGGCCGTCTTGGTCACGGCTTTCTTGGAGCCCTTCTTAGGCGCAGACTTGGCGGGTTCCGGCATCCTTACGGCTTCCTGGGAAACAGCGACGGCGAATGATGTGCGCAGGCGCAGGGACGCTTCTTATACAGGCTGCACGCTAATCTGACTGTGCCGTCGCCTCGATCTCATTGGCTCAGCTCGTCACGCGCTCCAGGCGGCGGTCGGCCCTCAGTCTCTGCAGTCTGCAGAGGCTCTGCCGTCTGAGCACTCCAACGCTTCAGCCCGTTGACGGCTTCATTGTGTTCCGGCTCGTCTCTGGTATGAAGCGCAGCCTGGATATTTGGAATATCCAGGCAAAACATCACCGGATATCGACATGTGGAAGCTCCTCCAGTCACATCGATCCTCTTCCTGGTGGCCTTGACGCGACCACAGTGGTTTGATTTATTAGGGACAGTGCACATTAATGATCAATCAATACTTCTGTACAGACTGTAAATGAGCCAGATTATAGCATAATTGCTCATTTCCATCTGTAGTCCCAAAACAGAAAGACCCAATCAACAAAAAGGCATTACAAACACACAATCAATAAATCGCATCAACAGACATTTACAGTTACGGCGCGGTCCAAATGAAACCCAGCAAGAAGCTGAGCGAGACGGATTAAAGCCACCCAGAGAAACGACGAAACGCTCACTGGCTGAAGCAAGACACCCCCGCTCTTAAATCGGCCTTTTAAGCTTCCAGCGAGTCTTAACGCATATAGGACACAATAAGCTGCTGCTGCTGCTTTATGGCGCTAAAACACACAGACAAACGGTGACGCCACACGTGGTTGTGTTTGGTCAAAATATGTAGGAGTGATTCGGTAGGAATGCTGCTGGTTCTGATGGACTCAGGTGAGTTTATTGAACGTTTATGGCTGAAGGTTTATTTGGAAAGGAATTTACGAGAATCTGTAAAACAAGCAGGCAGAGAAATCAAATCAAATCTATAATATCAGAATATCTGTTCAGAATTCAACATTGGACAGCAACAAGTGGGGGAGGAGGTCGGTGGTGTAGCTTCATCGTGTGTGAGCAGTTGGGTGATCGACCAGCGTTTCATGCAGGAAGCGTGTCTTGAGAAGTGTGGGTGGCTCTGAAAAGAGCCGTTGTTTGTTGGGTTCGGTTCGGGTCTGGTCAGGTCAGGTGGGATCGGGTCTGGTCGGGTTTAACCTCCGAAGCCGTACAGGGTTCGGCCCTGCCTCTTCAGGGCGTACACCACGTCCATGGCGGTCACCGTCTTCCTCTTGGCGTGCTCCGTGTACGTCACGGCGTCACGGATGACGTTCTCCAGGAACACCTTGAGCACGCCGCGGGTCTCCTCGTAGATCAGGCCGGAGATGCGCTTGACTCCGCCGCGGCGAGCCAGGCGGCGGATGGCGGGCTTCGTGATGCCCTGGATGTTGTCGCGGAGGACTTTGCGGTGCCGCTTGGCGCCGCCCTTCCCGAGTCCCTTGCCTCCCTTTCCACGGCCACTCATGATTCTCTCTCTCGCTGTGCGTCGACGGTGAAACACTGAGCGCGCAAGCCTGAGCGTCCGGATTTCAGTACATGTCGCGGACCTAATAGAAGACAGGCGGCCAGACGCGTTTCTACTTCCGCCCCAAGCTGCCACCGAGCAGCGGACGCGTTTCCGCCCAGACCACCGGACGGTGAACTAAAACACCGTCCAACGAGGAAGTCCTGCAGTTGGAATGACAGAGTCATATGTTTGTTGGAATCGAAGCAGAAGGTTAAATTATATCGATGTGGGTTTGGAAAAAGGCAGAAGTGCAATAATAGATGCTGTACCACATCTGGAACACGGACTGAGGAGGGCGCAGGCCAAGACAGACAGAGAGGTCTCCGCAGCAGAGTTCTGGGACATCAATAAAAAACATCTGATGAGTTATGGCAAGAAGGATTGTTGGTTCAAATAAAACAAATATGTTGAAGGGGTAAAATATATAGATGGATTTTTAAAAAATGTAACCGGAAGGGAAAAAATGTAAAATGTATAAATAAGAAAATACAAGAGGCGACAGGCAGCGATGCAGAATCCAATCCAAGTCCGTCACAGTTACTGATAGGAAGACAAATATTTATGTCCGTCTTAAATTGCATGAGAATGTTATAGAAAGGATATATCAGATCATATATTTAGGAATTTGGTTTGATAAAAACAAACAAAAAAATACTTACATGGAAAATACATATAAAAAAATCATTGAGAAAAGCAAGAAAATCCTAAACATCATGAGACGTTCCAAGAGGTTTAGATTGGGGAGTTGACAGGAAAGCATTCAAAATAATGTACATTGGACTAATTAGATCAGTGATTGATTATGGATGTATTGTATATAATATATAGTATATAATTATATAATGAAAAAATATGGATCCTGGATTAAATTAGTTTGGATTCCTGCTCATGTTGGAATAGTAGGAAATGATAAATCTGCTAAAAATGCAGCAAAAAGAGGAAATGTTGAGCTTAATATTAAAATGAGCAAATATGAGGTCAATAGTATAAGAAACATGTATATTAAAAAGAAATGGCAGGAACAATGGGATAGAGTAGAAAAATCAAGACTTTATTATAGCATTCGAAAAACAGTTGGGGAACGTAGGAAACGTAACGCCATGGGGATAAGAAAGAAGAGGACGTTTTGTCCAGATTGAGGTTTGGGGATTCGGGGTCCAATAGCACTCTGACAATAATGAGCAAACACAGTGCAGGTACAGCGAGAAACAATGCAGCACGTTTCTCTAGAATGTAGTAAATATTCTCAGGAAAGAGGGGTATTCATCAGAGAATTGAATAGCAACAAAAACAAATGAGATATTAGAAATCTGCTGCAAAAGGAGGATGTTTAACAGCATGTTGAGTTTTCTTAGGTCAGGTCTTATGGGAAGGTTATAGTGCTTTTACTGGTCCATACTCCAGTCGGGCCAGGAGTTTGGCTTTCCTCAGGTTTGTTTCTGCTCATGCAAAAACCTGACAAGCAGCAGATTCTTTCGTTCTGCTACAAGAACCTGTTCAAGCATCCGGCCACGTCGCCAGGCCGGATGCAGCCGGGTGAGATGCAGATGGCCGGACATAGCGTCGGAACCGCAGTGTTGGATCTGCGTGGGATTCCCTCTCGGGCTGGAGAACCCAGAGGCCTCTGTCTATTAAATAAAATAAAATCCCACTCATCTCATTGTCAACGTTTGATTGTCGTGGCCAACATTCAGCATTTAATGTGCTTCCCTTCTTAAAGGTCAGCGCAAGTCTCGGCTCTCTGCCCTGTACTGGACTTTAATCTACGACACACTGCATGGAAATCAAGTGGAGTTTAGAAACTTTGGCTCTCCAGACGGAAGTGGGTGGCTCTTAAAAGAGCCGTTGGGTTGTCGCGCTCGCTGGCTGGCGCTGCGGACGGTTACTTGGCCTTGGCCGGCTTCTCGGTCTTCTTGGGCAGCAGCACGGCCTGGATGTTGGGCAGGACACCACCCTGAGCGATGGTCACGCCGCCCAACAGCTTGTTGAGCTCCTCGTCGTTGCGGACGGCCAGCTGCAGGTGGCGGGGGATGATCCTGGTCTTCTTGTTGTCGCGGGCCGCGTTCCCGGCCAGCTCCAGGATCTCGGCGGTCAGGTACTCCAGAACCGCAGCCAGGTACACCGGAGCTCCAGCACCGACGCGCTCGGCATAGTTGCCCTTGCGCAGCAGCCTGTGGACACGGCCCACAGGGAACTGCAGCCCCGCACGGGACGAGCGCGTCTTGGCCTTCGCTCTGGCCTTGCCGCCGGTCTTTCCGCGTCCAGACATCTTGTCTCGGTCAAACTCACTTCTGCTCTCAACAAACAGGAGGAAACAATGCCGCACGCAGGAGCGCCGGCCATTTATACCTGCCGTCTCTTCACTCATTGGTTGCGACTTAGCACAAACCCGATCCTCCAATCAGAACGCAGCGCGTCAAGTTCTCACAGGAGACACCACACTTCCGCTCACCGCCAGATGGGTCCCACAAAGTAAAACTTGAGGCTTTGTCCTTTTCTGGCTCCCCGAGCTTCTGCATCATTAATGTTCAATATGAGATCTTGTCTTGTTTCTGAATTTTGATCTAAAATACTTATTAATGCACTACTTGAATCTGAACAAGTCAATGTCTCCTTCTTTGTCCAATCTAGAGCCCTTGATACAGCCGTTAATTCAGCTGAATGTACCGTCAGTCTATCCGTTATTTCTTTATTGATCATAATATTTAAGTCCGGAATTATAAATGCCGTTCAATGTTATCATTTGACATGTTAGCAGCATCTGTACATGTTTGTATGAACTCTGAATACTCTTCTTATGTAACTTTCCACCTCTTTCTTTTCTATTTGTCTGCCTCTTTCCAATGAACTTAAATCGACTTCAGCTTTTCCACCTAACCAAGGTGGAGAACCGGCAGAGCGATTTATTCCTACCTCATTTATTTCATTATTAATAATCCAGTCCATATTCATTTTCTTATTTTTTACTTTTTCTTGACAAGGTTGTGACATAACATTTGGAGGATAACCGTCCTCAAGTCCCTCAATATTCGCTGGCCGGTAAATGACGTCTTGTTGTTTCCTTCCGAGCTCCGGCGCCGACTCTCCCGTCATTCCAACTCTGTCATTCCAACTGCAGGACTTCCTCGTTGGACGGTGTTTTAGTTCACCGTCCGGTGGTCTGGGCGGAAACGCGTCCGCTGCTCGGTGGCAGCTTGGGGCGGAAGTAGAAACGCGTCTGGCCGCCTGTCTTCTATTAGGTCCGCGACATGTACTGAAATCCGGACGCTCAGGCTTGCGCGCTCAGTGTTTCACCGTCGACGCACAGCGAGAGAGAGAATCATGAGTGGCCGTGGAAAGGGAGGCAAGGGACTCGGGAAGGGCGGCGCCAAGCGGCACCGCAAAGTCCTCCGCGACAACATCCAGGGCATCACGAAGCCCGCCATCCGCCGCCTGGCTCGCCGCGGCGGAGTCAAGCGCATCTCCGGCCTGATCTACGAGGAGACCCGCGGCGTGCTCAAGGTGTTCCTGGAGAACGTCATCCGTGACGCCGTGACGTACACGGAGCACGCCAAGAGGAAGACGGTGACCGCCATGGACGTGGTGTACGCCCTGAAGAGGCAGGGCCGAACCCTGTACGGCTTCGGAGGTTAAACCCGACCAGACCCGATCCCACCTGACCTGACCAGACCCGAACCGAACCCAACAAACAACGGCTCTTTTCAGAGCCACCCACACTTCTCAAGACACGCTTCCTGCATGAAACGCTGGTCGATCACCCAACTGCTCACACACGGTGAAGCTACACCACCGACCTCCTCCCCCACTTGTTGCTGTCCAATGTTGAATTCTGAACAGATTATTCTGATATTATAGATTTGATTTGATTTCTCTGCCTGCTTGTTTTACAGATTCTCGTAAATTCCTTTCCAAATAAACCTTCAGCCATAAACGTTCAATAAACTCACCTGAGTCCATCAGAACCAGCAGCATTCCTACCGAATCACTCCTACATATTTTGACCAAACACAACCACGTGTGGCCTCACCGTTTGTCTGTGTGTTTTAGCGCCATAAAGCAGCAGCAGCAGCTTATTGTGTCCTATATGCGTCAAGACTTGCTGGAAGCTTAAAAGGCCGATTTAAGAGCGGGGGTGTCTTGCTTCAGCCAGTGAGCGTTTCGTCGTTTCTCTGGGTGGCTTTAATCCGTCTCGCTCAGCTTCTTGCTGGGTTTCATTTGGACCGCGCCGTAACTGTAAATGTCTGTTGATGCGATTTATTGATTGTGTGTTTGTAATGCCTTTTTGTTGATTGGGTCTTTCTGTTTTGGGACTACAGATGGAAATGAGCAATTATGCTATAATCTGGCTCATTTACAGTCTGTACAGAAGTATTGATTGATCATTAATGTGCACTGTCCCTAATAAATCAAACCACTGTGGTCGCGTCAAGGCCACCAGGAAGAGGATCGATGTGACTGGAGGAGCTTCCACATGTCGATATCCGGTGATGTTTTGCCTGGATATTCCAAATATCCAGGCTGCGCTTCATACCAGAGACGAGCCGGAACACAAATGAAGCCGTCAACGGGCTGAAGCGTTGGAGTGCTCAGACGGCAGAGCCTCTGCAGACGGCAGAGACTGAGGGCCGACCGCCGCCTGGAGCGCGTGACGAGCTGAGCCAATGAGATCGAGGCGACGGCACAGTCAGATTAGCGTGCAGCCTGTATAAGAAGCGTCCCTGCGCCTGCGCACATCATTCGCCGTCGCTGTTTCCCAGGAAGCCGTAAGGATGCCCGAACCCGCCAAGTCTGCGCCCAAGAAGGGCTCTAAGAAAGCCGTGACCAAGACGGCCGGCAAAGGAGGCAAGAAGAAGAGAAAGACCAGGAAGGAGAGCTACGCCATCTACGTGTACAAGGTGCTGAAGCAGGTCCACCCCGACACCGGCATCTCCTCCAAGGCCATGAGCATCATGAACTCGTTCGTCAACGACATCTTTGAGCGCATCGCCTCCGAGGCGTCCCGCCTGGCTCACTACAACAAGCGCTCCACCATCACCTCCAGGGAGATCCAGACGGCCGTGCGCCTCCTGCTGCCCGGAGAGCTGGCCAAGCACGCCGTGTCCGAGGGCACCAAGGCGGTCACCAAGTACACCAGCTCCAAGTAAAGCTGCCGCTTTCCTCCAACAACAACAAAGGCCCTTTTCAGGGCCACACAAATGGACCTGAGAGAAAAGCCTGTCTGATCAGAACCGTCACTCGTCCGGGCTTCGTTTCAGATCAAATGTGTCAAATTAAAGGTTTAAACCATGACCGTTTGCTCTCCTTTATGTGGCCGGCAGGTTTTCCGGAGGCGAACAGATCCAGTGTTGTGCATCAGACGCACCAACCTGCACAGCTTTCTGACTGACTGCGGGGACGTTGAGCTCCGTCCTCGTTTATTTCGTGATTTCTCAGATATCGGAGCGTTTTAAACGCACCTTGACACAAAGAGCTCCAGACTGATGCAGTTCAGCACAGGCTGATGTCTGCAGTGGATCAAGGCCCAAGCAGATGTGTGAGTGTTTTTTTTAGTGTTCCTATTGTCACGTGAATGTTGACATGCAGGCAACTGAAGCCGGAGTTTCAGTCCGGGTTTAGCATCGTTTAGTCCTGAAATGCTGCAAGTTGGTGTGTTTAATATCTGCAGTGTTTTGTTGGCTTACCGAGTTTGTTGTAAAAATGAAAGGCAGACTTTGAAAGCGGGAGTGTGTGTGCGTGTGTGTGAGAGAGAGGACAAGGTGCCTGACGGAGGCCAGCAGCTGCACAAGGCAGTGAAATAAATTGTGCGTTTTCCTAATGACTGAATGAGGGTTTATCTCCAGAGTGAGTGGATAATTGTTGCATTTGAAGAGCAGTGAGTGCGTCACTCCGCTGCCGGAGGAGCGAGGCTGGTTTCCTCGTTGAGGTTTTTGTCGGTGCAAGGGTTCAGTGAAGCGTGTAAATAAATGTGTTGCATGTTGGTAAGTGAATGATGTTATTTTGTGTTTTGAGTGCAAATGAGGAAGTTTGTCCCTCGCGGCTTGTCGGTGGCTCTTAAAAGAGCCGTTGGTTCCGTGTGGAGGCTGCGCGTGCGCGTCTAAGCCCTCTCTCCGCGGATGCGGCGGGCCAGCTGGATGTCTTTGGGCATGATGGTGACCCTCTTGGCGTGGATGGCGCATAGGTTGGTGTCCTCGAAGAGGCCGACCAGGTAGGCCTCGCTGGCCTCCTGCAGCGCCATGACGGCGGAGCTCTGGAAGCGCAGGTCGGTCTTGAAGTCCTGGGCGATCTCTCGCACCAGGCGCTGGAAGGGCAGCTTGCGGATGAGCAGCTCGGTGGACTTCTGGTAGCGGCGGATCTCCCGCAGAGCCACGGTACCGGGCCTGTAGCGGTGAGGCTTCTTCACCCCGCCGGTCGCCGGGGCGCTCTTGCGGGCGGCCTTGGTGGCCAGCTGCTTCCTGGGGCCTTCCCTCCGGTGGACTTGCGGGCGGTCTGCTTGGTTCGGGCCATCGCGCCTTCTTCTTCTCGTTTCTCTGCGTCTCGTTGGACTCTGGTGAACGGATGAATTCTCCAGTCGGGCGGCGGGGCTTTATGAGGAGGCCGGGGGCGCGAAGGAGCTTCTGATTGGCTCACGTTGCTGACGTAGGGAAACGCAGCGGACTCGGCTATTGGGCGGATTTGAAATTTCAAAATAAAGCGCGAGAGAAATCTCAGTAACAAAAGAGGAGGCGTTGACAGTTTCAGGGGAAGAAAGTTGCATTTTCTGCCGACGCTTTGCGTTTTTCACTGCGACGCTCGGTATGAAAATCACGACGTTATAGATGTGCACAATCTCAGTGAAAACGCGTCCAGATTCATGGCTGTGAAAATTAAATCACTTCTTTTCATTTCAAAAGGTTCAAGAAATAACTAGAAATGAAGACGCACGCGCTCGCTCAGTGAACTCATCTTTTCACTGCTTGACATGCTTCTCTTTAAAAATAAGGTAAAAAAAAACAAACAAAAACAAAATCAAAACAACTTAATATGACACCGGAATGAAAATGTTTCCTGTGCTCCTGACGCAGGGCGCGCAGCGTCATCATGTCATTGTGCATGTTGCTGTCAGCTGGATGAAAGCACATGATATTTTGCAATAAATTCAAATAGTTTGTCTGTAAAAATCTTAGCAAGCGGCTCAACTCGCTCCAGTTTGAAGTGGACTGAGCCGCGACACACACACACACACAGAGAGAGAGAGAGAGAGAGAAAGAGAGAGAGAAAGAGAGAGAGAGAGAGAAAAACGAAACATTGTAACCGGTTGAGCCCAGTCAGAAAAACTCCACATTTGCTACTAATAACATGCAACAATGTTCTAGAAAAGTCAACATTGTTTCGTCTATCGAACGTCGAAACACATGATGAACTAACGCGCCTGCTCCACTGCGCCGGTGCAGAGCAACGAGGGTCGATGCCTTAACGTGTGCAGGTGGTGGCTCTGAAAAGAGCCTTTGGTGCGTGAAGCGGTGTCGGGGCCAGATGTTCACTTCTTGGCCTTCTTGGCTGCGGGCTTCTTGGCTGGCGCCTTCTTGGCCGCGGGCTTCTTGGCGGCCTTCGGCTTCTTGGCGGCGGCCTCTTGGGGCTTCTTGGGCACCTTTTTGGCGGCCGCGGCGGCTTTCTTGGCCGAGGCCTTCTTCGGGGACTTCTTGGCCGCTGCCGCCGCTTTCTTGGCGGCGGGTTTCTTGGGGGTGCTGGCCTTCTTGGCGGCGGGCTTCTTGGCCTTGGCCGGAGCCTTCTTCTTCACCACCTTCTTGGCCGGCTTGGCCGCTTTGGGCTCCTTCTTGGCGAGCTTGAACGAGCCCGAGGCCCCGGTGCCTTTCGTCTGCTCAGGGTTCCTCCGGTCACCAGCTTGGTGACGGCCGTGTTGATGCGCTTGTTGGCCTTGGCCACATCCACGCCCTTCCCGGCCAGCACCTTCTTCAGCGCCGCCAGAGAAACTCCCTTGCGCTCCTTGGAGTCGGCCACGGCGGCCACGATCAGCTTGGACAGGCTGGGTCCGTCCTTCTTGGCCCGGGAGCGGACTTCTTCTTCGGGGCTTTCGCCGGGGCTTTCACCGCTGCTGGAGCTTCTTCTGCCATCTTTCTGCTAAACCTTCCTCTCAACGTGCCCGGCTCTGAGCAGGAGGCGGCACTTATAAACATCCATGAGAACCGTGAAGAGACAACTCAGCCCGCGCGCTCCGCTGCTGCCTCAAACATGGCCGCACTTGTGTTTTCTCCGCTTCGTTTTTACGCTCAAAATCACAAACTAATTCAACTCTCGGCGCGTGAATCTGAAGAGAAGCGGAAGAAAAGCCTCCTGTCTCGACGCTAACCTCTGCTTCGCTTCGCAGGACTTCCTCTTTTTCCTCCCAGGACCCTTCAGACCTGCCGCACACGCTGCGATTTGGAGCGCAGCGAGCGGGTTTTTTCACATTTCGTCTCCCAAAATACATAAAACCGCCTCACAGAAACAACAAATGCCTCGTTTCCGTTAGCGGAGGCATGTTGGAGCGCGATGCAGGTGAAAAATGTGGCGCTGGAGCCATTTGCTGGATCGCTACGGGGGAGGTTTCTGCCGGCAGTAAACACACGGACGCTGCCGGTGAATAAGCCGGTCAGGGCTCATTTCTCCGGAGCGGTCCTCTCTTCTTCTCACGGTGGGTCAACGTGGAGGACGGACTGCGGACTCGAACCGCTTTCTGATCCGCTGGGATCATAAATCGGCCTCTGCGCTTCCAAAAAACCCAACCAGACACCTGGCTCATCTGGGCGCCTCGCTTTCTTTGTCTGTGATCTGATTCGTCACCTTCACTCACAGACTGAACCCTCCATCTCTGATTCTGCAACAGCTTTGGAAAGTCTTCATTTTTCTGTCAGAATTTTCATTTGTTTTACCAGAGTTTGGGGTTTTTTTTCTTACTGTTGCACACAGCTTTTTACATTCGTGGATTTTATCATGCTTGTTTTGCCCTTTATTTGTTTAAAACTGAAACTTTGTGCATTTTGCTTTTATTCTGCTTATATGGGGGGTTTTGAGCTCGCGTTTCATTAGTAACTTTTCTTTTACGGTCACATGCAGCTGCATTTCATCCGTTAGCTGCTTTCTCAGTGTAAATGTGGACGGCACCATTTATGCGTCTCAAACTTTGACCTCTGTGTTGTTTTGGCTCTCCAGAACATCCAGCTGTTTCTGTCTCAACTGGTTCCTGCAGCTCTTGGACTCCATGTCTTGAGAAATCTCCTCTGTCGTTCCAGCACTTTGTTTGCAGGATTTGCTGAAGTTGTTCTGCATCCACGTCCCTTCACCTCCAGAAACCTTCCGGCCACTACCGCAGCATCATGCTGCCACCACCGTGCTTCACTGTCGCTGCTACTTCATTTCCAGTATTTGCTGTTCATCAGGAGCTTAAACCGACAACAAGTCCATAAAGAGGCTTTCTGTTCTGGGACGACTGCGGAGCCTGGAGGTGACGCTTAAGAGAAACGTGTCACTTTACTAGAGCACAAAAACAATATTTGCTATTCTGATGTTTCATTTCTAAATTTTGGGTGTGTCAGAATAATCTAAATGAACGGAAATAAACATTGAACCATATCGGTCTCTGTGAGATTAACCGATATTTTTCTGAAATCTTTGAATTCGAGCACCAATAAATCTACTTGAGTCGACTTTGCTGTCCTGTGACTGCTTTGATGAAATACGGTTCCTGCTACAGGAGATCCTTCCTGCCCATAACCACCAACGTTTACAAAATAAATCTGTAAGAGGTTTGAATCATATGACTTACAACTAAATTTACTCTTCCTTTGGGATTCATAAACGTTTTTAATTTCACATTTGTCATCTTTACCATGTGCCCTTTGTGGCTGTCTGCTTTACAACTGTTCATTCTGTGGATCAATATATATATATATATATATATATATATATATATATATATATATATATATATATATATATAAATATATATATATATCAGACAAGACCCAAGGTGTAGGTTGTGCAAGGAGGCCCCCTGAGACAGTCCAGCACATCACACACAGCAGGGTGCAAGATACTGGCAGGGAAAGCGTACATGGAGCGACATAACCAAGTGGCAGGCATTGTGTACAGAAACATCTGTGCAGAATATGGACTGCAAACCCGAGATCAAAGTGGGAAACACCCCCAAAGGTGTGGAGAACGCCAGAGCTAAGATCCTGTGGGACTTCCAGATCCAGACAGACAGAATGGTAATGGCGAACCAACCAGACATTGTCGTAGTGGATAAAAATCAGAGGAAAGCCGTTGTGGTAGATGTAGCAATACCAAGTGATTGCAACATCAGGAAAAAGGAGCACGAGAAACTGGAGAAATACCAGGGCCTCAGGGAAGAACTGGAGAGGGCCTGAAGGTGAAGACCACAGTGGTGCCTGTGGTCATCGGGGCCCTCGGGGCAGTAACCCCCAAACTGGAGCAGTGGCTACAACAGATCCCAGGAAACAACATCAGACATCTCAGTCCAGAAATGTGCAGTCCTTGGCACAGCCAAGATACTGCAGAACCCTCAAGCTCCCAGGCCTCTGGTAGAGGACCCGAGCTCAGAGGATAAGAACCACCGCGGTGGGTGAGAGGGAATTTAATTTAATATATGATTTTCACTAGAATGTTTAAAAGTTCTTTGTTATCTCATTTTTAATACCTACTTCTTCTCTATTTTGCCGGAATAGTCAAAATAATCAAACATAAACATTAAATTGTATCAGTCTGCGTGACATCGATTGTTTTCTATTGTTTCCAATTCAATTGCCAAATGAATCCGTTCTTCAGGCTTTCTTGTTGCAGCGCTGTAATTGGCCAGACAGTACCCCTCCGCGCCGCTTGGTGGCGGCAGAGCGCCATCAGGTTCACTGTTCAGCAAAGAAGCAGCAGAACCACGGGTTGGAGCTGCTGTTAGCAGACAGTTAGCTCAGCTTTGCGTTTAGTTTTGCGTCTTCTGCAGCACAAATGGCGGCTCTTCGCGGCTTCAGGGAGTTTCTGACGCAGCGGCTGGCGGCGGCCGGGAGGAAGTGCTTTCTGCGTGTGAGGACACGGTGGGTTCGGTGCGAGGAGCGGAGCCGCCTGCAGCAGAGGATGATCCATGTGATGAAGTCCGAGTTTGATGCGCACAGAGCAGGTAGGGGAATGTGTCAGAGCTGTTCCCGGGTGATGAACCGAAACCGGGATGCAGTCGGTTAGCTTTCTTCCATGATTAGCTTCGCTTTTTAGCTAACCGTCAGTCTGGTCTGCTGCGACCCAAACATTTTCCCCTCGATGGAAGATGCTTTCCTCTGTTTGAGGCTCAAACTGTTTGGTTTGATCAAAGTGAAGTTATTGAACGCCTGAATTCTCTCGTCCCTTTTTCTCTAGACCTCCGAAACAACGTGACGTTAAGAAGAAGAGAAGAGAAAGAAGTTTTGTGCCGATGAGCAGCTTTCTAACGAGGAGAGGAGTTCCACTTCTGACCAGAAGATTAAGAAAGAGGAGGAGGATTCCAGAGGCTACACCCATTAAGGAGAAGACAGGAAGAGAGCCCTGCACCAGCAAACGGGGACAGCAGGTACAGCTGAGAGTGCGAGAGTCAATCTGCTCAGATCTCTGAAACCCGACCCTCCGAAGAAACCTCTGCAGGGCGAAGGCGAGCTTCCTGCGACATTTGTGGACAGGATCTGTCGAAGCTTTGGATCGCCACCTGAGGACTCACACGGGCAGGAAGCCGCTTTCCTGCAAAAGCTGCGGACAAATCTTCCGGCTGCGTCTGTCGCTGCAAGTCCACATGAGAACCCACGTCGGGACGAAGGCGCACGCTTGCAAGACCTGCGGGAAAAGGTTCACACGAAGCGACCATCTTAAACTCCACGCGAGAACCCACGGCGACAAGAAGCTGTACCTCTGCAACGTCTGTGGAAGAAGCGTCGCCGACCCGTCGGCTTTCAGGAGGCACATGACCATCCACACGGACGAGAAACCGCACTCCTGCAAAATCTGCGGTCAGAAGTTCAAACACAGCAACACCCTGCTGTGCCACCGGAGGGCGCACTCGGGCGAGCGGCCGTACGTCTGCCGCTTGTGCGGCAGCAAGTTCGTCAACGCCTCCAAGCTGAACCGACACACGATGACGCACACGGGCGACAAGCCTCACGCCTGCGAGCACTGCGGGAAGAGATTCATCCGCCTGCACCAGATGAAGGACCACGTGAGGAGGCACACCGGGGAGAAACCGTTCCACTGCGACACGTGTGGGAAAAAATTCATCAGCGGCACCGAACTGAGAGCTCACACCAAAACCCACACGGGCGAGACATCGCAGCCGTAGACAAGCTGCGCTCGCTTTGTTGAGAAGGTTTGGATCGGAAACACAAACTTTGGGCCAAAGTCACCATGGAAACACGTTTCTTTGTTTTCACCACCAGTAAAACGGCTGATCTGATGCTTTATAGCCTGGAAGTAAGTCTTTATAAAGAATCATTAACACAATAATCCTGAGCCTGTTTTCTTTTGACAGAGCCAAACAAACCTTTGTTTTCTGTCTGTTTTGTTGTTGATCTTCTTTTCTGAAGTTAATTGAAATAATTTTTTCCTTTGAGGTTAAACAGGAGACATCATAGATCCAGTTTAATCCAGAACTGAATAACAATGATGACTTTAACATTTTATTTTAATTTATTTCTGTTAATTACAAGAGTTTGCTTGCTGTATATTATTTATGCAAAATAAAAAATAAAAAAAAACGTTAAAACCAGTTTGTATTTTTTAGGTTTTATTTGCTCTCGTGGCCTTTATTTGATAGTAAATTGACGGTTAAATGAGAGAAGGGGGAAGACATGGGGCAAAGGTCGCCAGGTCAACCTGGGCCAGCCACAGTGAAGACTGAGGCCTCAGCATGCGGGTTGTGCTGAACCGCTGCTGAACCGCTGCTGAACCACGTCAGCATCAAACTATTTTGTTTTGTTTTTAAGCTGAATTCAATATTCTTGATCGCTTGAACATTTAAATGTATGGAAACTAATTCCACTTATTTTCTTTTGTTAGATATCCAAAAAATTGCTAATCAATTCAATTTTGCTTATTTCCTAATCTTTAATATTTAAACCAAATGGGGGGTCGGAGGTGACACAGGACAGAGGGAAGAAGGAGTAGTTTTTCTACAAATGTGAACTCCATATTTATCAGGCCAAATCATACAGTGCAATACCATATCACTGGTCAATCTATCCACCAAATTGCTATAATTTCCTTTTGTGTTGTATTTATATTCTTTGTTTTGTATTTATATTCTTATTATATTTACTGTGTACCTTGTATTTAATTTGTATTTTTTTGTATTCTTTTGTGTATGCTTACTGTGTGCCACATTTTTGCCTGTGAGCTGCTGGTAACTATAATTTCCTGAGGGAGTCTTCCTAAGGGATCGATAAAGTCAAGTCAAAGTCTCTAAGTCTCTATTGTTTTGACAAAAGACCCTCAGTACTGAACAGAATCAATAAATTAATCTAAAACTGGGTTGGATACTCCTACAGGGATGTTTATCTCCAATTCTTCATAAATTAATCCAGATATTTGTGTGTTAATGTTATAAAATGGATAAATCAATAAACAGTTCGAATCCTTAGTTTGACGTGGTTTTGTTGTTCTTTGCCTCGGCCATAAGAGGGCGACATTGTCTCGGTCATATGAAATTAAATCCAATCATTTGAGCCGATTTATTCTTTAATGCAAGGATTTGATTATAATTTGACCAGAATCGATTATAGATTGTTGTCGGACAACCAGACAAAACAAAATACGATTATTTGTTTTCTATGTTCTGCTCATTTAAACTAACAAATATACTATAAACTAACAAATTTAGTGTAGGAGCTTCTCGAAGAAAGGAAGATTTTTGCACAGTAAAATGGTAAATAATAAAATATCTTTTTGGGCTGAAAAGTTTCTGAAAAGAACCGAAGGAGAAAGAGTTTGAGGTTGAGTTCGTTCTAAATGCGTCATCTGATGCGGTTTATCAAGATGCCCTCTTGGTGCTGCTCGTTTGGACCCAGCTCTTCCCACAGTGAGGCTCTCCGGATCAGAACCGCAGCGGTGGGAACATTAAGATCCACAGTCAAAAGCAGAAGTTCAGATACTCAAGACATTTGAAATAATTCCACTTTTTTGGCTCACATAACAATTAATTTAGTATAATCTGAATGATCCTGATTGGTTTATAGAAAAACTATTAGTTTTTTTATTTCTGTACCAACGCGCTGCATGTTGTCAGCAAAATACTTAAATAATGTATTTTATAAGATTTGAACTTTTAAAGTATTTTACACTTATCAAAAGTCATTTTGTTTTCCTGAAGGTACAAATTACTTAGTAATTTTATTTACTCAACTACATTTCAAACTTTTTTAGTTTTACTCGAGTAAAGCTGTTCATTTTGCACTTCTACTAGAATATTTTCTGTTATTAAAGTTTCTGTTTCTGCTGTTACTGTTGCAGTTTGGTTATATTGCAAGAACTGTTATCAAAAATCAGAGTTTGCTTTAGAAATGTTGATGTTTCCATGAAGCAAATTTATTTGGGAAATTTCAAGATGTGCAGCTGGATGGACTTTGCTCTTTATATATATATAGCAACATTAATATTCTTGTAGCTAAAGCAGGAAAGATGAACACATTTTCTCTTCCTTAAAAAGAACATTTTTGTATATTCCTGCTGATGAAGTTCAAACCTGAGAGACTTTCCTGGGATCCTTAAATATTTATGTGAAGTTGAGTGTTTTGGGTTGTTTTTTTTATTTTTGGTTTTGCTCTCTGGAGATGATTAATCTGTAATTTAAAGTGGTTCTTTTATCTGCAGAAAGAACAGTCACTTCCTGTACCGGCCTCAAGCTCTGATGATTCTCACGCTGGAACCTCAACATGACAAGAAGGAAACATAAACACAAATTTAATACAAATAAGCTCATTTAGGGAGTGTTGATCCAACTTTAAAACATCTACAGAAAAGTTTTTATATTAAATTCTCCATTTTATTGGGTCACAGTGAAACTGACGTCAGGGTTAAAGGTGTTTGGTTTCTCCTACTGTTGGGTTTTTCTTCTTCTCTGGTAGAATGATGATGTCAGGACCTGAAGCGACATGTCTTCCTGTAAAACATTCGACTTTAACATCGGGTTTAAAGTTTGGGTCAAAGTCTACAGGAAATGATTGTGTGGATGTAGAAGATGGAGGTCAGCGACTTCCCGTCACTGTTTCCTGGGAAACACTTGCAGATGGGAATCTCCTCTCTCTCTCTCACACACACACACACACACACACACACACACACACACACACACACACACACACACACACACACACACACACACACACACACACACACACACACACACACACACGTCCTCCCCCTCTGCCCTTCCCAGGCTCTCCACCCAGAACGGCTGACCTTTATTCAAAATGTTGCTCTGAAAACTGAATGTCACCAAATCTGGAGGCCAATAAAGGGAACGTGTTCTTGTTTTTATTTTATTGTTCCAGATGTTAATAAATCTTTAATAAAGGTTATTATAGTGAACTAAAGCTAACAAAATAACAAAAACTCAAATTGAGAAACATTTTCATTCACTGAAATAAAAACAGTACTTAAATGGAGAATGAATACAAATAAATGTAACTTTATTGTGCCGTCATAAAACTAAGACACACAACATTTATATTGTTATAAATTATATAATTGTAGCTATAATTTATGCTTATTAATTTTATTTATTCGCCCGTTGAACTGATGTAAAGTACATTTTTTCTGCAGCAGACGAGCGGTTTTACGTCAGCTGTCGGCGATTTACGACAGTTTGCAACAATTGGAGAAAAACACCAGAATCAGTTCATAATAACTGATAAAACAATAAAGTGAAATCAGTCATTCCCAACAAAATCACCATTTTTCTAATTCTGCACCTAAAATTTACCAAAGAACTGAAAAACTAAAAGTATTTCCAGAACTAATAAAAACTAAAAAAAAAAACTAACTGAATCAGACAAAAAAGTCTCAACAAAATAAAAATAAACTATAATGAAAAATCCAAAGCTATCATAACTCAGGTTCTAAACTGTGTTTGTAATTAATCAAAATGAATCGCATTTCAATTGAAAAATATGTTGGAAAATACAATTTTTGCTGAAAAATAAATAGACATGAGCTCAACAAAAAGGATATTCATTTTTTTATCTGTTATTTTTTTAAATTCAACTATCAGATTGGTGAAAACTATAATACCCATTATAAACACTGACATTAATATAGAGAATATTTAGTCTGAACTCAGTCTGCAGTCGGGGGGCCCAGCATGGCCCCGTGTCTCGCTACGCCCCTGGACCAGGTCGGCAGGTGTTTCTGTTTTTCTTTGTTGTGCTTTAATTCCCACAGAGATCGTCTCTGTAAGGCTGAAGATGTTGGTGAGTCCCATCAGTTTATCATCATTATTATAGTTATTCATGATAAACAGCCCATTGCGCGTCTTGCTGCAGTTTGACCTGCTTGTTTCTGACCTATGAATAATAACATCGCTGAAATCCCCGGTCTGCAGCGCGCGCTCCGCCATCATGAAGGAGATTTTCAACATGTCGCATTTCCTGTCGCCCCAGCTTTTAAAGAAACCGCGAACGGGACGCAAAGATGCGGGAGGACGGGAAGCTTTGACCCGAAATCCTGCGGGTTGGTGTTGAGGTCGGGATTCCTCTGCAGCAGCATCATCATCATCTTCCTCTCGGTAGGCTGACAAGAGAACGTTCTCTGGACGGGAATGACACCAGACTTCATTTAAGAATCACTCTATTTTATTTTTATTATTAAATCTCGGTAAAAACTGCGATTTGAATGAAAACTTAATAAAATGTTTAAAATATGTCCAGTTAGGAGTTAAATTCGGCTCCCATTAAAGGCGCTGATCTGATGCATTTTAGCTGATTTTAATACTAATTTACACTCATTGTCGAAGCTTAAGACTTAAACATTCAGGTTATTTATAGCTCACATATTCAATTCAACCCAAATCAAATGGAACCATCACACATTGTTCTGTTTTTAAGTAAAATGTTTAATTATTTGTATTTAACAGCTATTGTGGTAAATCTGAGTGACGCTGCTGAATGAACGGTTAGTGACAATCTGATCTTTTATTTTCATATTTGCTCTGAACGTGCAGCTTGCATGAGTTCACCCCGCTGACCGCATCCAAGGTCCTCCTGCTCCCCGCGTCCTGCTGCGTGGGATCCTGCTGCGTGAGATCCTGCTGCGTGGGACCCACATTATTATGTTGATTAGAAACATCCGTGTTTCTTTAAAAACCATTCCAGAAAGTGCATTTTATGACTGAAGGTTGGTATAATTTATTTATTGTAATTTTTTTAAAGTAAAATAAATAAAACCTCCAGGAATGATGAGCCAGGCAAACAGCTGTTTTTATAAACGTTATTTGTTGGCCCGCGGGTCAGGACCTGGAGGAGGCCTATTATAAACTCTCTTCTCACCGCCAAACTGGTACAAGTTTGGAAATCTGATACGGGGCAGCATCGCACCAAGTTAGGAGAAATTACACGAACTGGTACCGGAAATGAATAAATTCTTGCCTTCAAAATAAAACAACAACTGATGTAGTGATTTATAAATGCAAAAGTTAAGTGTGAACTTGGATGTGAATATAAAGCTAATATTTCAGAGTTGTAAGTTGGAGAGATCTCTTAGCAACCTGACCCTCAACATCCAACATGGCTGCCATTGCAAACGCAGTAGAAGTATTTAAACATAATTATTAATTACATGCTACCTGATCTGTTTGTGAACAGATCAACCACAGAGAAATAATGTCAGTTAGCTTCAGTCCCTAAAATGAGCTAATTAGCGATGCAGCAATGAGAGACTTGTGGCGGGCAAAGCGAGAGGTGGAATAGAGTCTTACTAGAACTTTACTAGAACCTTATTTTGAATTATTTTATTTTATCAATTCACTATTTAGATGATAAAAATGGTCAAGTAAGTATTAAAAATAAACTCATCATAATTTTGAGCTTTTTTTTAATCAGCTTTTGATTGGCTGCCATCTTGGTTGCTATAGGCAACAGGACATACCTGAATTCGACAGGTACTTTAAAGGACAGTGAAAAAACACATTTTAGCAATTAGCTTTTATTTTCATCACAGTCAGACATTAGATTCTAAATTCAGAAACACTAAATTATAGATTTTCCATTGCCTGAACTGGTCCAAGTTCAAAGTTTAATATTTAAATGTAAAAATTGCCACGTTAGTTAGCAAAGCTATGCTAACATTTTCTTCCAAACATGTTTGGGTAAAACCGAGCAGCTCCTTGTTGGCTAATTGTTTCACCATCAAAACTCTGTGCATATCCACAAAAAGCTTTTTAAGGTGTTTTTACTCTTTTCCTTAAAGCACGAGTTAAGGCTTTTATTCTGAAGGTCGTAGCCGGAAGTTGCTCCTCGTGGGCGTCCTGCCTGGACGCGCGCTCGGCGGCGCGCATTGAGTTGGAGCAGCTGATCTCGCTCTTGACTTCCAGGGCTAAAAATAATCCCTCTGTTAACTCTCCAACTCTGTATTTTGTTTCTTCTTCTTCTCTCTGTCTGCTTCTTTTTAAAACTACATTTCAGCCGGAATGAAACGGCGCCAGTCCGGATAATCCCTTTATTTCCAGGTGAGACTCTTTTCTTATCGGAAGTTTATTAAATTCTCTTAATTTTAGCAACTCTGTTGAGCTAAATGTAAATTAGCTTTGTGGATTATTTAGTTGGTTATTGACGGTAGAACTGCTTATTAATGTTAATTTATCTAACTGTCGTTAAGTTTTATTTATTTAAATTAATTTGCTTTATTAAACTTGGCAAGAGAAAAAGAATAAAGATGGAAACAAAGAGCAGAAAATTTGACTAAAATAATGACAATTTTATGTGATTCAAACAGGAAACTGTTTTGAAATAGTTTAAATAAATTAGATTAGTATCTTATTGATTTTGAAAAAATAAAATTTTCACTTGTAACTTTTCATTGATCTGTTTATTTATGAATAAATAATTTAGATGATGAAAGCAGGAAGAAGTTCAAATTTAAAAAATATGTAGAGAAAAATCCAAAACAATATAATCCGTCCAGTAACACTGATGTTTTTATATATTTGTATATTTCATTAATGTAGATTAAAAATGGCTTCAATCCCTTTGCCACAGTAAAGGATCCAGTGGATCCCTTTGTGTTTTATTGTCTATTGGCAGCAGGTTCTTCTGTTCCAGACGACTTCCTGGTCCAACACACCTGAGCAACATCCTTCGTCCTGCTGATGACATCATCATTTAACTCAGGTGTGTTGAATCAGAGACGGATCTGAACGTTTCACCGACTGACCCCCGATTTACACTGTCCAAAAATAGCTCTGACGGCTTCACACGGCGAGTCTGATGCAGTAAAACGCTGAGCTGACGGGTTTCTGTTTCTGCCAGTCTGACTCCGGGTCTGGGAGGAGCCGATGGCCGCTGGCATGCCGCTGTCGTTTTGTGGCGACAAGGCTCCCAGTGCATACGGCATCAACGATGGAGTGCTCAACAATGGCTGCTTCGTGGACGCCCTCAACCTGGTTCCTCACGTCTTCCTGCTCTTCATCACCTTCCCCATCCTCTTCATTGGTAGGGTTGTCCTCCTCTTCCTCAGGGTTTGGAATGTGTTCAGAATGCTGACAACAGTCTGGATCCTCTGGAGGGGGATCCGGTTCCAGTTGGGTGGGAAGGTGCTGGCGCGTCGGACCAGCTTGGTGTAATCTCCGTCAGGCAGATGTGCAGTTGGTATTAACTTCCTGTTTTTACCCGCCACGCCGGGAGAACTTTAAGCAGCTTTACAGTGTGGCTGAACCAGGATTACTGGAGTTTAGAGATCTGCTGGAGATGAATCAGTTGCTGGAGAAAATATCCGCGATCGAGCCCAGCTTGACATGATGTTGTCGCCTTTAAACGGGCAGCTATGACCTTTAGTTGTCATTAAAATGCTTTACATCTTATGTCAAGTTGGCCACAAGTTGTACTCAGCTAAGAGAAGGACCAACATATTTTTACTCAAAACTCTACAGAGTAACTGATCAAATGATCAATCATTTAATATTTATATTTTGGTCATCAGAAGGACCAAAATATAAAGTTAAGTGGAAATTTTGGTGTTTTAAGGACCAACATGACAATAATTCATATAAGTAACAAAACATTTTAACAAAAAACTTTTTTCCAGATTATTTTAATTCATTGAAAAACTTCTGAAACTTTAACCAAAGCTGCAGGTGTGTATTTGTGTCTGGGTGTTTGCTAATTGCTGCCGGCTAGTCTGAAGGAGCTGAGTGGGGGAGGAGCTGTGCCTCGAAGGCGGGGCTAGGCCCATCCAGGCGTTTTGAACAGCGTTTTTAGAGCATCCATCTTGTCTTCCAGGTTGGGGCAGCCAGAGCTCCAAGGTTCAGATTCATCACAACACGTGGCTTCATTTCCCCGGACACAACATGCGGTGGATCCTCACCTTCCTGCTGCTCTTCGTCCACGTGTGCGAGTTCGCAGAGGGCATCGTCTCCAACACGTCAGTCTGCAGGAGGACTAACATACGGAGGACTTTTTGTTCCCTCATGGATACTGACTGTATTTGCCTTCTTGCAGGACAATGACCTCCAACCATCTCCATCTCTTCATGCCTGCCTTCATGGGTTTCATTGCTGCAACAACATCAGTTGTTTACTACCACAACATCGAGACGTCCAACTTTCCCAAACTGCTGCTGGGTGAGATTTCTCACTATCTGAAGTTAAATCAGATCAAAGTGTTCTTTTGCTTGGTCAGAAATGTATTAATGTCTTTGTGATCATAAGCTTACATCACATAATCTGGCAGAGTTACACAAACACCCCAAAAGAAACAGTTCAGACGTCCACAGAGACAAACAGATTTATTGTTGGAGACATGGTGTATGTAAACTTCTGACCCTCTCACTTTGCTCCCAGTCCTCTTCATCTACTGGGTGTTGGCCTTCATAACCAAGTTCATCAAGCTGTGGAAGTTTGCGGAGTTTGGCATCCGGTTCAAGTACCTGCGGTTCTGCATCACGGCCCTGTTGGTGATGCTTTATGGACTGCTGATGGCCGTGGAGATCAACGTCATCCGAGTCCGGGTTCGCCACAGCATTCCCTCCTGCTCTGGGAGAACCTCAGCAATCTGCTTCTCCACTCTGACTTTCTTCTTTTCTTTGTGTAGAAATACGTTTTCTTCACCAACCCCCAGAAGGTGAAACCGCCGGAGGATCTACAGGATTTAGGCGTCCGCTTCCTGCAGCCGTTCGTCAACCTGCTCTCTAAGGTGCTTCTTATAATTAACTACGCTGAAAAAACACAAAATATCACTTCGTTTTTTTGTCTAGTTTCTCAAAAGAAGACAAAACTAGCTTACAAGTAATTTTTCATGACAATAGAAGAACTGGTTTTAAGTAAATTATTCCTCAATATTAAATACTTTCTCCTCTGGCAAATTATTTCAGTTAAAATATGACATTTTGCACAATTATACAACTGTACATCTTTGCAAAAAATGTCTCAAAACAACAATTTTATAATTTATTGTGAAAACGTCTGAGACAATTTATCATCCATCACAAGTTATCGTGACAGGTCTGCTTTTGAATGGAAAAACAAACTGTGCAAAACATGAATTTTGCATCGTGGGAGCTTTAAAATAAGCATCTAAATCTTGATGAAAAGTTACTTGTAAGTTAGCTTTGTTTTATTTATAGTGTACAAAGATATTTAAGTAGTAAAAACTACTTTTCACATGAGAGTTAAGAATAAAGGAATACTTTGAGAACCTATTTGCTTCCTGAAATGTTGGAGTTTGTTTCTGGTCCATTTTCCCGTCTAGGCGACGTATTGGTGGATGAACCCCCTCATCATTGGCGCCCATAAGAGGCCGATAGAGCTGAAGAAGATCGGGAAGCTGCCCATCGCTATGAGAGCGCTGACCAACTACCTGAGGCTGAAAGACGCCTACGAGGATCAGAGGGTGAGCCGAGCGCCGGTCCGGACCGGGTCCAGATCGGGTCCGGACCGGGTCCATTCCGGGTCCGGACCGGGTCCATTCCGGGTCCATTCCGGGTCCGGACCGGGTCCATTCCGGGTCCAGACCGGGTCCAGTTGTTTCTCCGCCGTAATTCACCCGTTTCACCTCAACGCAGACGGGCGAAGATCCGGACCGACCGCCGTCCATCTGGCGCTCCATGTACCGAGCCTTCGGCCGGCCGATCCTGCTCAGCAGCACCTTCCGGTACCTGGCCGACCTGCTGGGGTTCGCCGGGCCGCTCTGCATCTACGGCATCGTTCGCAACCTGGATGACGACAACAACGACACGTCGGCAAACAAGAACATGGTGAGAGCGACTTTCCTCCTGAGAACCGGCAGTTAATTACATAACTTGAAAATGATCTAAAAACCCCAATATTATCAATAACTCCTGGAACGATTTATCAGTCATCATGTCAGAGCTACTGATGCCGCACTGAGATTTAGTTTCTGCAAAAGTCTTTCTAAATACATGAATATTTACAGCCTCTGCCTTTTTTATATTCCTCATGTAAAAAGATTTTATTGGAGCAGCAAAATCTCATGCTAAAAAAATGTTAAAAAATTGAACCTCTAATTTGAGTTTAATAAGAAAAAACCTCGTTAAGATCAAGATAGCAGAACAATTGATTAATTTAACTGCAACGATCAAGTTTTAATCAGTAATTCATTTTCAGAGCATTTTTAGTTTATTTTATGTTTAAAGTTGAATCTTAAATCAAACTTTTACTTTGAAATCCCAAACTTCCTGTTTGCTGATGGTCTAAAACTGAGACTCATTTCTTTCACACTCCCTTCAAAATGGGAAAGACAAGAGAACATGCCATTCAGTGCATGAACATTTGAATAAATATAACTTGCCAAGTTTTAGTAATTGTTTTTTTTCTGGTTTAAAGAAACGATTTTATTGATTTAAAGTTTTTTAATGAATATATTTATTTGTTCTTTTTTTGTTGACAAAAATAAGGAAAAATAAGTCATTTGGGCCTGTTTCTCTACTTTCCACTTGATTAGAGTTTAGGGCACCATGAACTCTGAAATACCAGGAGATTTAAAAATCCAGTCGCGATGCCAGGAACTGGAACCAAGCCGTTATTGGGTCAACTTTCCAAAACCTGAAGCCATATTTGGATAATTGTTTGCTTCATTTTTAAAAACTTTTGCAGCGTAAACAAGGCGAAGCGGACAGACGGAAAGCAGACTTTAGCGCCTCGTTAGTTCATGCCAGCCTCAGAACGTCGCGGTCGGAGAAGCAGAGCAGACGCTTCTGTGCAGACAGGAAGTTTTCCTGCTGTTGCTTTCTGAGTTTCCTGTCAGGTGTGTTTTAGTGGGTGCAGTTGGGCAGCAGAGACAGAGAGCAGAGCTCTGCATCCCTCTAAACGCTCTCATTTATCTATTCATTTAAAAATACCCAAGTTATCTTTGGGATTAAAATTTGACATGAAATATTAGTGCAACTTGACCTGAAACACGATTATAGAAATCAATAGGGAAATAAAATCTGAAACTAAAATCTAGTTTCTGGTGCAAATAAGATAAAACTAACTTCCTATATCTTTTCAGAAAGATATAGGAGGTAAAAAAATCCTATTGTTCAAATTATGGATTATTTCACTCAAGTGACACAATCTGCCAATAATTAATGTCTTTGCTTAAACCTCCTGTATCTTAACATTTATTTGTTTACATATATTTTAAGTTTACTCAGCCATTTGCACCAGAAACTAGAATAAAAATATTCATTGTTTTTCATGGTCTTTTCCGTGAGTTGTATGATGGGGAATTATGATGGGATTCTGCAATTAAATAAATGTGATCTCAGGATTACTTGAGTCTATATATCAGATCTGAGCAGCTCAGACTGGTTGGATCTTTATTCATTATTTTCATTTGCATTTCAAAGCCCTGCTATTGATAATAATTAGATTCTGATGTGTTGAAAGATTTTATTTTCCTTACTTGTAAAACCGATGCTAAAATAATTTCCCAAGATGCTCAACGTTCCTCATTTAAATTTGTTTTTCATGTATCTCATAAAATTACAACTTTTTTTCTTGTATTATTGACATCCTGTCAAACAAGATGGCCGCCCTGACATCACTTCGAAAAATGGAAACCTAAGTAGTGCGTGGTTGAAAAAAAATACAAACATAAAATCTTCAAAAACAAAACAGTTTTTAACTCAAACATCATGTAAATTGAATGTTTACTTGTTTGTGTTTGCAGGAAAACTATTTCCGCGTTTACTTCATGTACACCACCGAGCTTCTGGAGAACAGCTCCGTCTTGGCCGTTCTCCTCTTCCTGGCTTTAGTCCTGCAGAGAACCTTCCTGCAGGCGTCCTACTACGTCACCATCGAGACGGGCATCAACCTGAGGGGCGCCCTGCTGGTGAGGGACGCGTCAGGGAACTGGAAAATTCAGCCAGAAAACCGTTTTTAACTAGCAAGATTTCTTCAGAATAAGGTGGAGTGTAGCGATGCAACACATGAATGACACAAACTCCGAGACACAACAGATGTTTACCTTTCCTGTGACCGGTTGTTAAAACCTTTAAATATTCCGAATAATTCTTTTAGGATTGTAAACGTGTAAATACTTTGAGGAGGCGTAGAGAACACCTGAGGAGGTTTGGAGCTCCATCTCTCGGCTCGCGACTCGCAGAAACGTTTCGCCGTCATCTGGTCATCCTCAGGTCTGTTTCTATGTTTCATTACCAAGGCGATGATCTACAACAAAATCCTGCGACTGTCCACCTCCAACATGTCGATGGGGGAGATGACTCTGGGGCAGATAAACAACCTGGTTGCCATCGAAACCAACCAGCTGATGTGGTTCCTCTTCCTCTGCCCAAACCTCTGGGCCATGCCTGTACAGGTGAGTCATGGCCGCTTCCCTGACTAACGGCGTCAACCTGAGCTTTAAACGTGGATCTTGCCTGTTCTTGGTTTCAGATTGTGATGGGAGTGATTCTGCTCTACAACTTCCTGAGCTGGAGCGCCCTGGTTGGAGCGTCGGTTATAGTTCTGCTGGCGCCGGTTCAGTACCTCATCGCCACAAAGTTGGCAGAAACACAGAAAAGTGCTCTGGTAAGCAGTAAAATTTAATATTTGTTCAGTTTATGTGCAAAAGTATTCAAACCTCTAAGCTTTTTGCATTTGTCACATCAGAACCACAAACTGAAATAAGTATGAAAATCCATTTTTCTGTCTTGTTCAAACGACTGATGTGAAATCAACCAAACTTTATTGTGAATGGTTTCCAAGCCACAATGGACAATTTTCAGATGTTCTTCCAGCTGATAGCCCAGTAGACTCGGTTTGATTGAGACCATCATCGTCTCTTTGTCTCTGCTCCGAGTCAAACCAACCTGTTCCCCCCTTGGCCTGTGGGGGCGCTGCAGCAAGAACCGACACAAAAACCTCTGAAGACACTGAGCGCAACTTCCCTCTTCACCAAAAGGAAAATGGAGCGGCATCGGATTTTAGCAGTTGAACAATTTCTCCCGCTAGCACATTTGTTTTGTTAATATTTACCCACAATGCCTTGCGCTATAGTCCACTTCCTGCTGTTGGAGCAATCTCTGGTCTGCTTGGTGTTCACATATGGATTCAAACTGAACCAGAATTCACTTCAACTGATCCCAGATTTCACAGAAGGATTAGAGTCTTTTTTTAAATTATTTTTTATCTTATAAATACATTTGTGAAGCACTTTCTGTTATTCTCCAGCAGGAGTCAGAAACCTGAAAGAAATGCAAGCAGTAGAACTGCTTAAACACATGCATGTTTCTGGTACGCCTGTTCATCTGATGCAACATTATCAGACAACATCGATGGACAACAAAGACGCTTCTCTGGTCCAACTGGGTTTTAATTTCTGCTTTAAACCAAACTGATTGGTCGCTAGAAAAGACTATCAGCCTTTCAGTGCAGCTATTCAAGCTTGAAGTAGCATCTCAATGCTAAACATGCAACTAATGCTAATGTCAGCATCAACAGTCCACATTTCTAAACAAGCTCCATGACGGATCGGGGCTTCCTGAAACTCTGGAAATGGATATTAAACTGTGACTGTGTCTCGATCCTGTCCTGCAGGAACACTCCACAGACCGTCTGAAACAGACCACAGAGATCCTGAAGGGCATAAAGCTGCTGAAGCTCTACGCCTGGGAGGATATCTTCTGCGACAGCGTGGAGCAAACCAGAGGCAAAGAACTCACCAGCCTCAGGACGTTTGCTTTCTACACCTCCATGTCCAGTAAGACAGCAAACTGAAGCTTCAGGCATTATCTGGTAGTCGCTCAGACGGCTCTAATGAGACGTTTTCTTCAAACTTTAGCTTTTTTTACACAAAGTTGGATTTCATCTCCTATAACATTTAATAAAAAGAATTGAGAATGGCCTAATGAGTGACATTCAGCAACAGTGACGAGAAATATGTTTGTATGAGTCAAGGTGAGGCTTGATGGTTTCACTGCCGGAGGAACGACGGACGACTACCGATTAAAACCTTAACGGATGGTTAAAACTTGTTCCCATAAGAAAACGAATCTTTGTGTCAGGTTTTAACCGTCCAGCATTTCACTTGAGGTAAAGGATGTTTTTCCTCTCGGTTGTCTGGTAGATTTGGGGAGAAAATGGCATCATCTGCTCCACCTGTAGCTGCTGCGGTTCTGTTTCTCTCTGCTCTGAGGAAAACCAACCAGTTCCCCTCCTGGCCTGTGGGGGCGCTGTGCTTCCTGCTTTTGAAGCGGTCTCCAGTCTGCTTGGTGGTGACACTCAAACCGAACCGAAACACTTTAACCAAATCAGACCGAGCTTTGACCTCACAAACCGAACCGGATTTTTTAGGCAAACGGACTGGAGTCGTGTTGAAGTGGAATAAACTCGGCTTGCCAAGTCGTCGTCCGCCTTTGTTCCCCTGCTGGTCCAGTTGGGGCGGCGTTCTTTGTCCTGAAAGCCTCACCTTGACTCCACTGGACTCATAATCTGGTGCTGAAGTGGAAAAACGAACCAACAGTCAGGCTTGGTCCATCATAAGAACTGGTCGTCCCAAAGCTCAATCCTTTAGAAAATGTGTTTATTCCAGCAGTCGGGTTTGTCCCAGAAATCCATCCAGTTTAAATGAACCGATTTATTGGTGAAACAGACGGATGACAGAGATTCCTCGTGTTGTGGATGATATATGCTCTTCTTTTTGCAGTTTTCATGAATGCTGCTATTCCCATTGCTGCTGTTCTTGCTGTAAGTTTAATTATTTCATATTTTGATATGAGCAGCAGTGCAGCTTATGCACCATGAATCAGAGGTGGAATCTGAATTTCTTCTTTTCCAGACGTTTGGGGTTCATCACTTCCTGACCAGCAGCATTCCCAGTCCTTCTCAAGCCTTTGCAGCGCTGGCGCTGTTCCACATCCTGGTGACGCCGCTCTTCCTGCTCTCCACTGTGGTCCGGTTTGCGGTGAAAGCTCTGGTCAGGTGAGAGTTTTACTGGTGAAGGCAGCAGGTCTGGTTGTTCTGGACGTTACCAAACATGGAGATGTTTCAGCTGCTGCATCCACTGAATGGAAAAGCTGACATCAGAGAGCAGAAACTCTAAACTCCTGAGAGATTGCTGGTATTAAACTCTTACCGTTCACACTTCTCATAGATCAGTGTGTGTGTGTGTGTGTTTCCCTGAAGTGTCCAGAAGCTTGGTGAGTTTCTCCAGAGCGATGAAATCGGGGACGACAGCTGGAGAAATGGAGATATATCAGTTCCCCTGGACGTAGGGAAGAAACACCTGGGGATGGTGAGCACTACTCTTAAAAGATTATTCAGAAAACTAGCAAGTGTGGCTTTCAGGTTTTGATTTAGAGTCGGAAATTAGAGCTTTGCCTCCAGTTCTCATTGTTGAGTTTTGTTTCATCGTCAAAAAACAGTCAAAATTTTTTTTTATCTTGTCACTAAATGATTTAAATTATTGCACTTGTCCATGTTTTTTCAGTTTATGCATTAATGGTAAAGACTTTTGTTTTGTGGTGATTGTTTAACCATCTTTTAAAGACCAAAGCCATCAACAGGAAGCAGCCGATGCGCTACCAGATGGACAACTACGAGCAGCCGAGCCGGCGGGCGATGAGACCCACCGAGACGGAGGATGTGGCCGTAAAGGTGAGGGTCAAAGTTCAGCAGCTCTGAAAGGGTCAAAGCTTACACAGCAAACAAAAACTAAACTCTTTGTTCAGTTTTCAAGAGTAGAAATGATGATCACCGAGGGCAGGGAAAGGAAAAACGCAGTTTGAAAGAAGAATTGATCGTTCAGTTTTTACCACTGGACCCAATTATGCTAGGAAATGATTTTTAATTATTTTAAACCTTTTAAATCTCATGACTCTCATGGCAAGAAGTAAATTACCAAACAATTAGAGTCAAAACTGTCTTGATTGGTAAAGTGACTGAAAATTGGTCTAAAAATAAAATGAAATAAATAAATACAGATGATAATAATAATAACAAAAAAAGTTGGATTGATAACTTCACTAAAATTAATTAAATGACCAAAAAAACAGAAAAGCAGTTTTGTAACTTTGCTAAAAGCTGCTTGATCGGTAACAAGACTGAATGATAAATAAGAATAAAATTAAAACAAAAAAATAACCAAAAAGCTGAAGACAGTTTGATTGGAAACTTTTTCAAATTATTAAATAAATAAAAACAGGGAAAATTTTTAGCATTTTTTGCAGCTTGTCATGTTAAGAGCGCGCCAACATGTACTGTTGAAACATGTAAAAAGGGCGTAAACACGTGACTTTGCATGTGTTGTGTTTGTGCGTGGCCTCGCACAGGAAATGCAGAATTCACACGAGAATCGGTTGCCCCTCGAAGGGTCTTGTCAAAGTGTCCAGATTTTGTAAACGCTTCCCTTCCTGTCCCCTCCCTGCGGAGCGACGCTCCTGTCCAGACGGTCTGCTGCTGCTTCGCCTTTCTGTTCACATCAACGCTCAGCAGGAAAATCATCCCGCCGTTCAGGCCTGAAACGATTCATCGGCTTATTTCTGATTAATCGGTTATTGAAATAATTGTCAACTAATTTAGTGATCAACTCATCTAGAGTACACAAACTCAAAACTAGTGGTGATGTAAACATTTTTTCTTTAAGTTAAAAATCTTTGTAAATATGGTTTTGCCAAAACTTTTCACATTTCTGCTTCACCTGGTTCAGATTCACTAAATAAATGCCATATTTTTACTTTTTAGGCAATAAAATGTTTATTTTCTGTTTTTAAAACTGGATTCAGTTATTTGTTTATTTGTAACTTTTAATGTTTTTCTAATATTGTGTGAAAAAAAGATGCTTATGTGGTTGAAAAGTCTGAAGAATGAGACATTTTAAATCCGATTAATCATCAGAATAATAAATACTAAATGAATATGAGCAGAAATAGGAACGGTTTTAGTTTTTTCTACTTATTAAGGAGGATTTTCCAGCTTGTATTGGATTATTTCCTGTTGGTGTAATAAGATTGAATCCTGGTCAAACCCTGAACTCGTTTTCTGACTTCAGTCGCACTTTGTTACATGTTCTCCTCATTTTCCTGTTTTCCTTAATTTTTCCCATGGGAGCTCTGACACCAGTCTGTGATGTCCACTATGTTTGTTATTGTTCATTATCTGTGGGTGTTCTGGTTTTTATGTTTTTATTAACACAAAATTTATAAAAATCAGAAAAATAACCAAAATCAGTTCATCTGTCCCTGCACTTTCTACATGTGCATCAAATGTGACCTGATATATTTAAATCTTTCCCCAAATCAAACAAAAACAAACTCCAAGCAGCTTATCGTGAGTGTTTCCCTCACAGAAACAAAAGATGCTGCTTTCTCTGGATTCCTGCTGGGACCAGTAACATGTGGCGAGGGTAACTGGAATAAAAAACCTGGGGGGGGATTTGTTAGATAAAATAAACATAAAAATAAACACGTGAAAGCAACAGATGGGAGGAATGTAAACAGTGTGTGAGCAGCAGGAAGGACTGTTGCTGCAGTCCTTCACTCCCTTTAACGAGTTTATGGAGGTCTGACCAAATGTTCTGGAACCGTTCTGGGGTTGTCAGGTAACGGTGCCCATAAATGTGACTTAATAAATGGGAGGTTTTTGAAAAGGCTAACATAAAAAATAATTGATTTATTGCCAATAAATGGCTGCGTGGTTTTCTGTTTTTGGAAGCAGTGAAGACCTAAAGAGCAGCAAAAAAATGGGAATTTTATATAATTGGTCCAATTTAAAAATTATGTCACACTTCAGGTGTTATCATAATTGTTCGATATCCATTTTAGAAATAATATGCAGAAATAAAACACAAAGAAATCCTCCTGCTGCTGAATATTAATGGTTAGGATCTATTAAATGTGCCAACTCATCCTTTTATTACATTCATTATGTGCTGAAATGCTTTTAAAGGCTAATATAGTAAATAAAGAAAAATAATACAACTTCATGTATGTAGGAACTTTTACTGCTTTTTATGTTTTAGTCAAGTTAGTTTCAGCATTTTGTCAGCATAGGAATGTGGAAATGGTTTAATAAGGTGAAATACTGTATTTGTTTCCATTTGTTGTAATTGTTTTTAAGCTGTATTGCAGCTATTGGACTGAAAATGAATGAAATGAGCCAAAGTCCAAAGAAAAACTGTGAAAACCTTTTAGAAGGAAAATATAAAGGTCAAGATGAACATTAAATAATCTGGTTTTTACTTTTTAATGTTAAAATGAATAAACATTTCTGGCTTTCTGCATTATCATGTAACTGATGAAAGTCAATGAACTTTATTTCTGCCAGATTCGCTGGTATTTTTTGCAGGACTTGCTGACAGCTGTTTGTTTTCCCCCGTGTTGTGAACGCAGTACGTGTCAGTCCTTGTGTCAAGCTGTTATCCAACCACCGTCCACTCCTGTGAACTCGCTCACAGGACTTCTTAAACTCGGGTCGGGTCGTGTGCTTTGCTCTTGTAGGTCAGTGTGTAACTGTGAAACGGCACGTCTGCAGGCTGAGACATCTGCTGTTGCTACAAAATGTCTCCAAAACGATGCAGTCACAGTTTGCTTCGCCTCTGTTTCCGTCCAGGTGAGCAACGGCTCCTTCACCTGGGGAAACAACCAGCTGACCCTGTCAGACATCAACATACGCATCCCCACAGGTCAGCCTCTATTTCTGCTTTAAAAATTCATCCTCATCAAGCCCTCACTGTTGTCTCTAAGCTTGGCTTCTCCACAACACAGTAACGTCAGTTTAACGCTGTGGAGCACGGCGGTGGAGGGCTGATGTTGATTTTATTTAAACTGCAAGATGTTTAAATAAAAACAAGCTTTTTCATTTAGATTTGATGAGAAAATTAAACGTTTTAGAACCGCTTTTTGAAATTAGCAAGTTGGTTTGTTTGGGTTTTAAAATAACTTTCTATCCTGGAGTCAAAAGCTTTTGTAAACTATTAGTTTTTGATCAGCTACAGCATCAGATTATTGGTAACTGGTTCAAAAGTTGATGTTAGCATGCTGCTTAAATCTGAGCTCACGCCTGCTGTTACGTCAATAACCAGAGTCAGGCCGCGTGCGTATCGAGTGTCAGGAAGCCGGGTCGGGCCGGACAGATGTCCCGTGCAGAGTTTCACTCGCTCAGTCGTCCTCTGGGATGTGACTTCCCTGCAATCCCAGTCATGCTACTACTAAGCAAACAGCCTTAAATCCTTCCCACATCCTTGCAGCACTAAAGAGGAAGAAACTGGACTTCAGAAATCATAACTGCAAGGTTGAGTCAGAAGTTTATGCTTGTTCTGCATGTGTTCAGATTTAGAAATGGGAATGAATGAAGCCACTGGAGGTGGAACATTTTCAGGATGTTTGCAACAAAATCCATTTACATTTCAAATTACTGCAGTTTATCCCATATATGTTCTATTCAGTTTAAATTAATAGCTTGCAGTACTCACAGGAAGCAGAACCATATTGCTCTTTTAATGTAACTGTCATTAATTTGCTTATTAGATGGAAACATTGACCTCATATTTTCTCTGCTTCCATCCCAGGTCAGTTAACGATGATCGTGGGTCAGGTGGGATGTGGGAAATCCTCCCTGCTGCTGGCCATGCTCGGTGAGATGCAAGCAATCGATGGAAGAGTTTACTGGAGCAAGTAAGTTAGAGGAACATTTGGATGATATCTCAGGGAGATATCATTGCTGCAACACTGTATTTAAAAAAGCCACAATAAGCTCAAGTGAATGTGCAATTTCAAAAAAGTTGCTCTTCATTGTTTGGTTTTGGCTAACTTGCTAGCTCTCCACTAATGCTAGCTTTGCAAGGAATGGAATAAGGAGATATTAAATATTAAAAAGCAACACAGAAATAGATATTCTACCTAATAGAATAAGGAAAGTGGAGGCTACAGCCTGCGGGTAGACTCATTTAACTGGAATTTAATTTAATCACAGTTTAGATTTAAACTCTGAGGTCTGTCTTAAGACCAAGACATTTTTCAGAAGATGCTTTAAAAACGTTCTCCTATCCTAACGAACATCTCGATGCTCCAGAGCTGCACGCTAACGTTTCTGCAGATGTTTGGTTGTGTTTCTGTCTGTTTTCGTGTCTTTGGTTTCACTTTATTTCCTGCCTTCATGCCAATCAGGCTGCCTGATTGTGAGTTGGACCACGAAGGGAGTATCAGGTACTTTGTTTCTGTCTGTGGTGTGTTCATCCTGAAACATTTTCACGTCAGCAAAGTTTCTGCTAGGTTGCCTCTCTCTGTAAGAGAGCGTCCAAAACTATCCTCAATCTCTTTAACTGTTCTTTTGACAACTTATATGATGGGAAGTATTGTAATTTATGTTGCAACAACTAAAAGCATAAACAAAAACGCAAATTACAAGCAAATTACTCACCTACTTTATGAAACTTGTTATGATTATTAACAGTGACCCTTAAAATACTTTACCACGCTTCCAAACTTCGTAAATAAAGTAAATGAAGCTGCTTTATTTCCCTGAAGCCCATAAATATGAGACATCATTGTCGAAGAAGCCACAAAACCTAATTATCACAGACAGTCAGGCAGTGACAGCATCACTTCTTTCCGGGGAGGGAAGTTTAATTTGATAATCAGCTGGCCATCTAATGAAACATAATCACTGTCTGCAGTTTGACATGCTAGCTTTTTGTTTTATGTCGAGGTCCATGCGTTTCTCTGACTGTTCGCTGCTTTGCCTGTTTTTGCACGTTTTCAATGGCGGATAATTGAGTTGTGGATGAATTCTGACTGAGATACTGATTTTGACAGTTGGTCAGAGACGGAGGACTCTGAGGAGGAAATCAGGAGGTACAAGCTCTTCTGATCGTGACCCGTTTGACCCGTCGTTCGCCTCTCCTGCTCCTCCCTTCATCCGTTCTAACCTTGTTCATTTTCGTGCCTCTTGAAAGAAGAGGATGCTGGTTTGAACTTGCTCATGAACACCTACGCATGTGCAAAAGTACTTTCATTTTTGATATAGTGAATTAAAATACTGGCCATGTTTATTTTTATGTTGCATTTGTGAATCTTTATAAAAGGTGAAACATGTAGCTCAAGTTCAGTTAGCATTCTACAACTTTTAGATGTTTCACTTCTTTATATCTGAACTTTATGCTGAGGATGAAATCTTCCCTTTTTGATTCAGGAATGCTGGACATCTAAAAGCTGCAGGACAAACTGGTTTTAGACTGTTCCCATTTCCCCCCCTGATCAGTCCCGTCCTACCAGCAGATTCTGCTGCTGAGTTTCTGTCGTTGTCATTCATGTGTTCGGGACAAACCGCCGTCTGCAGAGTTTTATCTTGTCAATCTGCTGCTGGTTTCCCATGAGAATGCCGTCAGTTTGTGCCATCTGATCCTGGAGTGGTTTGTTTTTTTAATGCTGGGAGTCATCGCTCTGCTGAACAAAACGCTAATATCTGACATATGTAACTGTTTTTATGCCTCAGTAGATATGCACAGATGTACAGATGGTATGGAAAATATTACATATATAATTCAAAAAATGTTTGACATTGTGCTTCTAATGGTGTTTTCACACCTGATAGTCTGGTAAATTCAGTTCGATTCAGTTTGATCTGAGTCAAACCAGCCTGTTCCCCTCCTGGCCTGTGGGGGCGCTGCACCAAGAACCACTGAAGGAAAAGACACAAAAACCTCTGAAGACACTGGGAGCAACTTCCTGATGAAACAAGATGAAACAAGCAACCAGATGAAACAAGATGGTGGCGTCAGATTTTAGTGATGGAGGATTTCTCTTTAGTCTTCGGCTAAAAACCAGGAGCCGTTCTCCTGCTAGCGCTAGGCTAGCAACGTTTGTTTTGGTTGTATTTACCCAGAATGCCCTGCGCTTTAGTCCACTTCCTGCTTTTGGAGCGCTCTCTGGTCCGCTTGGTATTCACACATGGATTCAAACCGAACCAGAGTTCACTTCAACCAAACCCAAAAGTTTGTAGATGGATCAGATCACACCTTCTCAACTGAACCAAACTTTTAAGACAACCGGATTGGATTTGGATTAATTCGGACCAAACATGGCTGATGTAAATCCACCCTGAGATTATGATCTTGTTGTTCCCAGATTGTTTTCATTATTTCCATTTTCCATACCTGTTAAAGCTGTGATAAGTCAAGTCTCAGAAGAAAAGTTTATTCTAACAAACCCCAGAATGTTGCAGATTTAGATCTGAATGATTTACGATCTGGCATCAAATGATGTTTCAGAATAAACTGCCGAGCTTCTTGAGTTCTTGTTCCTTCTGCAGCATTTAGCTGAGACTCCCAGCAAGGTGCTACAGTGATTTATTTTTCTGAGTTGCTTTATCTAGTGCTGGTTTAATTTTTTCCCTGCAGGTCATCTTTAACCCTTTCCATTCTCCGCCTTTATCCCTCATATCTGGTGATTTGTTTTTGTGTTGTGGAGTTTGACCGTTTTCCAAGCATCATTGTCGTTTCGCCATCAGCTTTCCTTCTCTCTGAAGCTTCATGGAGGCAGAAATTATTTTTTTCTCATTTAATGTCTTTTTGCCTTCATTTCCCATAATGCCTCCAGCAAGAACAGGAACTCTGTGGCCTACGCTGCCCAGAAGTCTTGGCTGCTTAACGCTACGGTGGAGGACAACATCACCTTCGGCAGTCCCTTCAACAAGCAACGGTAATGCTGAGTTTTCCTTCAACTGGCACATCGCAGCAGTTTATTTGTAAAATTTAAATAAAATACTTTTTGTCATTGTAGTATGAAAGACTTTGGAAAGAGGTCAAGGGTCGCTAAGAATAGCTTAAGGTTACTGAAGTTGTACCACATTTTTTTTGTGGAATTTATTTTTAGAACTAATATTAGCCAAAGCTAACAAGTTTAGCAGGAATTAACTGCAAACCAACAAATTATTGTGATAAATGGACATTTCCAACTGTAAGTCTTTGTAAGGCACTATTCTCCTAAGTCAGAGGAAATGTTGCTTCATGAAAACAGCTGGAGTTAGAAACTGGAGCTCTTTGCAGCAAACGGTCAGGTTGGCCTTTCCAAGCACAAGCAGCTCCAGGTTTTTTGTACGATTCTGTCTTGACTCCGACTGCTGTTCTGGGTCTGTGTGTTATTTAGGTACAAAGCTGTGATCGACGCCTGCTCCCTTCAGCCGGACATCGACCTGCTGCCCTTTGGAGATCAGACCGAGATTGGGGAGAGGGTGAGTCTCTGTAATCTGTTTCTGCAGTAATAAAGATTTGCTGTCATGTCGTGGAGTGATGCCGGAGTCTGTCCTGATATTTTGTGATGTCTGTGTTTCAGGGGATCAACCTGAGTGGGGGTCAGAGGCAGAGGATCTGTGTGGCCAGAGCTTTGTACCAAAACACCAACATTGTCTTTTTGGTAAGTTACCGTTTCCGTGAGATGCACAAAATGCGTAAAATGGAGGAACAATTCATATTTATCACATTTAGCATAAAACATACATCTTCTGCATCAAGGTCTTTATGTGCAGTTATGCACCAGATATCCGTTCAAACCAACTAATTAATCAACTAATTTACTGTTAACTAAATTGGCTCAAGCTAACACTATTAGCAGGAGCTAACACAATTAGCCGCATCTAAAATGATGAGCAAGAGATACATCAATAGCCAAACCTATAACCTCTAGCTAGATCTAACACCATTAGCAAGAGCTAACACCATTAGCCAGAGCTAGAGCTGACACCATCAGCTAGAGCTAACACCATTAGCTAGAGCTGACACCATTAGCTAGAGCTAACACCATTAGCTAGAGCTAATACCATTAGCTAGAGCTGACACCATTAGCTAGAGCTAACACCATTAGCTAGAGCTAATACCATTAGCTAGAGCTGACACCATTAGCTAGAGCTGACACCATTAGCTAGAGCTGACACCATTAGCTAGAGCTAATACCATTAGCTAGAGCTGACACCATTAGCTAGAGCTGACACCATTAGCTAGAGCTGACACCATTAGCTAGAGCTGACACCATTAGCTAGAGCTGACACCATTAGCTAGAGCTGACACCATTAGCTAGAGCTAACACCATTAGCTAGAACTAATACCATTAGCTTCCCAGAAGCAGATTAAAGTTTCATATCAAAGTTCAGCCAGAATCCAGACCTGAATCTGAAATGTAACAGAAAAAATTTTCAACCAAATAATACATTTTATTTATGCAGTCCCATTATTTTAATTTAATTTGAGTTGCACAGGTTAAAGGTCACAATGGCAGCTTGACTGCGGTTCCTCTCGGATGCTGGGAGTTTCTTAAATGAGACAAACAAGAATTCACATGTGAATCTTCTCCTAATTGAATTGTATAATTTCCTGTTGGTTTAAATCCTTATCAGGCAGATATTCACTCCCATCTGGGTCGTGGCGTTGCGCCCTCGCTGTAACGTCTGCAGTGTTTTTCTTGACATCGTCTGAATGACACAACATATCTGATCTGACGTCAGGCGCTCTCAGCATCATGTGGAAAACGTTTCCGACGCTGGTCACCATTTGGCAGACACTTTCTGGTGTGTCTGAATTTTTAATTATCCAAACAGAGTCGGGCGCCAGACACAGAGTGACAGTAACTCACTCCCCATGTCAACTTAAAGCCTCAGGAAAGGCGTTGAAACATTCCCGCTCTCTGCTGCTGGTGGGTTTTTCCCTCTGAGGATTTCTGATTGCGATCTGGTTTATGATGCGTTCATGGTTGTCACGTCAAACAGGACGACCCGTTTTCAGCGCTGGACATCCACCTGAGCGACCACCTGATGCAGGAGGGAATCCTGAAGTTTCTGCAGGACGATAAGCGAACCGTGGTCCTCGTCTCCCACAAGCTGCAGTACCTCATACACGCAGACTGGGTGAGATAAAACACTGAGCCGTGATGCTACAGTCACCATAAAGCTCAAAACACATGAAATATTCCAATTATTGTGATTTAATTAGCAAAGCAAAGCCAGAGTAGAAAACACATGTGCAAAATATCAGTGATGAACTTTAGATAATTAATGTCTGTCCACCAATCTGTGAAGGGTTTTAAGACCTAAAGTCCTCTATCAATTATATAATCAGAATAAAATCATCTTTATTGGCCAACATCGTTTGCAGAAACGAATAATTAGACTTGAGCTTCACACATCAGCTGCATGCAGACATGAATGAATAAATCAACTTTAGAGGAGACAAAAAGGTCAAATAAAGTTACAAATATGTACATAATGTCTGTATTCCTGTCGCAATAAGTAATAAACACAGTTTGGTAATAACTAGTTACATGAGCGACTTTCTGAAATGATCAACAATACAATAAAGCCCAACCTTGGTGAAAAGATCAGAACTGGTCGAATTGGACTGGCATGAAGTCGGTCGTTTTACGTTAGCAAAGCTCCAGAAGGGCTGCAGCATCGTTTGGCAGAACGCAGAGATGTTTGGGGGAAACCCATCGAAACTAACGGCTCACACCGGCTGCTCAGCGCGGCGGCGGCGCCGGGTCGGTGACCCGGTGTGAGTCCTTCTGTCCTGCAGCTCTATAGATCCGTAGCTTCACGTTGTTTGTTGATGTTTTGTGTCCAGATCATAGCGATGAAGGACGGTTCGGTCCTCAGAGAGGGAACCCTGAAGGACATTCAGACTCACGACACGGAGCTTTACGATCACTGGAAAACTCTGATGAACAGGCAGGACCAGGAGCTGGAGAAGGTAGATCAGCGTTTCACCTCCACATATTTACACTCGCATGATAAAACGCTTTGTTGGGTTCTGCATGGGGCAGGTTGGGACTTTAATCTGCTGAATCTGCAGGATATTCAGCAGGACAGTCAGACGACTCTGGAGAGGAAGACGCTGCGCAGAGCGTTCTACTCCAGAGAACCAAAGAACCAGATGGACGATGAGGACGAAGGTGATGGAAACTTTCTCTTCTTCTGCTGCTGCTTTGAGCTTTTTCACTAAATCAGATCGTTTTCATTCCAGAGGAGGAAGAGGAGGAGGAAGACGACGATAATTTCTCCACCACAACCAGCAGACGGTCCAAGATCCCGTGGAAGGTAACCAGTCGGCGTCTCGGACTCGAGTCCTAAAAATAAAAGATGTTGGATTTGACTTGGACTTGTCTGTCTCTTGGTTCTGGGCTCGGTTCTCCAGATGTGCGGCTGCTACCTCTCCTCTGGAGGCTTCTTCATGGTCTTCCTCATGATTTCCTCCAAGCTGCTGAAGCACTCAGTCATCGTTGCCATTGACTACTGCCTGGCTCTCTGGACTTCCACCAATCAGACGGCAGAAAACCTTCAGAACGGGACCGCAGCCAATCAGGCGGCAGCATTCCTGCAGAATGGGACCGCAGCCAATCAGACGGCAGCATTCCTGCAGAATGGGACCGCAGCCAATCAGACGGCAGCATTCCTGCAGAACGGCTCCATAAACTTCACTGATATTTCTCCTCAACCCGAGGTCACTTTTGTTTTTGCATAATGATTAATAAACACTGTAGCTGTACTTTATAAATATCATTTTTCCACATGCAAGAAAAATATCAAATATCTGGATTTAAAATAATGAAGCATTGACATAAAGAGTCATCTCGAGTATATCCGAGTATTTATGAATAAAAAGTATTTAAAGTATGAAAAATCTAAATAAATGATATTTCAGTGCTTTATTGATATTGTTTTATGAATTGTTGCTCTGTTTTTTGGACCCTGCAGCAGGACGTGTACTACCTGCACGTGTTTTTCGTCCTCTGCGCGGCAGGGATCACCTTGTGCCTCATCACTTCCCTCTCTGTGGAGTTTCTGGGTCTTTCTGCTGCCACCAACCTGCATCACAACCTGCTCAACAAGATCATCCACGCCCCCATCAGGTAACCGGGTCCGGTCCTGCAGACAGAACGCTTCGGAACCCAAAGCTGCCAAAAACTGCTCAGATTTGATGAAACTCACTATGTTGTGACAGTTTGAGTCAGATAATCTTTAACTATAAACAACCAATCAGAGCCAGGAGGCAGGTCTTAGCGTTGTCAATCACCTCAGTGTGTTCACAGGCTATGCTACGCTGCAGCTAGCTCTCATGAATGCTAAAGCTACATGTGGAGCCCATCTTGCTGACAGCATACGATATTCAACCTTTTGAATAATTTAAACTTTTTATTTCTGTTACTAATAATTTTTCATCAGTTTTTTGTTTTGCGAAATGGAAAATTAGACAAAAAAAAGTTTAACGTCAAAGTGAAAACTGGTTTCTATAAAACTAACAATTAAAATGATTTAACACAAAATTAGAGACGCTCACTGCACTGAGACGGGAAGAACCAACTTACTGGACCTCATTAAATTAGGTCACTTTAAAAGGAGCTAATATTTATGCATCACTTATTTAGTAGAAGTTAGTATTAATGTTGCTTCTAAAGGGTATTTTTTATTTAAGAAAATCCATATTTTATTCATCATGGCTGATTTGTAGAAGCAATAAAAACGATAAAATAGAAACTTTTTATTGTTTTTAAACCTCCCTGGTGACTTTCCTCAGGTTTTTTGATGTCACTCCTTTGGGGCAGATCCTTAACAGGTTTTCTGCTGATACCAACATCATCGACCAGGTGAACAGAAAAATATTCTTCTGGAGTGAAGAGTTGTAGCCGTTAACTGCCTTGTTGTAGGTTCACGGATGTATTTGGTTGATTTTCAGCACATTCCTCCGACGCTGGAGTCTTTGACGCGGTCCACCCTGCTGTGCCTGTCCGCCATCGGGGTCATAGCCTCCATCACTCCGGCTTTCCTCGTCGCCTTGGTGCCCCTCGCCGTCGCCTTCTACTTCATTCAGAAGTATTTCAGAGTCGCCTCCAAGTGAGTCTGCAGAGCAAAGTTCAAACGGTTTAGGAAGTTGGCTAACAAAACAGTTTCATTCGGAAACTGTTCATCAATATAATAAAATAACTTTTATTTTGATTAAACATGGTTAAATTGCAGCAAATCAGGATTCTCTGTGGAAACAGTGGCGTTACTTATCGAATGCTGTTAGCTAGAAAGCTAAGTGCTTAGCTTGCTAGCTAAGTATTTAGTCTGGCGTCTCAAAGCCACATAAAGTTTTGTTTGTTTACTTTGACAGGGACCTGCAGGACCTGGACGACTCCACCCAGCTGCCTCTGCTCTGCCACTTCTCTGAGACCGCCGAAGGCCTCACCACCATCAGAGCATTCAGGTGCACCATGTTGGTCGCCATGCTGGCCGCCATATTAACCGCCATGCTGGCCGCAACGCTGGCCCCCATATTAACCGCCAACATGGACGCCATGCTGGCCACCACGTTGGCCGCCACGCTGGTCGCCATGCTGGCCACCTTATTAACCGCCAACATGGCGGCCATGCTGGCCGCCACATTGGCCACCATGTTGGCCGCCACGCTGGTCGCCATGCTGGCCGCCATATTAACCGCCATGCTGGCCGCCATATTAACCGCCATGCTGGCCGCCATATTAACCGCCATGCTGGCCGCAACGCTGGCCCCCATATTAACTGCCAACATGGACGCTATGCTGGCCACCACGTTGGCCGCCACGCTGGTCGCCATGCTGGCCGCCATATTAACCGCCAACATGGCGGCCATGCTGGCCGCCACGTTGGCCACCATGTTGACCGCCATGCTGGCCGCCATGTTGGCCGCTAACAGGGCTGCCATGTTGACCGCCACATTGGCCGCCATATTAGCCGCCAACATGGCCGCCACATTGGCCACCATGTTGACCGCCATGCTGGCCGCCATATTAACCGCCAACATGGCCGCCAAGCAGGACTTCCAGGTTGTTTTATGCAGCTCCAGCAGCAGAGCAGCTCGTTCTTTGTGTTGTGCTTGTATTTCTGTCTCTCGTCTCTTTCCCATCGCTGCTGCTGTCCAGCTTCAAGCTGCTCTCACGCTTTTTGTCCCGGAGGATTTCTCCTTCCCACTAACACACCAACGCTCGACACAAACTCACACACAAGTAAACATCTTTCAGAACCAGTAAATCAGGGGATCGTTCCCATTATTATCACTGGTCTCTGTGGTAGAAAAACATTTTTTTTAGACAACATGGCTGACTGGTTTTGTTCCTGCTTCCTGTTTACATTTTAAAACTCAGATTTGTGTTTCAGACACGAGGCGAGGTTCAAGCAGCGCATGCTGGAGCTGACGGACACCAACAACACAGCGTACCTGTTCCTGTCTGCTGCCAACCGCTGGCTGGAGGTCCGAACGGTGAGGAACCGACCCGAACCAGCCCGAACCAGCCGCAGAACGGCTCTGGTTTCAGTACAGTTCCTCTAAATCATCGAGGTTTAAAGAGTGTCTTTGCTCCTTTTTTGTCATTAAATGTTGTTTAATTATATAGTTTTGAGTTTTTTCATGCTTTAGTTCATTTTTAGTTTATAAAGTGTTGTGATTATTTTAAATAAATATTTAACAGAAGATCTGACTTTAGGAGGAGGAGGAAGGAGAAGGTCAACGTAAACAGTTTGTTTGGAGAAAAAATAAATTTCACATCGAATCGAAAGGCTAATAAACAGATTAAAATGAAGACTGTTACACAAACAGTTCCAGCCAGTTGATCATATTTTAGTGAATTTTATAAATGCACAATAGAGTTCCTGTTCGTTAACGTTAATTACCGTTTTCATTTAAGTCAAGTTTTATTAATTTCATTTTTTATTTAGTTAGTTTTAGTTAACTATGATAACTTTGACAGAGATGTAAACACATCCAGATGTTTAATGGTGTCACCTTACAACAGAAACTTTAATAAAACCAACAAGTTTCTCATTTCAACCAGGCCAGTTTTATGTCTCATTGACAAACTTTTTTTAAATAACGAGACATAAAGATGGAATCCTCTACAGGTTTGTCATGTTCACATCAGTTCGAAAGGCTGATGAATAAATTCATAAACATGAAAACAATGGATAGTATTTCCATAAATTCGGTTTGTTTTTCCTTTAATTACCGTTTTTCTTCATTCCAGTTTAGTGAAATGTTTGTGCAGTGAACTGGTTCTGACACGTTGTTAAAACCCGGAGATGTTTTGTTCTTCTTCTCTCCGTTGGGTTTCAGGACTACCTGGGCGCGGTGATCGTCCTGACGGTGGCCGTCGCCTCCATCTGGTCCGGTCGGCCCGGCGGCGGCCTGGTGGGGCTCGGCCTGACCTACGCCCTCACGGTGAGGTCACTGAGCGCCGTCTCTACCGCAGTCATCCACACACGGAACATTTCTCTTTATTTTTATGATTCTGGCTCATTGTAACCAATAAAGATGTATTTTTAATGAAGTATTGTGGGCCTGCTGTAGTATTTACATCTTTAGTAGATGTAATCCTCTCAAAGCGGCTGGTATTCTTTGCTTGTTCATCCTGACTGTTTTCTTCCACTCAACTTTCTATTAACATGCGTGGAAGAGCACTCTGACCCATGAAGATGAGAGAAAAGATGGTTCAGTCTTTGTGTTTTTGCAGATCACTAACTACCTGAACTGGGTTGTGAGGAACTTGGCCGACTTGGAGGTCCAGATGGCAGCGGTGAAGAAGGTCAACAGCTTCCTCGGCACCGAGTCCGAGAACTACGAGGGATCGATGGGTAACTGTCGACCCAGTTCACATCTGGATAGGAAATGTCTTATTTATGTGCAACTAATTATTCTGTAGATTCTTCTGGTGATCAAAATGGATCATCCTGCAGGTTTTTCATTTAACCACTTAAATATTCTTTATATGAAATAAGAAATAATATATGAATATAACAAATACTTCAGTTCCTTTTTTAAATACTAAAATAAACATTTTATTACCTAAAATGCAATCACAGCATTCATTTAATGACTTTGAATCTTATTTATTTTAAATGCAAAATGTACATATTTATTGTAATCACTGCTTTAAATATGTTGTTTTTAGTAAACAGCCTCTTTTTGAGTCTGTTAGCAATTAACAACTAAATATATTGATTATTTCACTGATCGATTTATCAATTCAGCCCTGTTAAGGAATTTCTACATAAAACAAACTCATATCTTGTTGAACAGTTACTTTTAAATTAGTTGTATAGTGTATTAAGTTATTAGTATTTAAATCTAGATAAGAAATGCTGTGTCAGATGTTGTGTTTTTGCAGTGCAGAGCCGCTGCAGCGGTTTGTGGTCTTATTTCCTCGTTGCTGTGATCTCAGACATGCAGATAGTAAAATCCTGAGTGTATTTGGTCCTCTGGCTGCAGACGCCTCTCAGGTCCCTGAGAACTGGCCTCATGATGGTGAGATAAAGATCCACGACCTGTGTGTTCGCTACGACCCAATGCTCAAGCCCGTGCTGAAGCACGTCAACGCCTACATCAAGCCGGGCCAGAAGGTAATTAACGCGATGCTGCGAAAGGTCGCAGGAGCTGCTGTGACCTCTGACTGTTAATTAAACTCAAAGTTATTTCCAGGCTACATTCACAAAGCAACTGAGGCTAAAAGTTGCACAGAAGTGACATATTTCTGCAGAGCTGGTAATTCACACACCTTCAGCTTTCTGTCGGCTTTGGCTTTGAATTTGTGACAGTAGATCAGATCAAAAGGTTTTTAAATGCTTCTATGGGGCTGAAATAAAAAAAAAAACCTGGAAGAGGATCTATTATTCAGAATTCACATTTTGGACGTTTTTGTTCTTTTGGTTTAAAATGCATAAAAATCCACCAGTCCGGTTTTTGGTGTCTGAAAAATGATCCATTTTAAAAACCTTGGTAATGTTGAGTCACGCTGCTCCGTTGCCCAGCAAGCCCAGCAGAATCCCATTGCGTTTGGGTAGCTTTTTATGCTTTTTTATGAATATAAAATCCCATTAAAATTCATTAAAGTTTGTGGAAATACTTACAAAATGGCAGCCAGACTGAGTGACTCTGGCTGTTAAAGCTGTAAACTCACCTGGGCAGTAGCATCATGTCTCCTCCGGCCGCTTGGCACTCAGGTGAGTTTTGTGTCGCGGCGGCGCGAAGCGAGATGAAGGTTATTGATTCTCGCTCCTCTTCCTCCCCAGGTGGGAATCTGCGGCCGCACCGGCAGCGGGAAGTCGTCTCTGTCTCTCGCCTTTTTCAACATGGTGGATATTTTTGAAGGTGGGTTTTAAATTATTGACGCTTTCTCAATAATTTATGCTTCATTGATAAATTACTATTTCAAAAATATGTGCAGAAAACAATGTTGTTTACAGTAAGTGACAATAGAAACCATGCAACAGGATAAAGGTAATATTGTAACTTTGAGGTCGTATCAAGACGCAGAATGATAATAGAAAACATTGTCAAAGATCATTAAACTTTACATTTTAATGAACATTTAACACCAGAACTGTTAAATATCCAAAATTAAACAAAATGACAAATAAAATGAATGAATTATAAAATCCATGTAAACAAAACCGTACTTTAAAAAAAAGCTCAGCAGATTGAAAACTTTTATTATTCAGTTTTGAGAAGAAAGAAAAAAAACAATAATGAAAATTATTGAGTTTGTTTTAATAAATTGTGATGAATTAATTTATTGCATTTCTGTGCAGATGCACACAGAAATCTAAAATGAGTAAAAGCTGAAAAACCAATGAAAAAAGTGATTTTTTTTAAAGATTCTTGAACTGAAATGTTGTGATTTTAAATGTTAAAATCTCATTTTTATGGGCTTGAATTTTAAAAGAAAGATTTAGATTTCATCTAGTGGCAGCATCATGCTGTGGGCCTGGATTTTAATGGAAAAGTGGTAAAATGTAGAGACAAAACGTCTACACACCATGATGCTGCCTCTACCGTGCTGTAGAGTTGACAACAAGGTCTTGATTTTGATTTCTTTCTTTTGTCTATAGTTTTGTAAAGTCTAATTTTTCCATGTTGGAGAAAACAATAATTCTGATCCGTCAGGAAGTTTAAAAAGTATTATTTTTATTTTTCAGAGTAAAATCTGCATTTTTTTCTGCCTCCAGAATAAAAAACAGACTCCGTGAATTTGATGCCAGGATGAGGCATGATTCTCCTTCCAGGCTTATTTTTATAACCGGATTAGAAATGGAAACTTTTCCAATGATTCACCCATTTTTAATGATCTGGTTTCTAACTTTAGCTCACCAACACGCTGAAGAAAGTCTTACCAAGTGTTTATAGTCTGTTTCTCTTGTAAATATCTTAGTTCACTTGAAGTAAGACGAAACTAACTCAGAGGCAGGATGTAGAATCCTGTTTTAATTATTTACTTAAATCCAGCTTCTGTATCTTACTGATTAGTTACTTGAGTTAGTTTAGTCTTTTTTTAAGTGTAATAAGATATTCACCCAAGTATATTTAGTAAAGCTTTTTTTGTTTTTGCAGTGTGTAAGTTTATAACTTGTAGTCAATTTGCTGCATAATTACATAAATTTAAAGAAACAAAATCCACATTTAAACCTAAATATATTGATGCAAACGTACGTTTTTAGTCGATTTTATGAAGTTTTTCTGACTGATTTTGTCAAACTGAATGTCGAGTTCAGTGAAATAATTCCTGCATTGTTCCATCCAACATGGCCGCCTCATATTTAACCATGTTTTATCCTCGGTGTGTGATCGCGGCTCCTGTTTACGCGACACAAACGGTTTCAGTCTGCTGCTCAGCTCTCTGTAAACTGTCCTGCAGCTCCTCCTCTCTGCTCTTTGTGTCTGCTGGGTTTTTATGATCTGAAGTGGAGGATTAGAGCAGAACCAAAACAGAAACGCGGGTCATAATTCAGCAGGACAGCGGCGATAAAGCCCTGCAGCCAGCTGTAGCGTTCTCTGTGTTCACTCTGAGGATGATGGATGCTCCCTGGCAGGTTTCTCAAAGATTACACCGTCACTTTTTCCATACGCACATACAGCTGGACGGTTATTTAATCACACTGTAAATTAAGAGCTTTGTGTCAGCGGCGCTTCCTTATAAAGCAGTGAAATAAAACCGGCTGCTGCTCTGACTCAACTGCTGGTGTTCTGTAGGTTTGCATTAAAACCGGAGAAAATATTTCAGATTTCATGCAGAAAAAAACTCAGTTATGTTTATTTCAAAGTATCAAAATGCATCTATTCTGAGTTTCTATAATAAGAAAACTATTCTAAGAACATATTTTGATATGAAGAGTCTTAAACTTTGGACACAGCTGTTCTTGATTCACTGCAATCCACAAATACTTTAGACTTCCTCTAAAACACATATTTTAATACTTTAAACACTAAATATATCTTAATATTTACTAATACGCTCAGTAGAAACAAGCTTCACTAGATTTATACAACCTGCAGCTACAAGTAATAAAGAACAAAATAATATATTTAAATACAAATATTACAACAAATGCAGGTTTTAGCACTTTTCTGATGGAATAATTGCACAAAATAACGACTCTAAACAATCAACAATGTTTTGTTCCTGAATAAGACTTTTGACATTAAGTATAAATATATAAACTTTGTAAGTAACAAATACTTTTGAATTATAGTTTATGCAAAATAATTTTATGCACTAAAGTTGCATTTCTCTTTGAATTTATTGAATGATGGTTTTTCAAACACAATAATTTTTCTAAATTAGATGTAGTAATAAATTATAAGCAGTCGTTTTTCATAGCGTTTCTGATAAAGTTTTATTTGTTTAATGAAAACGTCTCTCTTGGCTCACAGTTAGCTCCATGATTAGCCAACTCCTTTTAGCACAGCTTCCACACGACAATCCACTTTTCCAGCGTCCAATCAGATTGTCTGAAGCAGAAACGGAGAGAGAAGCGGCTTCGTCTCATGTGCACCAGATTTATGTTTGTACCAGAAACACACAAATAAAACGGTTCCACTTGGAAATCATGTGATTAATCACTTAAAATCTATATAATTAGCTAAAAGCTTTTCCTTATCTTCAGACATTTGTAAGCAAACCTTGGACAGAGAGGAAGCAGCGTTAGCGTCATGGTGCACTAACCAGAGCTCGATCCTGGCACTGGAGTGAAGCCCGGTTGCCAGCCGCCTCTAGAAATAGCTGAACCAACCTGTAACTAAAACAATGACATGATTTGGACCTGGACTGGTTCCGCAGGGCGCATCGTCATCGACGGGATCGACATCTGCAAGCTTCCCCTGCAGACGCTCCGGTCTCGCCTCTCCATCATCCTGCAGGATCCGGTTCTGTTCAGCGGCTCCATAAGGTACACAAACACACGCTGCTGCCCCGCGCCGTCCCACAGGACTCATCCACGGCTTCCTCTTCCTGTTTTTATATTTGTCCTCTCGTAAAGCCACACAAGTTTCTGGTTTCTCCTGATTCTCAAGTCTTTAGTGCAAAGATGAAGGTTGAAACCAGGAAAAGCTTGTTTTTAAGTGTTCAGTGATTGCTGGGTGGAAAACTGGAGATTTTCTTCTTTTTTAACAAATTCTTGTTTTACTGGATCCATGTTGTGATTTCCAGTCATAAATATAAATAATAAAAACAGTAATAATATTTGCTTGACCTAATTATAATCTACATAAAACATAACTAGATAAAATTCAGTCACTGTTACAGAAATTTACCCCAGAAAATGGTTCTGGTGGAGATATGGGACCAAAACTGCAACACTTCTAACATCTCCAGCTTCTGTCAGTGAGTCTAAATATGGGCATTATTTTATTCACGTTCAAAAATATAAGTTTACACACAAAATAAAGCAGAAACCAAAATTCATGCTTTCAAATGTGTGTTAATTTTCTGAAGAAGAGAATAGTTCAGCAGGCGGCTCCAGCTGCAGGTTGGAAACGCAGCTGAAACAATCGACACAGACGTCACAAACGGAGGAGGTCACTGCAGAGGAGGACGCCCCGACGCCGTCCTCCTCCTCTCCTCTTCATCCTCCTCTCCTCCTCGTGTTTGTGCTACGAGATAATCACACTGACTCTGTGTTTGTTGAAAAAGACGGAGCATGTGGTGTTTGTTTGGACAGTTACGCTGCTTCAGATAACGCTGTGAGAGACGGCGCAGGCCGAGGTGAATGGTCGACAGTAACTGCTTCACATAGCAAACACTCAGATGGTGAGAATCTCTCTGACTCGGGAGGACATGCAGAGAAAAAGGCCATGATAGGGAGACAAAAGGACTCAAATCTGCTGGAAAACTCACATGTTGAGATTAATGTCAGAAATGTTCTAGAAGAAAACTTCAAATTCAGAAACGTCTGCATTTTTTCTTAAAATAAAAAACAAAACGTTGGAGCTTGAAAAGTAAAAAAACAGCTAAAAACCAGATTTTTCTAGAAAAATTTTTAAAATTTCTGAATTTCAAAAGTCAAAAATGTTCAACTTTTGCAACCTGGAGTCAAAAAATCTTTACTTTTTAAAGTAAAGTTTTTTCTTATTTCCAAATGTTTTTTCTATTATTTCTAAGATTAATCACAAAATTTTATTTTTTTCTAGAAACGTTTTGATTTTTCTAACTTAGAAATTTCCAAGTTTTTCCTAGAAAATGTCTGAGTTTAAAAAAATCAAAAATTTCCAAGAAAAGAAAAAAAATTTAAGTTTTGAAACTTGAAAATTTTAAATTTTTGAAAGGCAGAAATTTCCATATTTTTTCTAAAATATTTATTTTCAAATGATAAAAATAAAATATTTAAAATTCTCATTCGAACTTTCAACTTTTCAAACACAGAAATGTTTTTCCTAGAAAATTTCTGATCTGTTTCCCGTCTATTTTGCTCGTGTCAAACTAAAAACCTGATTTTTTAATGTCTGTCTTCCTCCAGGGATCTTGTCATCACTTCTTACTCGATCATAATCTATAAATTAATCCTGCTGCAGGTTTAATCTGGATCCAGAGTGCATGTGCACTGACGACCGCCTGTGGGAGGCGCTAGAGATCGCTCAGCTGAAGAACATGGTTAAATCGCTTCCTGGAGGACTCGGTATTTCTGCTCAAACTAATCGGTTGTACAGGTGTGTTCAGGTGCAGTGAACCTGCTTCTGTGTGTCCAGACGCCGTTGTGACAGAAGGAGGGGAAAACTTCAGCGTCGGGCAGCGGCAGCTCTTCTGTCTGGCCAGAGCCTTCGTCAGGAAGAGCAGCATCCTCATCATGGATGAAGCCACGGCGTCCATCGACATGGCGACGGTTCGTTCGCCAACAAGATGAAAACAATATCTGATCACTGATTCAGACATTTTTCACATCTGAGGGATGAGTTAGGATGTCTGGGCTGAATGCAATGTCTAGAATTTAAAGAGGAAGTCAAAAGTCATATTTGTGACATAATCTCATACATCATGATATATTTCTACTGCATGCTTTCTGCTGAGTTATTTTCATGTTTTGTGCGTCTGCAGGAAAACATCCTGCAGAAAGTCGTGATGACGGCGTTCGCAGACAGAACCGTCGTTACGATTGCGGTAAGTCGTCGCTTCACGTTGCTGTAAATAAAACGCAGATGAAGCAAAACGCTGAGATCGATGCAGATCTGCAGCTTTTTAAAATCATTTTCCTTTAAATATGCAGTACGTAACTTTTATAAAAAATATATTTTTAAATATCTGTTGAAATTGTCGCCATGTTGTGACAGTTTGTTATGTGGGACAATCTGTGGAAAAATTTAGCTCCTCTGCTTTCTTCCAGTGCTGGCTAGAAACAACCAATCAGAGACAGGAGGCGGAGCTTAGCGATGTTAATCACTCCCCTTTGCTCTTTGTTGGCCAGCATAACCTGTCATGACTGCTAAGGCTAATTAGCGTAAAGGCGGATAAACAGTTGTCCTGTCAAGGTCAGTTGTTTTTAACATTAGCACCTTTAGTGATGAGTACATCTGTGTTTTATTAAGCTGCCACAGCAAGTTTTAGCAAATATATAAAAATATATTCTATGAAAGTTACAAGCTGCAGCTTTAAACTTTTGTCCTGATTCTTTTCCTCCTTCAAACTAAATTAATTTTCCTGCATTAACATTAAATACATTTCCTGCAAACTTCTTCCTCTTTTACCTGCTTTCCTTTTTCTGTGTTGCGTCACGTTATTTTCCTTCCCCTCGTCTTCTTCCTGTTTTGAAACAACCCCTCCTCTTCTTCATCCTCCTCTTCATCGGACCTCCAGCACCGCGTCTCCTCCATCTTGGACGCGGAGCAGGTTCTGGTCTTCTCCTCGGGGATCTTGGTGGAAAGTGACTCGGGTCCCAACCTCCTAGCGCAGGAGGAAAGCCTCTTCAGTGTGCTAGTGAGGACTCACAAGTAGACCCGGATACGCTCAGACCCAACGCCGACCTCTGACCTCCGACCTCCGATCTCTGGTTTCTGTCTGTTTTCCTGCTTTTCCTGACTAAAGTCTGAGTCTGGGTCTGCTGAAGCCTTACTGCCACTGACTGCCTGGTTGGTACCAAATGAACTGCTGCATGCTCTCTGATCAGCTTCTGTCACAGAACAATATTTAAAACGGCAGGTTTTCAAGAAATCGCTACCGAAAAAATTGCTTTTTCAATTCTTCTTTATCTGCAAAGGATGGATGAAAAGATTGAAACAGGAAGCTAGCCCGTCAAAACAGGAAGCTAGCTCGTCGAAACGGGAAGCTGGCCCGTTGAAACGGGAAGCTAGCCTTTGAAACGGGAAGCTAGCCCGTTGAAACGGGAAGCTAGCCCGTTGAAACGGGAAGCTAGCCCGTTGAAACGGGAAGCTAGCCCGTTGAAACGGGAAGCTAGCCCGTTGAAAGGGGAAGCTAGCCCGTTGAAACGGGAAGCTAACCCGTTGAAAGGGGAAGCTAGCCCGTTGAAAGGGGAAGCTAGCCCGTTGAAACGGGAAGCTAGCCCGTTGAAACGGGAAGCTAACCCGTTGTTGTGTGTCTGCAGCACCGAGTCCACACCATCCTAACCGCTGATCTCGTCATTGTGATGAAGCGAGGAAACATCTTGGAGTGCGACACACCAGGCACTTTGCTGGAGCAGGAAGACGGGATGTTCGCTTCCTTTGTCAAAGCCGACATGTAGACTCCAAAAACCAACGGATCGATTTGAATTTCGACTCGATTTTCAGTTCAAACTCATTTTTACAAGGATGACACACAGAAACATCACGTCTAAACCGACGATACAGCAGGAAGCTGTGGACAAGTTGAAACAGTCGTGTTAATCCCGTTAATCTCATCTTGGACCACCGTCACGCACACAGTCTGTAGGAAAAGTCTCCCATTAAACACAGACATCTCCTTACTTCTGTTAGTTTTATAAATTATCTCTAAAGGTTTTGAACATCAAAGGGGTTTTTAGTAAAACCTCAATTATAAGGTGTTTGTTAGTAATTAAATCCACTAGATTAAATAGAGGTAGAATAAATTCAAACCACCAATTACTGTAGCATCTAAATAAGTTGGCCTAAATTTTAGTTGTGCTTTTTCTACAAAAAAATAATACTTTGCTCTTCTAATGCTAAGCAGCTACACCAGCAGGGCTTTTGGTGCTTAAGCGCTAAGTTTAACGATGATGATCCTCACCGTGTGTCAATAACATGAGCTGCATCATAGAACGTTGCCCTCAACTGCATCAAATTTGTCATCACACACTTCGATTTTCGCTACAGGAAAAGATTTGAAACAAACCTCAATCATGGTTTCAGTTTGATAGGTGCTTTGCTAACTCTGCAGGCTAAAGAGTTTCCCCCCACTTCAAAGTCGTTAGCCAAACAGTCAACAATCAAAACTTTACTCACATGTCAAACTTTATTTTAATTAGCTCCATGATTAACCAGAGTGTCCCAATCGGTGTTGACAGCCTTCTGCAACTTAGTTTTGTCCATATTTCTCTATGAACTCTCCTTCCTGGTTTCACGACCAATAAAAATGGCTCCAAATATCTCCAAGATTAAGCCTGACGTGGTTAATTCAATTTATTTTGTTTTATTTCTTCTTTTCAGCAGATTCTACAAAAAACAAGGGCTGGATTTCTTCAGTTAAAATCCAAGATTTAGCATCTGTTAACTGCAAACACACTCAGGAAGGCATGCGTTAATCTGCCACATTAAATAGTCCCAGATGGGTTCAGTGTTTCTTTTAAGGTTTTAAAACCTGTTATCACTGGTTTTTGTGCCTCTTGGGATTTTAAAACCTTTTGTGAAATTGTCCCTGATTTTGGTGATCCCGGACGAGCCCCCAGTTGTTTTGCCTCTCTTTGTCTAGCTGAGTTTGTACAGGCGCTGTGCTTTTAGGACCTTTTGTGATTTAATTTTTTAAAAACTGTTTAACTTTTACACTTTTATCATTTTAACACAGATGCTATGCAACAATAATGCAGAAGGTTTGAACGTTGGCTGGTGTTTGGTGCTTCATGCAGTTTTTCTCACTGTGAAGGAAGTTTTTTTATTATTATTATTTTACTCTTATGTTTATTGTAAGGTTCTAACACAGAAATACGACTGAACTGGTTCCTCATGATTATTTTGGTCTGTACCAGTTTTTGAAATGGGCAGCTGTCCAGGGTGGCAAGAAGGGGAGGACATAATGTATAAGAAAATTAGAGTTGGTATTTTACATGTTAACTTTGATTTATTAATTACAAAAAACGGGTTAAAATTTTAACACCAATAATTTGTATTTGTTGTTTTTTTTTCTTTTTTCAATGATTCCTGAAACCGGAACCTTTGAATTTTCATGTTTCTGGTACGGCTTTAAATCTAACACACAGTAATAGTCAACAAAGTCGCTTCTCTCAGCCCACTGAGGGTTAATTTTTGCTTCTAAAATGATCTGATTGGAAAGACTATTGCTGTGCTAACATGAGTTAGCCAATCAGCGAAGCTACTCAAGCCCGATGCTAATGCTAATTGTGTTGGTAATGCTAATGTTAGCGTCCACAGTCCTCATTTCTAAAGAGGCTCCATGAACTGATGAAAAGCGATAAATATCTTTATCAGTGAGCTCAGTTAATTCAATATTATATTTTGCCAACAAAGTTTTTAATTGAAATGATTATTTTAATGTGTTAGTTTTTATCAATTACAATTCATTGATTACAGACCCTGAAATTAACTCCATTAAAAACCTCAATGTATCTAAAATAATATAACTTAAATATTTGAAGTTTCATAATTTGCTTTTGTAACTTTTTAAAAGTTAAAGCTCTGATTTGTTTATTTTAGTCTGTTGATCCTGCAGCATGTTGCCGCTCAGTCGGTTGTATTTCTGTGCAGACTTTAGTGCGAACACTGTAAGGCGCCGCGGCTCCGCCTGCAGCCGCTGACCTGCTGTCTGTCTGCAGTCGTGCTTTGCTGAACGTTTTTGCTTCTTTTTAGGGACAACAGCTTCTGGTACCTGGAGGTGATTTCCTGTAAAGTCTGATTAAAACTGTTTCTAATATGATTTTTAAAATTAGTTTAGGTTCATTTAGATATGAAGTTAAAGTTTCTGGTAGAGAGCTTTTATGAATAATGACCGGTTAAATTTTTATCAAGATTTTACTGGAAAGTTTTTTTGTGATTTAAAGAGACATTTTGTTGCATCTTTTGTTCTAACAACTAAAAACTTTCTAATGGCCAATTTAACATCAGTTTAATCAGCTGCCAGCATTTTATACATTAAAAAAACAAGATCATATTTCTGAAAGAAATTTACATTGTGTTTATATTCCTATTTGTTAATAATTTTGTTTTGATAATCTGTTTATTACTGGCCTTTTATTTATTATTATATCTGCAGAGCATTAATTACTGCTAAAACATTTTATAACTTTTTGTATTTACCAAAAAGACATGAAAACATTTATTTATGTTCTTTTATAATATTTGAAATATAAATTATTGCTATTTTCTTTAACAAAATTAAAATAGACATATTTCACCCATTTATATTCAGAACTATTAAAAAATTATAATTATGGCCTTTACTGTAATTACTTTTATGCTATTTTATAATAATCAACATTTTTCACCTCTCTGGGAACGTTGCTGTTGTCTCTGTTTTCTGGTTAATAGGGTAAACAGTTTGTATATGATTTATATTATTTTTATGATTTTTATGGCTTCTCTTCTGTCAGGAGAAAACACCAAGTTTATTAGATTTTGTTTATTTCAGTTTTTTCTGATGTTTCATCTCAAGACGTTTCTGCTTCAGTTAAACATCACCAGGTTTGTTTTTTCACTCACTGATGTTAAAACCTTCAACTTCAACCTTTCCTCTTCAGTTCTGAACGTTGTTTTGTTTTTTATCCATGCAGCTGAGATCAGATTGTTTGCATATTTACTCTTCTGCATTCGTCTCTGCTGGACTCCAACACAACAAACTGTCGGTGAAAAACGGCAGCAATGAAAACAAACAAGATGAAACAGATTAATGACTTCATTTAAAAAAAAGTGACATCAGCAGCTTTATGCACAAAGTCTCACTTGTTCTGAATTCACTCGACTGTTAATGCCGATAATGCATTTTTATATGATTTTTATAAGCATGTGTCAGTTTTGATTGCACATCTAAGGGTTTTAGTAAAATAAAACAATAATTCATTCTTTGTGCCTATTTTTTACACATGAAATGACAATAAAACAGTTTTAAGTAAAGTCAGACTGTTTTCCAGCCTGAAGGAGGAAACGCAGAAAGCAATGGCGCCCTCTGGCGATTGATCTGTGAATCGCTCTTACAAAACTGAGTTAAAACCCGTTTTTGATGTTATTGTCATCATGTTACATAATTATGACTCAGGCGTTAATTTCTCAGCTTTAATTTTGATTAAATTTCTTAATAATTGGAAGCAAAACACGAGCAGGTGATGTTTTAAAGCACTTGTTTTATTTCCCTGCCAATATTTTCTATTTATGACTTTCTTTGAGGTCTGTTTAGATGTATTCCGATTTATTTATGTCATTTTTAATGTGTATATAATTTGTATTCAATTTGTAGGCCGTAAATACAGGTTTTCTTTAGTTTATGATTTATGAAAGTCAAGGAAATTCAGGACAGATGAAGAGAAAACTGGTCGATTCTGAAGACTATGATAAATGAAATAAAGGAAAGTTATGACATCAAAAATAAACATAATTTAGTTGGAAAATGTGGATTTAATGTTCTCAATAAATAGCAGAAAAGCTTAATAAACTGATTTCCGATATATGAGTTTTAGTTAATCGGTTCCTAAAGTCCATAACTAGTCGAAATTATGTTTATTATGTCGCTTTAAATAGTTTTATCATCGAAGTTTTCCTCTTTTACGCGCAATTTGTATGATTTCCGACGGTGCTGTTGGAGTCCTTGAAGGCAGCAGCAGCTTCCAGCCCTGAGCGGGTCTGGACGTCAGCAGGACAGAGGACGCTGTCTGTCCCAGCTGTCTGTCCCAGCCCTCAGAGGTGCGGAGGCGGCGCGATGCTCTCAGCTCGGGACGTTTTCATCTTTTGCGCATTTTCGGCATGTTTCCGCGCGTAAAGGCGCACTGAGTGAGGCGGGTCTGGGCTTCAGGGCGGCTGAGGAAGAGGAGCGAGATGTTGGCCAGGAAAAGCATCATCCCGGAGGAGTTCGGGCTGCCGGGTCTCGCGTCCCGGCTGCCGCGGAAGCCGGTGTTCCGGGACCGCGTGAACAAGGCGCGCTTCATCGCCAAGAACGGCTCGTGCAACTTGGCGCACAAGAACATCCGCGAGCAGGGCCGCTTCCTGCAGGACGTCTTCACCACGCTGGTGGACCTGAAATGGCGCTTCACGCTCGTCATCTTCACCACGACCTTCGTGAGCAGCTGGCTGCTGTTCGCCATGAGCTGGTGGCTGGTGGCCTTTGCGCACGGAGACATGGACCCGGCGCGCAAGAACGAGACCCACTGCGTCACCGACGTCGAGTAAGAAACTTCTCAAAGAGCCAGAAAAGTGAAAAAGTTGAAGTTGAACAGTGAAAGTAGGTTTTCTCTCTCCCTCCCTTTCCGTTTGAAACGCAGCAGAGGAAAAACTTTTAGATTTTTAAATAGATTATTCCCAAAAGGCTTCAGAATATTTTTACTTTTCAACATATTTTCTTCGATCTATTTAAGTCTCTTGATGCTTTTGATGAGAATACTGAATTTTATGTTCGTTTTATTTTGGCTGTGAATGAAAAATAATCATATTTGGCTAAATCTCAGGCCCAAATCCAAACTGACTTTCACTGGAAAGATTCAGGAAAATCTGTGGTTCAACTTTATTTTCTTAAATAACAATGACAAGAAAGTAGAAACTGTTTTATTTTACAAACTCCTGGTTTTGACAAAAATATTTCAGGTATTGTGAGTTTGGTGGCTTATTTTAACCTGATCTTGTCATGTTTGTGAACTGGTGTCCCTCAGGGTTTTGTTTTCAGTTCTTGCTAAATTTGTTCACTCTATGATGTAATTGTCCCAGATGAGGACTGGAGAGTCAATGGGTGCAACAATCTGCCTGTTGATGGTACGTCGTCTCTACTTGTACAGTATTATTTTTTGACAGAGGGGCATCAAACTGGCAACCCACCGATTTGGTCACAGACTCCTCCTACCATCTCCATCAGTGTCCTACAATCTCTAACTCCTTCATTCGTGAACAAGATTCCAAAATACTTAAACTCTTCTGCTCTCCTACGACCTGAAGAAGGCACTCTGCCCTCTCTGGGACTTGCAGGTGCCGAGCTTCATCCCTATCGCTTCACACTCCAGGAAAAACTATAGATCATGATCTGATGATGCCAACATAACCACATCACCTTCAAAAAAACAGAAACCAGATCCTGGGGCAACCAAAAAGGATCCACTGAACTCCTTGGCTGTGCCTAGAAATTCTGGCCATGCAGGTTCTGAACAGAACCGGTAACAAAGATCAAACTTGAGTGAGTCCAACTCTCACCAGGAACAATGCAGACCAAATTCTGACAGCAGTCTTCCAAAGAGGTCTGCTAATCCAGGGGACTGTTTGACATTGCAGAGACATGTCAACCAACAGAACCCTACAACACCCAGAACCTTAAGGACCTCTGTGTGAATCCACCCGACCACTGAGAAGCTTTTCAACCACCTCAGTGGCTTCAGCACCATGAGGTTGGGACTGACCAGCATCCTCCACCACCAGGTAGTGATCGGTTGACAATGTTGTCCCCTGTCTTCACTTGAGCGTCCAAGATCAAATGAAACCTCAACAAACTTGGCCATTCAGTTGCGGCACATATGGACAGTCTTATGCTTGAACCTGGTGTTCACTATGTCCAATCAATGACGAGAGCTGGAGTCCAATAACAAAACATTGGTTCAGATCCAGGGAGCCGTTCCAGTCACCTGTCCTACATTCACCCAACCGTTTGGCCCCAACAACACATGGTGACCCAGTGAAGGGAACTCTGCAGCCATTGTTGTTGTTCATCTTCAGACGTATTTAGGATGAAAATATCTCGTATTCTGTTCATGACATCCAACTTCACCACTGGTTCAAGAGAATGCAGGAACTCTTAAAATACAACTGAAATATCTCAAATGGAAACTCCAACCCAAAATACTCCAACATTAGATGACAATGTTGGAGTATTCTAACAACTTCATGTGCTTTAGAGTTTACTTTGGTAAAAACAATTGATCTGAAACAATCGAAATGAAACCTATCAGACTTAAGCTACACAAAGTGAGCATTTACCAACTCTAAAAAATATCTTTCTGTGCAAAGGAGTATTATTAAAATAATAATGTGATAGGTTTGTTTCAAAAGTCTGAGTTTCTCTGTTTTCTCTTTTCCCAGGTCATTTATCTCAGCCTTCCTGTTCTCCATCGAGGTTCAGGTGACCATCGGCTTCGGAGGTCGGATGATAACGGAGCACTGCCTGGCGGCCATCACTGTCCTCATCCTGCAGAACATAGTGGGACTCATCATCAACGCCGTCATGCTGGGTAGAAACATTCATTTGCTGATGCAGAGACACATCAGACCATAAGAGTCAGACATTTTTGGGCGTTTCTTCGTCCTCAGGCTGCATCTTCATGAAGACGGCTCAGTCGAACCGCCGAGCGGAGACGTTGATCTTTAGCCGTCATGCCGTCATCGCCGTGAGGAACAACCGTCTGTGCTTCATGATTCGCATTGGAGATCTGAGGAAGAGCATGATTATTGGAGCAACCGTCAGATTACAGGTTGTTAATTTAGATCATCTCTTTTAACCTCTGAGGATTAAACTGGTTGAACATAATTTGTAACTAGTAACAATATTATATTGTTCTTTTTGGTGTCTGATTCTTGGAACAAACTAACATTAAAAACATATTTATATTCATCAAACCCTAAAGTGAAGAAATTATTTAGCCAGATCATAATAATTATTTTATTATTATTTTCTTTTTTGTTATTGGAACTATAAAAAAATAACAGAAGTTCACAAAGAGCATCAAATAGAAAATCAGGCCTTAAAACAGCCAGCTGTCTTTTACATCAAATAAAATTCACATTTGATTACTAATAAAAAACAAAATGAACTTTTAGCATTTGAGCAAAGAAACAGAAGAAAGTTTGTTTTCATTTTCGCAACTTTTGACAGCTAAAGGTTCATGTTGCACAGATCCAACACATTTTCCAAGGTCTGCTATTTGTAATCTGTTGTGTCTGTGATGTATTTTAACTACACAGAGGAACGGGAAATGTTTTAGGACTGGTTGAAATGGTTTGTCCTGCAGGTGGTGAGGAAGACGACGACCCCAGAGGGCGAGATAATCCCCATCCATCAGATCGACGTCCAGACTGAGAGCGCCGTCGCCAGCAACAGCCTGTTCCTCCTCGCGCCGCTCATCATCTGCCACGTCATCGACAAAAACAGGTTCAGCAAAACTTTACGTCTCCATTCACAGTTCCTCATAGACTTCAGTTTTTTCTTCCCTCTCAAAATATTGTAAAGAATTATGTTTATTATGTCGAGATAGCCTTGAATTGAATAAATTAATGTATCTAAAATTAAGTCCTTAAAATGTCTTAAATTAAGTAAAACAGTAAGTTAGCCTTAAATACATTAATCATGAGTCTTAAATTGTGTTGTTTCTGAGTCCTAAATTTAATTCATAATAGTCTTTAAAAGTCTTAAATTTGATTTGGTGAAAATTGCAGAAATCCTGAATGTTGAGTTTTAATTTTCTGTAATTGAACAAAAATTGACTTGGAATATTTTAATAATATCTAATAAATCCAATTAATGTTTAGTTTCACTTTCTGAAACTAGAAACAAAAAATATTTGAAATCACTAAAATACAGATTCATATTTACTTTAGTAACTTTGAGAAAAAAAATTACCTTTAGGTTTATTTTACTATGCTATACTTTTTATTTTTTATTTTGTTATGAAGGATCTCTACTCTTACTTCAGTAAAATTTCTGGATTTTCTATCCACTGAATGAAAAACAAACATGTTTTAACCAAACATTAACCAGGCAACTAAAAAAGTTAAACTTTTTCATTAAAATGAACTAATTTGGAAAAAATATTTGGCCTGATTTTGTTTTTTGTTAAGAACATAAATTAAAATCATTTTCACACTTAAATACCAAAATTTCCACTTGACTTTATATTTTGATCCATCTGATGATGTCATTTCTAAGCATTAAATGATTAATAAATTGATCAGTCAATCAGTACTTGAGCAGATTTTTTATCAAATACTTTTTACTCGATTAATTTTGATTTTGTTGAAGTCATTTTATTTACTCGCCTCTGATTTCTATGTTAGGATGATGTTGCAGATTTCCTCTCATGTTTCATAGAAAACTGTATTATTGTGTAAATGTTTCTGGTTTTCTGTGAATGTTTCTGGTTTTCTGTGAATGTTTCTGGTTTTCTGTGAATGTTTCTTGGTTTCTGTAATGGTCTGTGTTTGGGTCAATGTCTGTGTGATGCTCCTCTGCTCAGCCCTCTGTATGACCTGTCGGCCATGGAGCTGCAGTGCAGCGACCTGGAGGTCATCGTCATCCTGGAGGGAGTCGTGGAGACGACGGGCATCACCACCCAGGCCCGGACCTCCTACGTGTCCGAGGAGATCCAGTGGGGCCACCGCTTCGTTCCCATAGTGACGGAGGAGGAGGGCGTGTACTCCGTGGACTACTCCAAGTTCGGCAACACGGTTAAAGTGAGTGCTGGCACAGAAACTCTACTAGATATGTAAGAACTGATCTCAGGAACTATTCAGTAATTACTAGATTGATTTAGCTTAAGTAAAGCAGGCTGCTGTGTTGAAGGTGAGCACGCCCAGCTGCAGCGCTCGGGAGCTGGACGAGAAGCCCTACATCCTGATCCAGACGCTGCAGAAGAGCGAGCTGTCGCACCAGAACTCCCTCAGGAAGCGGAACTCCATGAGACGCAACAACTCCATGCGGAAAGGCGGCGGCAGCCTGCGCAGGAACAACTCCGGCCTGGTTCCGCCCAAAGTGCAGTTCTTCACCCCGACGGAGGGCGGCCAGAGCCTGAACGCCGTCACCTGACATGAGGCCTTCCTCCTGCAGGGTGCGCTGTTCCTCCTGGCCGGGACCAGGACTGTTGCTCTGACGGGACTCATGTCTCAGTGCGTCTGTTGTTGTTGTTATTACTGTTATTATCTTCATTAGCAGGTGATTGCACTGACACACACACACACACACACACACACACACACACACACACACACACACACACACACACACACACACACACACACACACACACACACCTTTATGGGATGTTTGGTAGCACTTTGTTTGAAGGGGTTTGTATAACAGCTGTTATGAACATGAAGGATGAATGTTTATAACTGTCGTGTCATTTTGTACATATTGACACTTTTAATGCAGGTTTTAATTCAACTTTGCTTTAAAGGTTTAATTATTTACCGACTGACATTTTATGACAGCAGTTATAAACGTTCATAAAGATCCTTCATGTTTCTGAATATTGTTATTCAGTGTTCTTCACACTCCTTCTCATAAAGCCTACCGGATGTTTTCTCAGAACAAAACCATGTAAATAACATCAAGCAGCACTTTATGTTCAGAAAATATTAATTTGCACAACAATACTCATCAACATGCTAATCCAAGTAGAAATAATTGCTAATTTAGGCTCAAACGACATCATTCCATATCTTATGTCTCATATTTCATTTTTCTGACTTACTCAAAGTGTTTCTGCTTCCTGGATTTGCAGACATGACGGTTTTTTCTCATCCTTTAACTATAACAAGCCAATCACTGATGTTCTGTGTTTGTGTTTGACAATAAATGCACCAACTTGTTATGAATATCTTCTATTGTAACATTTTGTCAAAATTTGAGCAGAAGTTTATGAAAATGAAACAGATTTTAATATTGAACTTAAACCGTTGATACAATCTAAATTCATAACCTGAAGTATAAATTAAGTAAACAAAAATATTTGGTTAGAACCATCACCATTTCATGACAGCTTAACATGAGACAGATAATCTGCAAAAAGATTGATCTCCACCTCCTCCCAGAGCTGCAAAACAACCAATCAGAGTCAGTAGGCGGGGCTTAGCGCTGTCAATCAATTCTGTATAAAGTACTAATGGCAGAGAAACAGCTTACAGTTTCAGGAAAACAGTTTATTAACCGACAACTGTGGCCAGGCTAACTAGCATTAGCATTCTGGGAGGCTATGTTGTGGTGAATCATCCGTAGCATCACATAGAGCATGAGAGTGATTGACAGCGCTAAGACCCGCCTCCTGATTGGTTGCTTCTGACTGAGTGGTGTATTTGTAGAGTTAGTATTAGGAGCACTGGGAGAATATTTTCACAGATTATCTGTCTTATATTAAACTGTCACAACATGAGAATTTTAATGCTCTGAAGGTGGCATGTGACGAGGAGAGAGCGTCAGGATCTGAGCCGCTCTGCAGTCTGCATGCAGAAACACTCAGCTTGTTCTGTGTGGATGAGCAGCAGCTGCTGTGCCGCGTCTGCAGTGAGTTAGAGAGACACAGCGAACACAAGCTGCAGCTCGCCAACGAGGCCGGAGAGCAGGCCAAGAAAACCCTGGAGGATTCCCTGAAGCCCTTAAGAAAGAGGATGAGGCTCATCCATGAAGTGAAGGGAAGCTGTGATCAAAGTGCAGGTCACATCAAAACTCAGGCTGAAGCTACAGAGAGGAAGATCAAAGAGGAGTTTAAAAAGCTTCACCAGTTTCTGGAGGAAGAGGAGGAGGCCAGGCTGAATGCACTGAGGGAGGAAGAGGAGCAGAAGAGTCACATGATGGTGGAGATCAGAGCGCTGAGCAGAGAGATCTCAGATCTGTCAGGAATAATTAAAACCACAGAGCATGAACTGAGAGCAAAAAATGTTCAGTTTCTGCTTAATTACAAAGAAATGGTGGAGAGAATCCAGGAGCAGCCGGTTCCTGATGATCCAGAGATGATCTCAGGAGCGCTGATCGATGAGACCAGATATCTGAGAAACCTGAGCTTCAACGTCTGGAGCAAAATGAAGGACATGATCTCCTTCACTCCTGTCGTCCTGGATCCAAACACAGCCCATCCAGACCTCACTCTGTCCGACGATCTGACCAGTGTGACGCACGGCACGGGAAAACAGGAACTTCCTGACAATCCAGAGAGGATCAACCACTTCTTTTCTGTCGTCGGCTCGGAGAGTTTCACCTCAGGATGTCACAGCTGGGAGGTGGAGGTAGGACAAAACGATGCCTACGTTCTGGGTGTGCTAGCGGGGTCAGATGTGAGGAAAGGCGTCATCTGGCCCGGACTGTGGAGGATCATGTTCTGCAAAGGAGAATACAAAACACTTTCCCTAACAGATACAGGATCTGACGTCTCTGTGAAGGGAAACCCAAGAAGGATCCGAGTTTTTCTGGACTATGATGGAGGACGGCTGTCGTTTTCAGATGCAGAAACTGGAGCACACATACACACCTTCACACACACTTTCACCGACAGGTTGTTTCCATACATCAGCACCTGGAGCGGGGTCACAATAAAGATCGCACCGCAGAAAATCACTGCTGCAGTGGAAGAGCAGCTTTAGAAACTCTACTGTCAGAAAATGTTTCCTCACTAAATGGCGACACGTTCTGACCAAAAATGTAGTGAATACAATGAATGTACATTATTAATGAAAAGTTTCATAGCTTATGCTCTCAGAGGAACTCTCATGATTTTTAGTTTATTATGAAGGAATGTTCAGGAATTATAATAGTTTTTAGTCCTTTCATTTTATTTATTTTATGAAGGTGTTTCTAATTGATCAGCGTAAAAAAATTGATTCTGCTTGGAGAAATGTAAAAATGAAGACAGCAAAACAAACTAATTGTAACATAACTGAGTTATAACTTGGAATTATCTGTGAAATAAAATGTAATGGTTTGAAGGAACATGTAAGTTTTACTATTATTTTTTAAATCAGTTGGGACAAGGGAAAGTCTAAACAAAACTCATGTTGAAAATTATGAGAAATGTTTGCAAGTAATTTTGTTTTTATTGTTTTAAAGATTAAATAAAATCAAACAATTGAAAGATCAGCGGATTAATTTAGATTACAACAAATATTTTAGCAGAAAAATCAAATGTTCTACTGTTTTTATGTTTGTCTGGTTTCTGCTCATGCGCAGACCGGGTCTATTTCAGCACGTACGGAGCACGTCATCCCTGACGTCACAAACCAGAAGTAGTGGAAAGAAGGTTGAAAATGGCTCGCAGTGTGTTGCGTGGAGGAGTTTCTCTGTTTCAGGTCAGCAGGAGGATACCGCTGCTGTCCGCTCCTCGGTGTTACTCCCAGTCGGAACCGGAACCGCTGACTCTGAGGGAACAGAAGCACGGAATCAGGTGCCGCCATTAAAACACTTCGCTCCACCGAGCCGAACCCTCGTGTATAAACAGAACATTTAAGGAGAAACTGAGGCTTCAGTAAAATGAGCTGCTTTCTGTGGCCCAAAACTTAACCAGAACATCTTAATGGATCTCAGTGGAAATTCGGCTGAAATATTACCGCGGTCATTATCGCCTTGTGGTAAATCAAGACATTTCGCTTTATTATTGGCGTAAACTGCTTTCTTTTACTTCAGCAGCAGGGGGCATACATTTCCAGGCTCGACATTTATGAGGCATTAGAACAACCTGAATATTCGGAGTTTATATAAAACTACAAAAACGGGAATAGTAAACTCCCGTTTCAGTTTTAATTGTCAGGTTTGCATCAATATAAATGTCTTGGATTCAGACTATCTTTATATAGCAATCTAAATTTTAATTTGTATTTAAAACTAAAAACATGTTGAAATATTTCAATACATAAGGGGATCTGTAATAAGTAAACAGTAAAAATAGAATGATATTAGCTAAAGTGGCTGCACAGCAAGTTATCACCATGACGACCTCTGGAAGAAATTGACCTGAATCTGCTGCTGTCCATCTGCAGGCCTCTGTACCTCATTCCCCATTAAATACATTTACATTAAATTCACTTTGTTTAGTTTCTACAAGGAAAATGGACCTAATTATACAGAAATGCATAAGGATGCATATTTATCTCAATAAAGTCCAATCCGAATTGGACTCGGTCTTGGACAAGAGAAGTTTGACCCGATTTTACCCCCATTCCCAGCCTGGGAAAGTCTGCATCAGTTGTGTGAGAGGAGAATCAACCCGACTTCAGTCAGTTAAGTAAACATGACTGTGAACCCAGTTGTGAGCTGATCGTTGATCCAACAGCTGCTGCTGACAGTTGATAAAAATAGGAAGGCAGAGAGCTGACTGTTTATTATTTTTAAATGTTTTTTGTAACTATAAAAAGTTCTGGATATAAACAAACTAAACATAACGCAAACTGTTACTGAACTAATTGTAATTATGTAGTAATAAAAAAACTTAATTTATAATTAAGAACCTCATGAAGAAACATAGTGAACATAAAGGTAATAATGTCCAGAAACAATTGTCAATAATTTATAAAATAAAGTAAATTAGGGTTGACTAAATGTACTGTACGCACTTGGTGGGATACAAACAATAAAAAAGTGTCAGTTTAAGAGAATATTATTGTGGCAAACATTTTTCAAATATTTTCTAATGTGTTAAAAATCTACATTTCTACCAGGAGGATCATTTTAAACAACCCTAAGAAGAGGAACGCTCTGTCCTTGTCCATGCTGGAAACCCTCCGAGAGAACATCCTGACTGACGATGGCGAAGATCTCAGAGTCATCATCATATCAGGTCTGGTTTTAATTACTCGCTCATATTAGAGACAGGAAGCAGTTGGTCCTACGTTTGCGCTGCTTGTTCCAGCCAAAGGTCCGGTCTTCTCGTCGGGACACGACCTGAAGGAGCTGACGTCCACTCAGGGCCGAGAATACCACACCAAGGTGTTTCAAACCTGCTCAGAGGTCAGTTTGTGTCGGTCTGGGACTGAAACTCCAGCTGAAGAGTTAAAACATCCTGACACTGAAAATATCAATATTTCTCTTATTTTAAACATTTCTGACATAAAATACCTGTTGGAGTGGAGTTTAGTGTCGGCATGGAAACGAGGCCTCCAGGTGTTCATAATCTCAGTAATTTTAGTTTTTCAGGTGATGACTCTGATACAAGACCTACCTGTCCCAGTGATCGCCATGGTGAACGGCGTTGCCACGGCAGCCGGTTGCCAGCTGGTCGCCAGCTGTGACATTGCGGTTGCTACGGAGAAATCCAGCTTTGCCACTCCAGGCGTCAACGTGGGTCTGTTCTGCTCCACGCCGGCGGTGGCCATCGGCAGAGCGGTGCCCAGAAAGGTACCGACACTTTTCAAAAACGTCTGTTACGCTCCGATGGGATTCTGCCGAGCTAAAAGTTTCACTTTTGATGTGTTCAGCAGGTTTAGGATTCATCCCAGAAGTTCTTACTGGACTGGCAACATTTCTTCTTGTGTAGTTGATGATAAATTTATCCACCTGATACATGCGCCACCTGGTGGCTGCTTATTCACAATGAATGTTATGCATTTATAACTCAAGAATCAAAGTATTAGGGAAATAATTAAAATATTTACTTGGAGGTGCAGTAACAGTGAGATCCTTGAGAACCTTTTTTTCTGCTATTGTTGGTCAACAGGAAATCACCCACAGTCATTAAAGTCCTCTATGAAACTCATCAATTTGTTTTAAAACAGGTTGCCATGGAGATGCTGCTGACGGGGTCTCCTATGTCAGCCCATGATGCCCTGTTGCATGGCCTGGTTAGCAAGGTGGTGCCAGAGGAGCGGTTGGAGGAGGAGACGTTGGCCATCGCCCAGCGAGTGTGTCAGTCCAGTCGACCTGTTGTAGCTCTTGGCAAGATCACATTCCAAAGGTACGCCGTATGAATGGTTTGCAGCGAATACCTGACACAAAAGATTGCATTTACTTCTTGTATTTCTGGTTCTTTTACAGACAAATGGCTCAAGGCAGAGATGCAGCATATGCCACTGCCTCCAAGGTGATGGTGGACAACCTGGCTCTTAGAGACGGACAGGAGGGGATCCAGGCCTTCTTAGAGAAACGCAAACCTGTATGGAGCCATAAACCTGAGAAAGTTCATGACTGACCCACTCAAAGAGGTTATTAAGAGGTTATGTCTTAGTAAACATCTTTATAGTGTGATCTTTGGTCACTAATTGAAATGACCTATTGCAGTAATTTGCAACATGATAAAGAGCATTTTTTTCATTTCACCCAAATGAAAAAAAATATTCAGAACCATTTTGTGCCTTAAGAGCTGCAGAAACAACCCACTGTGGATGCTTTTATAGAGGTTTTTACATTCATGTTGCTCCTTGAAAGACAAATCATAGTTTGTCTTGATTTGACAGTTTTCTGTACTATCAAAGTTTGATTCATGATGAAAATGAATGAAAACTGTTCTGTAATGTTTAACAGCAGAACAATCAGTAAAGATTTTGTTGAAGTTGTTTTCTGATGCAAAAATCACAAAAGTGCAGGCTGCTGAATGCTGTGACACTAATCAGTGGCATAATCAGAACACTACTTTATATGACATAACTGTAGTATGCTTATGCTTTAATATATTTTTTATAATTGTAACATTTGTTTTCAGTGTGTCTGTGCAGCTTTATGCAGCTGTTCCTGTAAGTATTGTAAATTATACTGTAATTCAGAATAAAAGCAATATATGCATTGTGATCTGTGCATGTTTGGTCATTTCAATTACTTGCAAGAAAAAATTAACAAAAATGGAGGGGTGAAGTAAACATTTAAGAATATTAAGTGACTTACCAAGTGAAAGTCCAAGAACCTGAAAATAATAATCTTTCTGTAAATAAGTAAATTATTTAATTTGTTTATTTTTTTTAAATAAATTATTTAATTTAATTTATTTAATGAAATGAAACTGACCTGAATAAGTAAATATAAACGCAATGTTTGTGTTTATTTTTTTAAAGTACGTAAATGTTGTGAGATACTATTGTTTATCTATAGTAACAGCAGTTTGGGTTCCTGCCCACTGGGGGCGCTCTAAAGAACTATACAGTGATAAACGAGTTCGAATAAGAGTATGTTCATGTTGTTAGTGGAATGCTCGTGCTAATAAAGCAAGTCCGACTTTTCAACTGTTGATGGCTACACTCGTCTTCCCTCATTTCATGACAGTAAAAAATAAAAAATACCGAGAAATACATGTAGAAGAAGTTTACGTCACTTCCGGTCGCCATCTTGATTCTTACTAAACCAGCCAAAGAAAAACCTTCATTTGCAGAATGAAATATTGAACAAGTTCAGAGTCTTGTTAAAAGCTGGTAGGTGTTACTTTAACCTCTTAACATGTAAAGGTTTACAGTTTGTCGATTAAAAGGTCGAAGTTAAGCTAGTGGATGACCGACCGTTAGCATCCATGCTAGCGTTGTTTACTCGTTTACATCTAAGATATGCTTTGGTTGTCAGCTGTTCTTAACTTCTGACCGTTTATCGGGTTTGGTTTCGAGCGCTTTTATCTTGTTGTTTGTTATGAAGCTGTGTGTATAAAGTTGTGTTTTGTTTTTGTCGAGGCTGAGGTTAGCATCTCAGGCTAATGGCTATTCCGCTCCAGTTAGCATCTCTGCACAACCTTGAAATGGGGCGAGTTAAAACTTACACTTGAATATTGAGCTTGTTGGATATTAAACAAGTTCTTTGAGTTGTGAAAGCTGAAATGTACTCAGGTTTTAATTAATGAAAGCAGATATTAACTTTGAACTGAATCCCGTCAATATTTTCATGTGAACTGATGATGCTGTTAGTTGTGTGAATCTGCCAAAGCTGGAGTAAACTGTGTGATTTCACATCAGTTTTCCTTTGTTTTATTGGTTTCAGTGTTTGAAAGAGTTTCTGAAAGACTCACAATCAGCTGACCTACATCAATCTGACTTCAGGGCTTCCACCATTTAGGAGGATTTGTTGAACTTTCCAACATTTTCCTCCTACAGGTAAGACAAACTTCACCTGTTATATTTATTTCTAAAGCAAAACAAACTAAACAGAAATATATGATTTAAACACTCAGTAAATGCAGAAATAGTTTTCTGCTCCTTATTGTTGAATTTAGTAGTTTTTTTTAAACTTTCTCATTATTATTGAGTAACACTAATATAACAAGCTGAATATTGTGACAGAAAGTTTCAGCTGAAGTTTACAAAAACCTTTTTTCTTCCTGTTTGAAGTTAAATCAGATCAAAATTGTATTGTTTCAGATTAGAATCACAAAAATATTTCTCCTTGCTCAAATGAGTAAAACAATATTAGAGATTTAGTTATTAATGCCTTTAAGATCAGAATTTTACATACATTTTAGTATTTAGCGTTGCCTTTGAACTGACTGACTTGGGTCAAACTTGTTACTGTTCAGAAGTTTTTAACAATACTTCGCAAAATTTTATAATCGAGGCTCAATAAATCTAATAATAATTGGGTTTTCTGTATTGGAGGACATGTAAATGTTTCCACATTCCTAATCCAGGCTATTATATTTTGATTTTAAAATGTTGTGCTATGGAAAAATTACTAAATCAATTTTTGTGAAGAATATTGTCATATTTTATATTGTGTGTTAAATAAAGTAGCTGACATTAAAACAATAATCAAATAATTGCAAATAATCAGGTTTTCTTTTCTTTAAGGAATAAACTACAGAGTTTAAGTAAGATTTACAGCACAAACACATTCAAAGAGTAAATTTCACCACCTGCTTTTATTAAACAAAGTGTGAGAAGAAACTGCTGTTTAACTGTTTCACAAAAAGCAAATATAACTTAGAAATTGCAACGAGAAGCAGTTTAATGCTGTTTAAAAGCATCTAAACCAGAGAATGAACAATAAAAAAATGGAATGTGGTCAGTTCATAGATGAAATGCATGATGTTCGTAGTAGATGTAGTGTGTTCTAGATCACGGTCCAGTAGTCAAAGGTAGCAGGCATGAACAAAGTGTTGGAAATTAATCTGAAACAAGTTTCCATCCTGAACCAGATGCTGCAGCTGTTGCAGCCACTAAAATGCTAACAATTTAGTTACTTTATTATATATTATTATAAAGCCCTGATGTAATTTAGTATTCATGGTGGAAGTGTAAAAACAAACAAGTGGTTTCTTAATTAGAGAAATGTATGAAACATTAATTATGATTGAAAATCACTACTGAACTGTAACAAAGACTCACTAAAAACCAAACATAATCTGCTGTTTGCACCATGATTGAAATGAAATCGATCAGTTCTGCTCCCTGGTCCTTTAATAAAAATCATCCTGAAGCAAACAGAGGGAATTAATCTCAGATTTAAATACCTGGATGTAAGATTTAAAAAAAAATCAATTTTACTCTCAAGATTAACACAAAAATCCACTGTACATCATCAGACTCTAAAAGATATATATATATATATATTTATATATATGTATATATTTATATTGTAACCTCTGTTCATGATTTACATCCAAAAATAAAATAAAATCTTAAGATTTTCAAAGCGATTGGTAGAAATGTCAGAGGCTGGTGTGTCTTCCAGCGTTTTGTTCACACATAAAGAACAACAGAGCAGGAACAGAACCGAGTTCTGCTCGTCTTCACCACAGTGTCTGACTATACCTCAGTTTTTATCCTAACATCACAGCAGCATCGACTCCTGCATGGCAAAAGCCTCTGATGCGTGCCTGTAGTGTGGTCCACCAAACAGCTGGGGGTGCTGTTGCTGCTGCTCCTGGAACTGTGTCCTGTAGTGAGGGAGCACGTCTGGGTTGGGGGGAAAGGTGAACTGGTGAACGGGAGACATTTGGGCTTGCTGGAAGCTGGGCGAACGATTCATTCCGCTGGGGGACTGAGGAGGGCGCTCATCGTCTGCCTCCCACTGGAAGCTATCTACGATTGGCTGAGGCCTGCCTCCTGGCAGGAAGTGGGGGTTTCCCTCAAATCTGTAGTCCCGGGAAGTTTGCTTTTGTGTGGTTGATGTTAGTTGCTGCAGGTAGATTGGAGTGGAGGTGCTCTGAAGGTTCCTGGTGGACTCTGGCTGCCTGCGGTAGGTGGCGAACGAGTTATTTTGCAGCGCCTTCTCAGGAGAGAAGTTGCTGGGCCGCCGCTGGGTGGTGGCGTACACTAGTTCCCCGTACAACGTGCTGGAGGGAGAATTAAATCTGGGGTCTCTGTAAAGTTTTTCCTCCCCTCGGTGGTCCAGGCTCACACTGTAGCCTGGGTGGAGGATGGGAACTTCGGTTGTAGTTCTTCCTGGAGAGGGCTGTTGAGGTGGGGTGTTGTACCGACTCCGAGCCCCAGAGTAGCCAGCAGGTAACCCTGGGGGACTGTTACGTGGAAACTGAGAGGGGAGGTGATGCTTGGTCATCCTCGGGCCTGTTGAGGCTGAGTCGGTGCTGCTGGCCTGGTGTGGTGCTGGTACGGTAAAGGGAGTCTCATCTTGAGGGGCCCTCATTCTGAATGGAGGCTTCTCAAGCTCCAGAATCTCAAAGTCCTGCTCTGGCAGTCCTGGTACGTTGTCATACTGGGAGGCATTGGAGCCCCGATCAGAACCCGGGATGATCCCTTTGGGCCGGGATCGTCGTTGAGCGTAAACTCCGTCGTTGGGGCTGGACGGAGCCGGTGATGCCCCTCGGCTTTGCCGCGTCTCTCGCGCTGCAGCGGCTTTGGCCGCCTCCAGCTTTGTCTCGGAGGGTTTGACCCAGCGGGGGCCAATGATTTGACGGGAACTGGAGGCTGCGTTGGAGTTGTGGTTGGCGGTGGCGTGGTTCTGAGGACTGCGGCTGGGCGTTGGGGTGGGTGCTGACGATGGAGTGGTTCCTCTCTCTGGTGTGGTGGAGTCGGACTGCTTTGGTTGGTCATTCAGAAGCTCATTGGATCTCCTGGAGTGGGCATCCCATTTCTCTGCCCTGTGATGGCGGGACGGTTTCTCCAGTGAGTCCCTGCGTGCCCGGCTCGGGGGCCGACTGTCCTGCTGTCGTCCCGGTACCGGACTGGAGTCTCTCGGCGGCTCGGCTGGCTCCGTGTGGCTCTGACCGTTGCCCACGTGATTCATCTGCGGCGCTGCGACCTCTGGAGGAAGCTGCCCCAACGGCTTCTTAGGAAACTCATCCTCATTAGCTGCAACATAAGAACAAGAGATTCACATTATTCCTCCATCGGGAACCTGAATGAACAGTGATGGTTGAACATACTGCGTAGTGACGTCACAACAGGGTCATGAGTTCATGCAACAACACTGCCATCGAGGTAAAAATGAAGGAGCGTTCAAGACGAGACTTAAACAAATTCACAGCAGAAGACAAAAATATGTTTTAATTTCCATTTAGGGGATTCCACTTCGCTGAAAGTCTTACTCCATTCATGAAGCAGAAGCAGCAGCGACCCACTTCATCAGTGTTGGTTCTGTACCACCAGCTCTTTATGAAAGTACTGCCTACACAAAATATTAAGATATGCTGATCAGAGCATGTTAGGATGCATTGATGCATCAGTGATCCAGGAAATGAACTCAAGTTTCTCTCATTGAAGAGATTATTTAGGCTCCCATGTTGTTCTGCATCCACTAAGTTTCATTCATTGAACCTAAAATACTTTATTTAAATTGATCAAAGATAAATAATAAATTACTTTAACAGGTACACGTTTTATTAAGTTGTGTGCATTTGAAATGCTGTACAGAATGTTTCTGTAAATATGACCGTAGTGTTCATTGCTTTGTGGATGAATTCATTTGGATGAATTGATGTGAAGTTTCCGTCTGTCACCAGAGATTCTGCCCTAAATGGCAGCAGAAGAAGAAATAACAAGCAAACTCTTCACACTCAGCAGCAAATGTAACAACTTCAAACTTTGCAACAGATTTGAATGATTTTACAGCAACTCTACTTTGTTACTTAGACATTTTCTGTAAATTTGTTTACAGAAACATGAGTGCACCTCATAGTTCTGATTTCATAGTTAATAGCCATAAAATAATGCAGTAATTTGTGCTTTACTTTTTACCTGTATTTATTAGTTTGACTGAAATTAAAAGACAGTGTTCAAAGATAATTAAGTTAATTAGGAACTAATTTATTATTCTTACTTTATTCAGAATTTTTTTTAAGCAACTGGCAACCACAACTGCATTTAAGATAAAAAAAAAACATTTTGTCTGTTTTACACTTAACTCCTCAAATGGCATTTTTTGTCATCCAGTTGAAATTTACTAAACATGCTATATTATTGCATTTTATGCAATAAATGCGCCAACTTTTAATCTGAGTGTCAGAATAATCGATTACTAAAATAATGTAGTTACAGAACTATTAGTAACATGTCTGGTGATTTTTGCTTCAGTTCTGTAGCCTAAATAGTTGTTTTTGTTTTCAGTACCTTAAATTATCCACCAGAGGGAGACATTACCAACAGCTTCACAGTTGAGGAACAACATGGCAGTCAGGGGATCAAAAAGGACAAAGAAAGAACGAGCTTCCACATGAGCACCACAAGTAAAAACACAATGTTGGAGGGAAAAGGTTTGTGAAGGGAAGAACCCAGGTGTTGTTGGACAGACAGGACGAACTGTGGGACGGATGGATAGAGACATGGACAAGAAAGACCAGTCAGGATAGCCCACCGGTTACTGTTGTAGGAGGGAATATGGCCGCCACTCACAGCCACACTTTTGTTGTTGTTGGCTAACATTGTTTAGGAGGAGAGGAAGAGAAGTAGATTAACGAAGAAACTGGAAGAAACACTCTACTGCTACGCTAAGACAGCAGGAAACCCGGTGACCAGCGTGTCCGATTGCTGTTGCAGTACCTGGCGCTGGGAAGTCCAGCTTGGCCCGCCGCAGCTCCGTCATGGACGCCTGCAGCTGCTCGATCACAAAGTCGTCCTCAAGGAAGAAATCTTTGGCCAACGTGACCTGCAGGAACTCCACCAGCTCCTCCATGGACAGCTTCAACAGGTGCTCTACAGCCACACACACACCTGAGTTAGCATGTTCACACAGCAGCTGTTAGCTTTGGGTTGCTAGCAGACTCACTTTTGTGCAGTTTGAGGATAGTGTAGGACATGGCGGGCAGCACTCGCTCCCCCTCGAGGATGTAGATGTCCCAGATCCGGAGAGTCAGGGTGAAGGGAGTCTGAACACAAGCAGACGTCAGGTTTGATGACCAGAGGAGCAGAAAAACTTTGATTCTACATAGAATCACAATTCATAGTCCTGGGAATTAATAGTCGATTTAAAAATGCATTTAAGTTGTGTATCTTAGACCTATTTGTGAATATACTTCATATCATGTTACCGCAGAAGGTCGTCTCAGACTCCATGTAGCATGAGGTCGTCAGTCATAATTTAAACAGAATCTTTAGACAGTTTGAATAGAAAAACTGGTTTCTGAGTGGAATTGATAGACATTTAAAGATTCTCATCTCTACTGATGACTGGTTAGAGCAAAACCAGAACCAATAGTTAATCATCCAGAACTTTATTTGTAAAGCATAATAAGTTTTCTGTTGCTGCTGGCTATAATTAAGAGCAGAAAGAAGATTGATTCCTTCTGTTCACGTTAATGAGGCGTCTGGCTTAATTATGTAAACAATCTTTAGCAGAACATCACTGATAAATGAATAAAAGTAAACTTGTATGCAAATATAACAAACTGTAATTAAAACGTCATCAGAGCTTCATTAGAAGATGATAATGATGATAATCTATCAATCTCAAGTAAAAGAAGTCAAATATTCAGCTGCAGTAAATAAACATGACAGAATAAGTTCATGCAGCTACTAATAAACTAAATTAATAAGTTGTTTTCAGCCAATTATTCACCCAGAACACACGCAGTTATATTATAGGTTGATGGATTAAATGGTAAAAGCCTCTTAAGGTAATAAAGCTGCAGCTTTAATGCAGCTGAACATTAACATTATTACTTTTAAATAAAGATGGTTGGAAGCCTGTAATTTACTTAGAATGTGAAGTAGAAACAACTTTTTATTATTTTACAGAACCCATCAAATGAATTGGATAATAAAAACACATTTATTTCAAGAACTTCATCACAAGCTGGAGGCGCCAAGCCCCGCCTCCTGGCTCTGATTGGTTGTTTCTAGTTAGCTCTGGGAGAAGACAGGAGCTAAATGTTGTTCATACCAAACTGTCATGACTTGGTGTCAATTTCAACAAATATGTAAAAAATATTGCTTTTTATAAAAGTTAAATTGTGCTGCTTTAGCTGTTGAAGTTGAATATAAAGACCATGCAGAGCAGTAATGGGGAAGAAGTAGCAGAAAGTGGAGGTTATATTCTGAGTAGCTGGACTCACTCTGTCCAGGAAGCACTGGAAGAACCACTTCATGGTGTACAGGCTGGTGAAAACCTCCTGGTTGTCCTGCGGGACCAGTAAAACCAGTTCACGGCGCTGATGGGTTAACCATCTGGTTGTTATGGAGCTGCCGTTTGTCTCACCAAGTGCTGCTTGAGTTTGGGCATCATCTTCTTCAGGATCCGGTCGTGGTGCTCCTGGTAGCGCATCAGCTTCGGGAAGCCGGGGATGAAGAACCCTGAGGGCCGAGACGCAGCAGGCCGTGTTTTATAACAAACATGTCAGTAAATTAGCAGCTCAGCATCTTTGATCACAGCTGGAAACATCTGCAAAGTCCCTTCAGAGATCCAGTGAACTTTCTGCATTTATTTCAGCTGCAGTCGGTTTAATTGCTTCCCCCCTGCTGGCTGTGCTTTATGAATCCTCACTAACCGGTTCATTAGTTGCTGTTCTCACATTATAAACTAAAATATAAACAACTTTAACAGTTTTTACCGTGCATGGCGTGCTTCTGCCCCGACAGCAGTTTGACCAGCCCAGAAAGCGTCTTCCTCGTTCATGTAGATGAGCAGCAGAGCCGTGATCTGACTCATGCCCTGGCAGTACCCGACCTCCTGCAGAGCCACATGAAACCGCTGAATACAGGACAAATCTGATAAAGTCTGAGTCCAAATTGCAACAAAATGAGTTCAATCAGCAGCTGAGAGGAAGGAGAACATGTCCTCAGAAATGTTTCAGTGTTATTCAAAGTGTTGGCCGCCAGGGGGCGCTGTGGGACCCTTAGCAAGTTAGAACGATGAGAAAAAAAATTAGTAAAAAAATTTCACATTATTTTTTAGCCAAAAAATAATAATCATTTTTTATTTATGTTATTTGATATTTTATTTAAATTGCCACCAAAACCCAGAAATTTTATGAGAACAAAGATAGAAAACTTGAAATTTGCTAGAAAATAACTTGAGAAATTATCTGTATCTGTAAAGAAAACTTGAAAATTTTAGTTTGATTTGTCCAAAAATGTAGATTTTTAAAATATTTTTCTTGAAAATGTATTAGATTTATCTTAACATTTTTTTAGGTTTTTTTTTCTTTAATTTTTTCCAACTTTTCACTCAGAGATTTCCAATTTTCTTCCATAGAATTTCAGTTTGAATAATTAATCTAGATGTAATTTCAGTTCCTAATTTTCTGATTGGCTGCCTGTCGAATTCATCAAGCAAGAAATAAAAAAGACCAAAGGAACTGCTGAAAAAAAGCTTCAAATCTATGAGAACAAATTTAAATTTAATATGATTAACATACAATATTACGTATTTTCTTATAACCAAAGTGGAAAACGCGATGAATGAAGTCACAATTTATTCTGTGCTAAGGAACTTATGGCCATATAAAATCATACAGTATGAGGCAACGTTTATTCTAAATTAATTATTGAATTGCGAACTAAAAATGTTCTAAAAGTTGATGTTTCTTTTTTGAGCGGCTATTTCATGAAAACGTTTATGAACCTCAGATTTAACCTGTTGAAAAAAAGTATCTATTGCTACCAATTTTTACACATTAAGCTTTTTTGTAACAAGTTAAACTTAGATTGATGAGTAATTTCCGTTTTTAGGTCTCTAAAATGCTGGATGGTGGAAGTGCAGAGAGTGAAGGACTCACCGTGTTGTACATGGAATAAGCTGTGAGGACGTGGAAGAGCGCCTGCTGCCTGAAACCCAAACAATCATCATTTAAAATTTTTATATTTTAAGGACCAAAATTACAATAATTCATTTACGTAACAAACAATAACAAAATCAGGAAAAGAAAATTTTCCAAAATGTATTTCTTTCGATAAAAAACTTGAACAAACACTGCAGGTGTGTGTCTGGTGAATTTGTCAGAGTATTGATACTTCAAAATAAAATGACTCAAGTAGTAAAAGTATTTTTTATGAAAAGTCTCGTGGATGTAAGGGAGGCCAGTCGCTCCCTCTGCTGTCGGGTTGCGGCTCTTACTTGACGTCGTAGCGGGTCATGAACATGATGTGGTCCCGGTAGGTTCTGTTCACGTCCAGGTCGATCTGCCGGACGTCGGGGGACAGCGCTCTGGCCCGGGACTTCAGCTTCTGCACAGCAGATGAAGAAACCTGCAGGTTAAGCTAGCAGAGGCCTCTCCCTGCTCTGTGTCTTTAAGCAGCAGCAGGCCGATGCTTGAAGTGGACCGTCTGCTGTTGCCATAGAAGCGGAGAATGTGAAAAGCCAGAATCTGCTCTTATTAAAGGCCGTCTGTCTTTCATGGCCTAAAAATGTCCTGAAAGACGAGCTTTGTGTCTCCCACTGTGGACATAATGAGATTATCACTCACACTCTGGAATCAGGAACAAAAAGACTGAAAACAGGAGCTTTAATCAAAGCAGATCCAGCATTTCCTGTTGTTCTGAAAAGTGCGGCATGCTTTTATACCTCGTAGAAGTCTTTCTTCTCCTCTTTTATTTGGGAACGTCGAGCAGCAGGCACCACACCTGCCCTCGGAGCTGCAGAGGAACGCCCTTATAGATCCTCCGGACGAGCTGCAGGAGGAAAACGCAGCGTCTTGATGAGGCCTTCAACAAACCCGAACCGTCCAGAACCACTCAATTTCTAACATTAATTCAAAAAAATAAATAAATCCTCCTAATTTAAGACAAAATCTAGAAAGAATAAAACAAGTAACATTTCTGTAATATTAACTATGACAGCAATGAACGATTGTTCTAACAATTAAGAGAAAAAAACTTCTCATTTAATCACCTGAACATATTTTAAACAATATTAGAAATACAAGAAAAGATGAAAATAAAGAAATAATTCAGTTCTGTTTTTGAATGGGAAGTGCCTAAAATGTAATAATAATAATTTCTTTAGCGAATGTTCAATCATTCTGCAGCTGAAACATTTCTACCGGGAATCTATTTGTTTTACATTTCTGACTATTTCTGCTCTTTTTTTTTAAGCAAATTGACATTTTAAAAACATTTTGTACTTCAGTAAACAAATCATCAATCACTGAATTATCTCTATAAATATGATTAATGCACTTAATCGTTTCAGACTTGAACATTTACTCTCTTCTCTGACCTGCTGCACTTTTCAGTTCATAACGAGTTTGGAGCTGAAATTAATAAAAATAAAACATAAAACTGTTTCTGATAAAAATGCTAATCTTTCACTTTCTATTGATTCCATTCAGAAAACATTTTTTTTATTCAAACTCTTTAGAGATTCTGTTTAAATCATCAAATTCCATCAGTTTTTATTGGAACAAAAATATGATCAGGATTAGTTTCGCTCAGCTACAACTTTAACACATTTTAACATCCAATTTTTAGCATTTTTTATGTATTCATGATTCCCAGGAATAGAAATGATGATTCTTATTTTATTTCTGTGCCTCTAGTTAATGAATGTTGGCCTGACTGTGTTAGTTTTGATCTGATCTCAGACTGCAGCCAAGATGCTTTTGCTGCTGCAGCTCTGATGGTTTGTGACGAGAAAATAACTGGTGAGTCGGGAGAAAAGCTGCTGCTGCAGGTCGACAGAGAGGCGAACAGAGCATCTGGCATCTGCCAGGAATGATAATCGAGCCCAGAGAGCCTCGCTCAGCATGTCGCCATGTTCTGCTGAGGTGAACCTGCGACCATCTGGCTGGACGAACTCCAGCAGAGACTGCGGCTCTGCATGCACAACGCGCCTTAAAGCTGCAGGAGTCACAGAGTTCAGTTAGTACTAAACAGGCCGGGTCCCTCTGACGCGGCGGCGGCCGGGCCCGGGTCCTCTGAGCCTGGGGAGAGCAGCGCTGATTTCATGAGGCGGCGTGAGGACGAGTGGAAAGTTAATGAGCCATAAATCAGCTGTGGGTCGGTTCCTGCAGGTCGGCTCTGATGGAGGAGAGCCAGTTGCACGTCTTCATGCTAAAGAGGGCCGAGGATGGAGAATGTCGCCTCGGGGTTAATGACACTCAGCTCTTACTCTCCATCAGCCTCAGGACTCACTGTTTGCTTTACATGAATCTGGGCTGAATCTTAGAAAGATTCAGCTTCATGTTTGATTATTTTAGGATAACGATGCAGAGGAACCAGTAAATAATAACTCATAATAAATAAACTGCATTCTTCAATGTCTGCCTAGAAACGTCATGTTGCGCCATCTGGTGGCTCCTAAAAGTACAGCAGGTTTAACAATCTGTTCGAAACAGCAGCAGATTGCTCTGCTAAGTGTTAAAGATGCTGGTCATGAAGGGCTTCAGATTAATCAATGAATCGGTTCATGTTGGAGATGAACTCTGAACTTCCTGAACACTCTTTTTCATCTGGAACTGCTTCCTGTTGGAAAGAACTGCTTCCTGTCAGAAGGAACTAGTTCAGTAATGAATACTGGATCCATCCACCAGTTCATCCATTCATCTCTTTATCTAATGAAACTTATATTTTTATCTTTCTAGCTGTTACTGGGACCAGAACATGGTGGTTCTGGCTGTGCTGCTGTTTGGTTGATGGACCAGCAGAACCCGACCAGACACGCCTGAGACCCAAACGGACGGAACCACCTTCTCGCTGTTCTTGTATTTCTCCCAGCTCTTCAGCATCTTCAGCCACTTGGCGGTCCGCTCCACCTCCAGGTGTTTTTGCTGCGAACAGGCGAGACGAGAATCACGACTAAAACAAACAAACTGCTGTTCTGATGAAAACATTTAATGAGTCATAAAACAACCTGCTGCTTTAACTGGGCTGCTAAAGCAACAGGAAACCGTTTGGTTCTGTGAATGTGCAGCTGAAGCTCTGCAGGCGTCACCAACCTTCTCCTCCAGCGAGTCGTACGACGGCAGTTCGTTCTCACTGTGGAGGCAGCAAACGGAAATGATAAGCAGGCGTTTTCATGGCGTTTGAAATGTTTCACGTTGCAGAGAATCAGACAAACAGGAAATAACAGATCGGACCTTTAATCTGTGTTAGTTTCCGTTCAGATAAAGCCATCAGTGTTTTGGTTCCAGAACCGAATGAAGAACATTTCAGGTTTTAACTCTAAATGTCTGAAAACTCGTTTCTGTTCTGGTCTGCAGAACCAGAAGATCATCACCGGTTGGAAACTTCACTTCCAGTGACGATGGTTCTGGTTCCCCAGAGTTTGGACCGCTGAGCAGCGGTCCGGTTCTGGTTCTCCTCAGTCCAGGTAAGACTTTGAAACTCCTGGTCTGGATCAGCTTTTAATAATCTGATGTCATCAAATCCTTGAATGGATTCTGCAGTTATTCCTGTAGCACTTTTTCCTTCCACTCAACTTTCTGTGCAGCTTATTTTGCCTCAACCTTTTCTATCTGCCCCTCCTTGAGTCCAGTCATCAGTCGTCCCCATTATCTTCTCCTTTTAGATTCTGTAAATGATCAGATGATCAGGCTGCACTGTAAAAACAATATTTAGTATTTTTGCTCGTTTATTATGCAAATATTTCAGCGTTCTTGAAGTAAGAAAAAAATTTAATTAAAAGTAACTTCAGCAAGATGAAGAGTTTGTTTTAAGACAATAGTTTCTCAATAGGATTAAAATATTTTTGTGCCATTGGACTGAGGACTTTTAAAAATGTATATTAATATTAAAACAAACTCCTATGTGTTGCTGAACAGTTGCTTGTAAATTCATTTGGTATTATTTAAAGTGTACCAAGACATTTGGAATAAAAACTAGACCATAAATATTTGGTAAGTTGTGTTTTTGTGTCTTAGTGCAAATATCTCAGTAATTTGAAATCAGACAAAACTAAGACGAAAGTTCTTATAAAATCACTTATAATAACATATTTTTCCATGTTATTAGTGAAAAAATTATGGAATGAGTAAATTACTAATAAAATCAATATAAAAGATTATTGACCTGTAAACTTGTATATCTTGCTGACAAGTTGCTTGTAATTTAGTTTTGTTTCTGATATTTCAACACATCTGGATTAGAAACCAGAACAAAAATATTTGGTAAATAGTTTTTTTTCATGTTGAAACTCTGAATCATCTTTATTACATAAAGCATGTCTTTGAAAAGCCTTTAGAGGAAAAATGTTGACGTTTTATTGCATGCAGCTTCTCTGCAGCTCAGTTTCTTCTTCTTCTCTCCTGTCCGTCTCCCACAGTGAGGTCTGGATCGCGGCGCTCTGTCCCAACACTGCTGCACTGTGATTACGGCTAACCAGAACGTTTCCTGCCAGCGTGCGCCAGCCTATATATAAAACTCCAACACTGTGCTGTTTATGAGGAGCAGAAACCACAGACACTCTGAGCTGCTGACCAACCCAGACACAGCGGAGGGAGGTTCTTACTGGACAAATCCGAAACGGTCGATGACTTTGTAGAGGTGGAAGTTGGTGTCCTCCCAGGGCTCCACGGTGGCCTCTTTACCCTGGAGAACAGGAAGACAAACATCAGGAGCTGGAAACGAGCCGTTAGGACGATAAGTTTCAATTCAAAAACCAGTTTTGCTGCTAAATTATTGACTAAATAGAAATATGAGCTCAGCAACAAAGATATTTATAATCCAATCTGTTTCTCAAGCATCAGACTGGAGCAAAGTGTTTCAGGAAGTCCTGATCTTTCAAGGAGCTTCTTTAAAATGTTAGCATTAGCATTAGCAACATGTTTAGCTTCACTGATGGTTATAACCAGAAACATTTACTGGAGTCACTTCATACTGAAGCATCTCCAGAGTAAAACTTATGAGTTTTCTACCCACTGAAATTGATTTTGACACATTTTTGTTTTACCTAATTTGTATTTATTTTTATTTTTTATGAATCATTTTGGTCCTTAGTATACCAAAACTTTCAAATATGAAATCATTGATAACTTGATCAGTTGCTCAGTACTTTAGTAAAAGTTTTACCAAATGCTTTTTTACTTTTGCTTGAGTTGATATGTTGAAGTTGAGCTTCTCTGCTGCTAGGCTAACTCCTTTTAGCACAACAATCACATCGACGAAAAGCAGCTTGTGCGTCCGATTTACCGGCGTACCAGAAACAAGAATAAAAAGTTCCAACTAAAAACATTTTAAATCTCACGTTTTGCATTATTAGCTGCTGTCATAGTTTAGTATGTCAAAACCATGAAAACTTTAATCAAGTGTAGCAAGATGTCAAAATATATTACTTATAGTATATGTTTGAAAAATGGCATAACATGGAAAAACATGGAAACATATGAAAACATTTGTCATAAACAGTCTAAATTACTTTACATGGGACATTCACCGCATGATTTCATTCATTTTAATTATGAAAATTAAACTAGATTCATAAACAGGTATCAATTTAACTGACTTTAAAAAGTCTGATTTGATTCTCCAACACAAATCAGATTTTTCGACCATCAACAGACTCAGATTATCATCTGCTGCAGGTTTCGGCCTGATAAAAATCGAGCGGGTCTTAATCAAATGCCTCCCACGTTCCTGTGGGGTGGAGCGTCATGCTCTGATTGGCTGAGGCCGGGCCTTAGTGCCCTTGGGGAGAACTTGTCGGCGTCAGTATGCGGAGATATGCAGGGGAGCAGAGTGAGGACGAAGGTTAACAGGTGTGAAACTGAGGCTCACTATCTGAACCTCAGTTCCTATAAAACACACTGAGGTTAATTTACCGCCTTGGAGCAGGAAACGGAAAAAACACCTAAACTTTAAATATTTATCTTTTAGATCAGTGAAAATAACATCTGAGTATTTCCATCAACGTTTTGATGCTCATCTTGAAAAGGTTGATAGAAACAGCAAAATTTGGAATAACTTTCTCAATTTTGCTAACAATCGTTTGACAGTTTTTAAGTTTTTTTTTTAGGAAAGTTGCTATGGATACACATTGTAATGCAGTGAACTTTCCCATCCACTGGCGCCGTACCAGAGGCACGAAACAGCAACATTTCTACATCTGTTTTATGTCATCTGTTGAAATCTCACTTTTCATGACCTGGTTGATTCACTTCAAATCAGGAGGAGGAAGCGCTCCGACTTCACATTTGATCTTTTCTCTCTTTTTTTTTTGCCAAATTTGAAGTTTGTTTAAAATTCACATGAAAATAAATTCTTATTAGTTACATTTACTAGTTTGAAGTGAATAAACCAGGCAAAGCAAAGCGAGATTTCTTCAGCTGTTGACGCTATGCAAGGCTGTAACCAACAGGAAGTGGAATCTGCCAACCAACAAGGAGAAAAACTGACAACTCTGGAGTTTTGTGCCTCTGGTAAGGCATGACTGCATTCACTACATCAGGGCTTTTTCCCCTTTAGTGCATCAACTTTATTAGATAAAGCACTAGTGTAAAATGTTTTTGCCATAATGAGAAATGATGTCAAATTTAGCTGTTTTCATTAAACTTTTCTAATGCAATACTTCAAAATGAGTGTAAAAATGTTGATGAAACAAATGAAATGTAACATTTGAGTGGATAGTTTCTGTATTTGCTGCTGATACTCAGGAACGTCGGTGTGTCCGACGTTCTGCAGGGATTAAAGCTTCAGGTTGAGGCTCCACAGCTCAGTCTGACCACCAGATGTTGAGGTGAAATATCTAAAAATTCATCTCGGTTTGCACTGCCAGCGTTTTCACTGCTGGCTCAGCAGAAAGTCACGATTTTAAATAAATAACGAAGCTCATGAAGCCTTGCTTCCACCACAGGTCGCCACATGTGCCTCACAGCAGCAGAAAACCTGACGGGAATTATTTCTGTTAGAGTCTGGTTCTTGGTTCTTGGGCTCGGGTTGACCGGGTTCTGAGAGAATCAGGTTTTAACTCCAATGGATCCCAGTTGGAGAAACACAACAAAGATCACTAAAGACGATCTGATCTGATCTGATGTGGATCTAAAACCTGAACTCTGACCTCCATCATGGACTCTTCACTGATCTGATGCTCAGATTAATGTTTTCTATGGCTCTGCTCCAGCCAGGAGGTCTCACTCTGAGCGTTTTCCTTCAGCCAAGCCTCATCTGGGGCCGCCGCCTCTGAAACGCTGATGTTACAGCCGTGTGAGCGGCGGCGCGTCCTGTGAAGCGCCTGCTGTTACGATTGTGTTTTACAGGCAATAAGGCCCAGATTTACGGCGCCGCCGAGAAAGAAACGCTGCAGCCGAAGCTGCAGAGGCAGTTCAGCTGTTACCTTGTCATATTTGGCGACGATTTCGGCCCGTTCCTGATCCAGTTTCACCGCCGCATCCTGATGGCTATCAGAAGCTGCAGACAAAGAGAAAATAAAAGATAAATTACAGTCCAGAAAAACAGCTTGTTGACCTTAGAAGTTGTGCGACAAAATATACTGTCAGGTTAAGATATTTTTATTCTTTTTTCATTGCACCAATAAAGTTATAATAAAACGAGGATGAAATACTTCAACACAAAAATGACTGAAACCGTGTTCCTGTGATTAAGCAAAACTTCTCGTACAAATGACAGGAAGGATGACTGGAATAAAAGCCACATTTTTTAAGTGTTTTCTGTCGTTTGTAATTTATTTTTTTAAAGCAGAAATGCATTGATCCTCTTTTTTCCACTTTCGGTATCGATAGAGGCCTGATATCAGTCGATACCGATACAGAAACTTTTGTTTTCCAACACAGACATAAATCGACTTGCTTCTCTGCACCAACTGGGCCTTTTTCCTACCCACATTAACAAAATCCAACAAAAGTGATACTTGAGGTAATAATAGAAAACATTCTCAAAAATCAATAAACTTTACATTTTAATGAACATTTAACACTGGAAGACATTTAGATTCCTAACATAAATTATAAAACCTCTATAAACAAAATTATTTTTAAAAAGAAGAGCTTGTTGACACCAAAATACCAAACATTCAAATGGAAACTATTGATATTTTAATTTTATATGTGATCAATTGATTTATTGCTTATTGCAACAAAAACTACAACAGCACTTTGGTGCAGTTTTATACCTGTTTTAAAGTGCTATATAAATAAATTTGACATTGACAAACAAGTAAAAATAAAATGCAACAAACTGCTGGCAAAAGATTCAGAAAGTTCAGTTTGGAAAACATGTTGAATAAATAATAAAGGTTAGAATAAATAGATCCGGAACATTGTGTCACACACGGGACCGACATCAATATCGGATCGGCCCAACTCTATGAAATATTAAAAATCTGATTTCATAGAAATTAAATCTGTTTAAGCCAGACATTGAGAGATCGGGTCGGTTCCTGACGGATCGGTTCCTGCCTGTGGTTCTCCATCGAGCCGTCGGATCGTTTCCTGTCACGACCGCAGAACCGACCAGCTGCTCGGTTTCTCAAGCACTTCCTGATCGGCGCGGCGCTAAACCCGGAGGATGCTGAGTTTATGATGTGTTAATGGAGGCCGAGGATAAATCACGGCTTCCTGCAGGGAGACGACGGAAAAATCTAAACCTTCACGGGTTTATTTCTCACATCAGCCAGTAAAATGTTTTAGTTATTTAGAAACCAGAGAAACATTAAGATCCTGATCAGACTCAACAAATTTATGTCAACTGAGACATGGATTAAACTTTACCAATAAATTGCTCCAGGAATTATTGCGATAAACGATAATGCTGTTGTTTTGTAAAATAATAAAGGAAGTTTGTTTTCTCACAGACCAATAAACTTTAATTTAATAAAGAACTTTCTGGAATATAAAACACAACAACCATAAACAATAAATAAAAACCCAACACAACCAGAACCATAAATAAAATGGATTACGAATCTCTGTAATTAAAATTTCCCGTCATAACAATATTAATCATCAGAATGAAAACTTTCCCGCTCATTTTAATTTATGATGCCTTTAATTGCTGATTGCGAAAGGCTTATTTCGTTCTCCAGAACATTTCTGAGCCCGGTTCTGATGTTACTGGACCACTGGTTCCTCTAACTGGACTCACAAGAACAAACTGGCTCCGGTTCTGCTCCCCCGACCCGTTTCAGACTTTTATTCTGACTTTCTGTCCTGGTCTCCAGGGTCCAGCAAGAGGAAACAAACACACTCCGTATTGAGCTGGCTGGCATTTTATGACAGGACTGTGTGTGTGTGTGTCTGTGTGTGTGTGTGTGTGTGTCTGTCTGTCTGTGTGTGTGTGTGTGTGTGTCTGTGTGTGTCTGTCTGTCTGTGTGTGTGTGTCTGTCTGTGTGTGTGGGCGTGTGTGTGTGTCTGAGTGTGTGTGTGTGTGTGTCTGTGTGTGTGTGTCTCTGTGTGTGTGTGTCTGTGTGTGTGTGTCTCTGTGTGTCTGTGTGCGTGTGTGTGTGTGTGTGTGTGAGAGAGAGAGAGAGAGAGAGAGACAGAGACAGAGAGAGAGAGAGAGAGAGAGAGAGAGAGAGAGAGAGACAGAGACAGAGAGAGACAGAGAGAGAGAGAGAGAGAGAGAGAGACAGAGACAGAGAGACAGAGAGAGAGAGAGAGAGAGGGGCGGTCGGGGGGCAAACAAACAACTACAGTGAAGTTTTTTTTTCTTCTTCTTGGATTCTTGGCCCTGGAGGCCTGGTGGTTCCCATGGTGACCAGACTGATTTTTTATTTTTTTCCAGCCGTGTTTAAATAAGTTTTCAGGATGTTTCATCTGATGAATAATAATGAAATGTTTCCCACAGAGGCTGATACTCTGAGGTTCAGCCACTAAACTGAAACAGGAAACAAATCGCATAAAAAAATGAAAACATGCACAATAATTTCAGATCTTTTCTTTGATTCATCCTGAAAAATTAGCAAAATATTCAACAGAAACAAAAAAATCTGACCTGCAAACGTTTGCAGACACTAAGCTACACTAATCTTTTAGTCATTAATAAATGGGATATTAAACCAACTAGAAAACTTTGTATTCAAAGTAAGACTTAAACATGTAAAGAAATAATGTGCAAAAGTCTTCCTTCTCAAACTTAGAAAGTTAAGAGTAAATATAATTTAAGGTTCGTTAAAATCTGAACATGATAAAAAGTAAATAAAATCTAGACATGTTTCAGTTATCAGAATGTGGAACGAATTGAACAAGGATCTCAAAGCTTTAAAACAGTCTCAAAATGATTAAAACAGCCTCAAAAGTGTTTAATAGAGCCTTAAAGTGTTTAAAAGAGCCTCAAAAGTGTTTAAAAGAGCCTTAAAGTGTTTAAAAGAGCCTTAAAGTGTTTAAAAGAGCCTTAAAATGTTTAAAAGAGCCTTAAAGTGTTTAAAAGAGCCTTAAAGTGTTTGAAAGAGCCTCAAAAGTGTTTAAAAGAGCCTCAAAAGTGTTTAAAAGAGCCTTACAGTGTTTAAAAGAGCCTCAAAAGTGTTTAAAAGAGCCTTAAAGTGTTTAAAAGAGCCTCAAAGTGTTTAAAAGAGCCTCAAAGTGTTTAAAAGAGCCTCAAAAGTGTTTAAAAGAGCCTTAAAGTGTTTAAAAGAGCCTCAAAAGTGTTTAAAAGAGCCTTAAAATGTTTAAAAGAGCCTTAAAGTGTTTAAAAGAGCCTTAAAATGTTTAAAAGAGCCTCAAAAGTGTTTAAAAGAGCCTCAAAAGTGTTTAAAAGAGCCTCAAAAGTGTTTAAAAGAGCCTTAAAATGTTTAAAAGAGCCTTAAAGTGTTTAAAAGAGCCTTAAAATGTTTAAAAGAGCCTTAAAATGTTTAAAAGAGCCTTAAAGTGTTTAAAAGAGCCTTAAATTGTTTGAAAGAGCCTCAAAGTGTTTAAAAGAGCCTCAAAAGTGTTTAAAAGAGCCTTAAATGTTTAAAAAGCCTTAAAGTGTTTAAAAGAGCCTTAAAATGTTTAAAAGAGCCTTAAAGTGTTTAAAAGAGCCTCAAAAGTGTTTAAAAGAGCCTTACAGTGTTTAAAAGAGCCATAAAGTGTTTAAAAGAGCCTCAAAAGTGTTTAAAAGAGCCTTAAAGTGTAAAAGTATAGAATTATATGTATCAGCCTTTCTTAGTAAATTATTGGTTTGTAATGTAGAATTTTGTTTAGTTTTCATTTTTTGCTAATTTACCAAAATAAAGTGAATCTGAATCTGAAGCATCACTTTAACGACTCACTGATGCAACTGGCTTATCTGCAGAGGTCAGAGGTTGCAACTGTAAGTGATCAGGATCGAGCTCCATCAGCCGGGTCGATCCAGAAGTTCTGCAGCTTCAACACGTGAGTCGGGTTCTGGTTCCTCCTGAAGCGGAACTGAAACCGTCCACAGAGAGGAAGTTCTCCCACTTCCTCCCAACTATCAGCAGGTAGACGTCACCTGAAGCAGCGACTCGGTTCTTCACAACCTTCATTATCACCTGCTGTAGTAGCGACCCACCCAGATGACCAGAACCGACCGGCCGGTCCAGTCAGAACCTTTAGGAGTTGAAACTAGAACCGGATCCGGATGAGTTAAACCTGGAAGCTGAAGCGTTTCGGTTCCGTTTCTGTGTTTGTGTCAGCGTGACATTTTAAATAAATGTGGTTGGAATGGGGCCTGGTTTGGACCTCGACCTCCACACCGAACTTTCAGAACACGACCCGCTTTCTGCAGAACCAAAACAGCTCAGATGAATCAACCCAACAAAATCAGCTGCTTCAGGGAACGACTTATTCATGCAGAACATCTGCAGGTTTTACGTCCCCTTGAATTCAAACAGTGAACAGACGAAGCATCACAAAGCCTTTCACTACCAGAGCGACTAAATGAATTCAGAAACTCCATCTCTTCTCTAACATAAGATAGAAAAATATCTTATGTTTTTAAAGAAACAGACATCACAGAAAACAAGTTTTCAATGTCAACCTCAATGTCGTGCAGACAACTGGCGATAACTTTGCATTTACCCTTCAGAGATGCAAAAAATGTTAGCTAGCTTAACAGCTAGCAAGGGTATATTAGCAGCTAGTTAGCATTAGCTTCAGCTTTCTTGAGTCACAGAAGACGACGACGATGTCTGAGCACAAAAACTTCAGAATGGCAGAAAAATTCCTGCAATAAAGACAAAAATTCCTATAATTCCAGATTAAATAAAATTAGGAAGAGCAAATAAAGTAGTTAAGGCTAACCTGTGTTTTTGTATTAGCTGTAGACATTTTGAGGCTTTTTAAGAAATAAACATTTAGTTTCTAATTTTGTTAATGTATTTAACAAAATCTGTTCCTTGGAGGCTTAACTTTTAGAACAATTTACAGAATTTGACTAGATGATTCAAACTGAAGAAAACATATGAATTAGTTTTATGTTTATCTAAACTCTGCAAATGCTAATCTATAGTTACTTTAATCAGAAACATAAAACGGTGTTAAGCTCATTTGACTTTTAAAACATCAAGCAGACAGAAACCAGACAGCAGGATATCAGGGATTATTATGAGTCATAATTAACAGGCGTTTCCTGCTTCTTTCATCACAACCTCTGAGCTGCTCACTGACTAACAGTAAACATTAGCCATGGGAAATTCCTCCAACAGCTCAGATATATTGAAGCCATGCAGAATTTGAATGAAATATAATTTGAATGAAATATAATATGCTACTGGACGCAGCAACGAGCAGGACTTTGTTTTCGTCATTTTGCACAACCTGGTATAATTTGGTGCATCTCTTCTGGGAATATATTTCAAACTGGCAGTAAAATAAGACAAATGTTCAGCAGCATAACAGCAGGAAATAAAACACGATTGATGCTTTCAGAGGCAAACCAATCAGGTTCAGATTCAGAACAGAAGAACCAAAACATCTTAAGACTAAAATATGCAAAAAAAAAATAAAAACACCACATATTTTTTGCATTTGTCCAAAAATAGGGTGAATGTAGCAGGTCTATAGATGCGTTCTATGCAGTAATGTGAGTTCTGAACTAGTTTTAGTGAAAGAGGCGAGGCAATTTAACGGTGGGAACGCAGATCCACCGTTAAACGGGAGAGCGACCGAAAAAATCAATTCACTAAAACAAAGTTCTCGTTTGGCACGACTCAGAAAATATGCAAAAAAAAAAAAACGTTCCCAAATTGATTTTAAAACATAAAAAGGAAAAGCAAAACTGCTGTCTTTCGGCCTCCATTTTGTATCTACGCCTGGCGTCACCACGCAGCCGGTAGCGGAACGCCGCATGCGCCTGAGCACCACAGTAGAGCGACAGCTTGAGATTCAACCGGCTCCATCAAACATTTGGACTTATTTTAGTTTTTCAATAAGAAGACTGATGTTGATTAGGATAACCGAGCTCATATCGGTGAAAACGAAGATCGCTTCGTAAACATCATGAAGAAGCGGCGCTAAGCTACAGCGGCGCTAAGCTACAGCGGGGCTTAGCTACAGCGCCGCTAAGCTACAGCGCCGCTAAGCTACAGCGCCGCTAAGCTACAGCGGCGCTAAGCTAAAGCGGCGCTTAGCTACAGCGGCGCTTAGCTACAGCGGCGCTAAGCTAAAGCGGCGCTAAGCTAAAGCGGCGCTTAGCTACAGCGGCGCTTAGCTACAGCGGCGCTAAGCTAAAGCGGCGCTTAGCTACAGCGGCGCTTAGCTACAGCGCCGCTAAGCTACAGCGGCGCTAAGCTACAGCGGCGCTTAGCTACAGCGGCGCTAAGCTACAGCGGCGCTAAGCTACAGCGGCGCTAAGCTACAGCGCCGCTTAGCTATAGCGGCGCTAAGCTATGTCATACCACAAGCTGTGATTGGTCAGACGTTTCTTGCCATGTTTCATGCAGAAATCCGCTCTGTCTGTTTCCACCAACGGTTTGCATGAATACGGCACATTTTTAGGATTCTTCAATAAATAACTACCAAAGCCTCTCAAATAGCTGAAAACCCTGTAAGGAAATGTCCTGGTCCACAGAGGAGGCTGTTGGCAGAAATATGGCGCCCTTTCTATGACAACTTCATAACAAAATGGAGGATGGGAGTTATTCCAAGTACATGCGAAAAATACCTTTCACCATCTTCTGTCATTTTGACTTGCAAAGCAGACTGGAGTAAATCATTTCGCTCCTTAGCACACCATTAAAGGAGAAACAACTGAATAATCGTTTTGAATTGAATCGTATACAGTAAATAATTCCCACCACTAGTTTCTATCATCATCTCAAACAACAAGGACTTAAAATAACAATCTGCCTGATTTTCTGAGGAACTTTTCCAAAACTTTCCAGCAACCATGAGAGGAGATCTGGGTTCTTTTACTGGGATTAAAACTATAACTTAGCGTTCAGCAGGATCAAACCTGATCCAGAAACTTTCAAGCTTCCTCATTATCTGCATTCTGTCACCAGAGTTTTACATCTGAAGGTGAAGTGTGAACACATCACACCACTGCAGTGCAACATCTAAACTCCTCATTCCCTCATGCTAAAGTTTCTAAATCTGTGAGTTGAGGTCAGTGGAGATGAGATCTGCACAATGAGCCTCATTTAAAAGCAGAACATCAAACATCCTATCAGACAGATGAACTTTGACCCTGCAGGAATGCCCTGGAGCTCCTCAGGCGTTACCTCTTTTAAAGTTATCCAGCGGGTCGTCCAGACGAGCCTTGGCCCGCATCGATCCCGGTACCGGCCGATCCGCAGCGTCAGAAACACGAAGCGCCTCACGCCATCGGCGCTGAACGCCGCTCCGACACAAAGGGAGGAAGCAGCAGCAGCGCGGGGCAGAGAGAAGTGAGATCAGAGCCGCTGCTGTCACAATGCTGCCGTTTCAGAGTCGCTCCCACTCGCTGCATTCCCCCCACTCCCACTCCACACCACAACGAGCCGCTTTCAGAACCCAGCAGAACCGGACCGGAGATTTCTCAGATCCCAGCAGAATAAAATCACCCAGAAACTTTTCTGTTTTGGTTCTTTTTGTAATGATGACAGCTGCATGATGAAGAGCTGCCGTTAAAAGCTCGTTAAGAGACGGGCCTGATGAGGCCTTTCACAGATCTGAGAGGAGAGGGAGTTCTGCTCTAATCTGAGCTTCAGCTGCTGCATCAGAGCAGCGGATCCCTCTGGACTGATCCAGGACCGCAGCCGACCGGCGCAAAGATCCCCATCCTGCAGCGAAAAATGACTTTTTATCCCTTGAGAGGAAAATTAGGTTAAAAACTTACATTTTACTGCAGAAATTGCACAGATTGAATTTTTTACATCTGATACCGATATCTGTTCAGTATTGGCTGGAACCGATCCGATACAGAAAAGACGTGCTAAATTAACTATAAACTTTGTTTTTTAACAGAAACGCACTGTAAAAACAAAAAATCTTACTAAATATTTTTGGTGTAGTTTCTAGTGCAAATATCTTCATAAACTTTAAATAACTTAAAATTGACCTTTCAGCAAAACATAGAGGATTGTTCTAAGATGATGATTCTCTTTGGTCCATTGGCAGATAAATTAATACAACATATTTATTTAAACAAATTTCTATCTTCATTCATTTTTTTTCTATTTACTATTTATTTTAAATTGTTTCAGTTTTTAAAACAAATTGTCTTTTCTGAATTTATTTATGAAAATATTCAGAAAGTAATGACTGGAAACTAAAGTGATGGTCCATGTAAATATTTTAAAATCACTGGGGAAAACGTATTAAAGGAGATTTGCAGTTATTTATTATTAAAGAAGCTCAATGCAGAGGAATTCAGATTTTAGGAGAAAAATAACTATCTGTTCATGTTGAGTAAAAACAACTTTAATCTCCATTTATTGTAGGACAGAAATAAAAACTGTTCCTCTGCAGCAAACAGATCAACTTCCTCTCAACTTTCAATTATTTCTTCTTCTAATTGTCAGGAAAAGCAGCACAGCTCATGTTGGTGTCAATTGAGCTTTAATGTTGTAATTCTGGTCACAGGAAGTTGAAGCAGACCAGAGATTCTCTGCTACAGAAACTAAATCTGATCTCATGACGTCCAGCATAGAGTAAATATGTTTCATTTAAACCCTCGCCGCGGCGGGACAGGCAGCAGCTTGAGGGTCTGCACATCAGGAGGCATCAGATGGAACCAACCAGGTTCAACCACATCGTGACAAGGTCACAAACTGTTGTTGCACAAAGGTCACATAGACAAGGTCAGGTTTCTCAAATGACTTGCTATGTGGTGCTGTTTGGAAAGTTACACTCAAAATTTAACAGCAATAATTTTTTCAGTCATATTTTCACCATGTTATATATTCAAAATATATCACTCTAGCCAAGTGTCTAGCACCAAACCAAATATTTAGTTAGCATGATAAATAGTTGGAGGTAAGAATGTAATTAGCAAGCTAAAGATTTAGTTAGCTTGAAGCTAACTAAATCGAACTCTGAACTACCTCAGATAAATATTTAGCTCCACAAATATCTAGTGACCTTCTAAATAATTAGCTCAGCGCTATCTAACTCAGAGCTAGATTTTAGCTTAAGCTATCTCTATTTATAAGCTAAATATTTAACGAGCTCAGATCTAAATATTTAGTTCCGAAGCTAAAGAGTTAGCTAGCGCAGAGTAATGTATATAGTTAGCAAGCTAAATATGTAGCTTCATAAATATTCAGTGAGCTAGCTAAAATGAAATAATTAGCTCTAAGCTAGCTAAATGATTAAGTACTTATGTAGTTCAAAGCTAAATATGTAGCTTGCTGCTAAATAGGTAGGTTGCTAACTTTGGTTTATTTATAAATTAATAAATAACATGATGAAATAAGAATTTTGAAAAAAATAACCCCCATTTTTTCTCTTGTGACTAAATAATCCAAATTATTGCTGCTCATTTCCAACTGCGACTTTGCAAACGGGCCACATGAGCTGCTGCGTTCGCATTAAGCTGAGAAGCAAAATATTGATGGAGGCTTTGTGTGATATTTCTTGATCTGCAGGCATCCGATGCATAATTTAATAAGTCAGGAGTAAACAGGGATCAATGTAAATATAAAAGGAGTCCTTGGAGAATAAACAGCAGCTCTGGCCTTAAGGAACAACAGACAAGCTGAGCAGAGATGTCAGCAGGCGGCTTCACCACAACACCTGCAGGGTTTCCACTGTTGCTGACCAGCATCCATATTTCATTCACACACGCTTGCTAACTCGCTTAGCGCCCAGAGATGGAGCATAACGCACCATGAAAAGTACTGCTGCAGTCAATAAATACTCCAGGCTCAGTTCTGACCGACTGCAGCAGAAAAATGCAGAAAACATGATGATCTGCAGAGAACAGAATAATCTAAATTTCACACATAAAACAATGATGAAACATCCAACAACATCAAAATGTTCAATGAGTTGGAGTTCAGACCCCCGGAAACGAAGCGATGAGTTTATCTCGAGTCAACATCTCAGCACTTTGAGAGTTTTGGGTCATTTAAAGTCATTTCCTGTTTATTTGGGATCAAAACCCAAAAAATGCTGCAGTGAGGTTATTTATCTGAGATCCACGACCTGCTTTCAGCTGCCAGCTCTTTGTTCAACACTTTACTGAAGTCAAAATCAAAATCTTAAACTGTTTATTTTTTATAAGATATTCATATCCACATTGTGATGTTTCAGTCTGAAATTCAGATCAGAACATTTCCGTCTCAAATTAAAACAGAACTATTGTGGTTTTGATGGGAAACGTAAAAAAAAATTATAAAAATCAGGCAATATTATTAATCTAATCAATAAAGGTTTTTTATCTATTACTATGAATGCCTTTTGTGTTGAACGTTAAACCTTTTTGCTCTTATTGGGTAAAACAGAGGACACAACAAGCTGAAATAAGTTGAACAATAGTCCAGAACATGGCCGCTTCAAAAACAGGAAGTGGACTACAGCGCAGGGCATTCTGGGTAAATACAACCAAACCAAATGGTCTTTCATTAGCGGGAGGAATGGCTTTTGAAATTCTGCAACCGCTAAAAACTGACGCCTCCATTTCTGTTTCCATTTGGAGAAGAATGGAGTTGCGGTTTTGGAGGTTTTTGTGTCGTTTCCTTCAGTGGTTCTTGGTACAGCACCCCCACAGGCCAGGAGGGGAACAACTTTGACTCAGAACCACAGCAGCTGGAAATGGAGCAAATGTTGAAACTTTGGTCCAAAAATCAAATCAAATCAACCCAACTATCAGGTGTGGCTTGTGAAGTTAACAACTCTGATTCCTTCTCTCAGGCCGTTAAAAGCCCTGAAATGACGTTTAAAATCCGCCTGCTTTCTAACAAACAAGTGAGTTTGTGCTGCAGCTCGATCCTCTGCTGGATCCTGATCCTAAGTCCAGGTGGAGTTAATGAGGGCTGAGCTCCTCTAAGCAGCAGTAAGCCTCCAACAGGGATTGTTGAAAAACAAGGCGTGCTCCCAGCTGCCTCGTTTCCCAACTTTATTCAAAACAAGAGACCTGACCAGTCCGACCACAGAGACTCTGGAGGAGCTGCAAAGGTCACAACTCCAGATATCTATGATAAAAATGATGGTGGATGATAAACTGTGGCAAAAGTTATTGTGATAATATTGTTTTTAAGTGATAATGGAATAATCATTAAGATCAATAAACTTTCATTTCAGACAAACTGGAGCTTGGAAGAGATTTTAAACATCCAAAATAAATAAATAAAATACATAAGTCTCTAAACAAAATTGTTCATCTAGTCTTTGGTGGAAAGATGAGATGAATGGAAATTATTGAGTTGTTTTAATTTGTTCTGTTAATTGATTTATTGATTACTGCACCAGGCTTACAAGTGTCAGGAAGACGAATATACTGATAAATTCATGCCTCACATTTTAACTTTTTTTTTGTAAAAACAAAGAGAAAAACAATATTTAAATTACTGGAGATTTAGATTTGAGTTTTTATTTGTGTGAATAAATCACTGTTAGCATAACTAACAGCTTTAAAAACATCCCTCTGTGTGAAATTAATCCTCATAATTTGTATTTTTCAACAATCAAACTCAATAAAAGACATTTAGGATAAATAATAAGGCCACGGCATCAGCATCAGCTCCATTATTTACAGCGCGACACAAAACCATCCACAACCCAGACGGAGAGCTGCAGCAACACGGCCGTCTCCAGGGGACATGTCCACTTCATTCAGACAAACGACAGCGCGACAAAACGATTAATCTCACCGCATTTCACTCAGCAGGCTCTGAATTTAAATAAAACTCTTTGGTGAGATCTCACAGACCTTATGGAAAGAAGAAATCAGGTTTTCTCTTCACTAACAGCAGCTGTCCGATCCCACAGGCACAAAACAAGACGGACAGACTTGTGTCCAGCTGCGTTAAGGCTGAAGAGTCCCTGAGTGAAGCAGCGGATGGACCGGAGAAGACGTGGACAATTTTAGCAGCAACCTTTTGTTTTCAAGAAACAAACTTTAATTTAGAGATTCCTTCAGAGAAAAAAAAAAACATTTAGAAATGAAGAGGAAACTCGACAACCAGCAAGTTAAAAACAAAAACAAACAGCCGCCATGTTTCCCTCCAATCGTCATTTTAAAATGAGAATTGGTCTCATTTCCGTCTGAAATGAATCAACAGGTAGCAGAGAGAAAATCATAACAGATGGTAATAAACAGAGAGAGCAAACCAGCACAGATCACGTTAACAACAGTGGTGGCTCTGGTAAGGCACAGAGTCACCAGTGGAGGGACAATGTGCCTCCATTGCATTAAATTTAAATCCAGAAACTCTCAAGAGTATAAAGCCTCTTATTAAGACTCTCACTGTTTTAATCGAATTAAATGCTTAAATATAAAAAAGAAAGTTCCAAAAAAAGAAGAAATCTAAAACAAATGAGGAAATATAAATTTTGGTCCCAAAAAGAAAAATTGAGTCTGATTGAAAAGGGTGAAT